TACATGAATATAAACATGTAAATAGCTATTACAAAATGCATAATTAACTGTTGTACATCAAGATCTTAAGTAAAGCTAGAAATGTTACAATGCTAAAAAATGTCCCTATATGCCACTTACTATTTAGTTAAAATACATTCGTGTCACCGGGGTGGGTCTTTTAAGTCTTTATTTAAGTTCTCAAATATAATGTAGAATGATAAATTACAATTTGACTGTCTTAGTGCGGGAATTTCGATAGAATATTCTTTCAATGAGTCATAATTTCCACTCATGGCATTTAGCAAGAGGACATCTTAGAAATCAACAAATCGCACCAGCATTCTCAAGACAGATTATCTGAGGTTTACCAAATGATAGCAATGGATATAACCACACATTGGTCGGAATTCAGTGAATAAAATGACTCAGTCTCATTAAAATAAGATGTTCCGAATCCGCTACCTTTGAGAAGCGATAGCGGATTCTAAAAACATCTCATTTTAATTCAAATTGTAAAATGATTCTATATCAGTTTCATGCTGACTATATATATATGTCTAGTCCAACATTTCCGCGCATGTGCGTATTCATATGAATGTGTGATGGATCGGTCCTTGTGCATTTCTATATTTACGATTGTGTGTGTGGTGGTATTAGTAGGGTGGGTTGGTGGGTATTTTGTTTCATCATTCTAATGGCAACTATACTCATTTAGCTTTACATACTGGCATTTTTGTAAGAAAAAAAAAATACAAAAATTACCAAACATAATTTTTTAGCTTTATTTCCTCAAAATTTGTTTTAGGATAGAGATGTATAGCATCATTAGGCACACACATCCTTCGACTATTGGAAAGCTTCAAAAGAAATAAGGTTCAAACTATGTTGCATGTGTCCTTGATAACCAGTGCAACATGAAGTACATGTACTAACGCTTTCTGTACAATAACACAAAATGTACAAACAATAACGCAAAATGTGTAAAATATGTAAATGTGATAATATACGAAACGTAAATTATCGTAGTGTGAAACATTTTGCGTCATTACAATGTTTAAACAAACTCATGTAGTTTATTTTCTCCCTTAAATTGTTTCACTCCCCCGAAAATAAATATTTATTATACATGTATTTTCTTGACTAATTTTTGAAAAACAAAGAAAAAGAATATTTTATAGGATTGTTGTGTTCGTTACAAATCGCAATTTTTTTCAATATATAACAAATTCAATGTATAAATTTTACAAAATAAATAATGAAAGGGTTGGGCGGACAGGGAAAGCCAAAACACAAAACAACCTGCGATTCTTTGTAACGAACGTCGCATTAATCGAACATTCCCCGGTAAATGCATTTATACTGAGCGCGCAAACGCTTGTGCAAGAAAAACCAGTTTTCTTAAGATACGAAGATTCAAGGAAAGTACCGAAACTAAAACGTAAAGAAATAAACTAATTCTCTTGAAATTTAATTGTGGGCTCGTTTATTGCAAACAGTGACGGTTTAAGTGCACAGTAGATCGTAACTCGAGTTTAATTATCTCAAATTTAAATCATTTCTGGAATAAACTAAAACTACACACTTTCATTATCAATTCTTTTTAATCATCAAGCTGAAGTAGAGTATTTTACCACTTATCTCATGTTGTATTTACAATTTATACTCTGATTTTACCAACTCTTACAAATGTTCGATGATCTCCATAATTATCTGGATGTCTTTAAATACACAAACAAACAACTTCTTCACATATTCTACTTTTTTTTAAACAAATAAGTTGCAAAGAAATTTATTTAATTTAAACTTTCTTACGTGTTTCATTATAATTATTACTTTTTTGTACGCATACATTTGTTTATTAACGATTAATTATTACTTTGGGGGGTGGGGGAGGGTAGGTTAGGGTCAGTGCCTGAAATACAGGTTTTATGAACTGCTAATGTATCTCTTTTTTCATATTTGAGTATTAAGCATTTTCGTTTCAACTGAGTTAGCAAATTTGTCACAAGGGGGGGGGGGAGGGGGGTAAACAAACAAAATAAGGCAAATCATACCAAACAAAAACGAGTTTGGTGGTGAAAGGGGGGGGGGTGATGAAACATAGTCAAACAAGCATTGGACTGGCGGATTAGAGGAGCACCCCCCCCCCTTTTGTGACCAAAATCATATTCAGATTAGGAAATTAATTTTTTATTGTTAAATCTTGCATTTATTATATGTCCCCAGACCCTTAACCTGTTGGACCCCCTTTTCAAGATTTCTGGATCCCTCATTGTATTTGGTGCTCATGATGTTGTCATTGCTTGATTTTTTTTAACTTGCTTTAAATATATAGTTCTATCTTTTTTAATTTCTAACCACCAAATGCTCGAATATCAAAAATTAGAAAGTAAGGATATTTGTGGAAAAACGCATAACAGCTGACGATGAATCACTGCTTATTTTAGTAACAGACAAGTCTAGAAATCACTAGGTTAGAATAGGATTATGACCCTTCGGCTGAGTCTAAAAATAATTTTAACCGATAAATAAAGGCAAATCATTTGCATAAATTGCAGAAATCCCTTAATACTTATTTGTTTTGGGATTAAATCATTTTCGCTGTGGTTTACGGAATAGGAGAGAAACCATAGTGCTGGCATGGAAAAGGCTCTCCATTTTTCAATTTTTTCAGAATGCGGAAGGATTTCCATTATTTGGCACTTGATCAGATTCAATTTAACTTCCTATTTTCCTTGTACTCGGGAAATTTATTGCACATTTCAGGAATTTTAGCAAATGTCCGCTCATAAAATAGGACAAAAATTAAAACAACTTGATTTATGTAACTATTTTTACATGTGATTTTATTCATTCATAACTCTTGCAGGTATTCGAAGAAAAATTATTAGACTTCTCTTATGAAAATTATCATATATAAAACGTCCAATTTTTCCTGAGTTTAATACAATTTTATTAACAAAAATCATCGAATCATTCAAAAAGTAAAACACGGTTGGTTGTCTAGAGCAATCTTCCCCCCTTTTTGATACGTCAAGATAAATGGAGAGGATAAATGTGACGTATATATACGTATTGTAGATCTTATGAATGAAATAAAGTCCCAGTTCCGTCATTCAAATGATTAATTAGTTAAAATGTAATTCAGCGAAGAAGCAGTTGTTTTTATAAGAATTCAACCTGACAAGGAAAAAAAATTCTGTTGTGGCAAATTTAATTTAGTAATCAGACTGCATACAAAGTTTTGACTTGAACCCTTTGATTAACTAGTCTCATCATATTTCTGAATTGTACATTACAAAAAGCATTAGCATAAGTTAAGTCTCAGCCATGTGAACTGTTTTAATTGTGATGAATTATGTAAAAGTATGTACTTTCATATGTATATGATATAAGAATGCATGCATATATGTATGAAATTTATATAAAACAAATATTTTTGCTCAGAACTTAGGTATATGTATAAAAATTATCTGGTTTTTCCTCCTTTTTTATGTCTTTTTCCTATCAGTCATGCAACTTTTTCTCTCTTGTATGTATGTATGTATATATATTGTATTAAATTTATATGAAAATATACAGGTGTTTTCAATGTATTTTCTTTTTGCTCCATGAAGGCTCTTAATTGAAAAATAAACAAATTGCATTGAATTGTGGCAATGACATTGAGAGGTAGACAAACTACAAAAAAAATATGTCAGGATTGATTAACATGAACTTAAAAAAAAAAAGAAAACAGAAGTCAGACCGGGTGTTAGTCTAGAAAATAACATACAGTGCTGCATGCACGGTACGACTGTTTAAGCTTTAATTTATCTATACCGTATATAGATCCTGATTGAAACAGCATACATATAGAAACGTACATGTTTTTATACAAATAAGAGTCCTAACACACATTTTCTGTCTAGGAATTGATAGAAATGGGGAAGGGGAGGGGGGGTAATATTTCTTAATTCATCGAAGATTTCTATCAATTTTCATTCAAATTTAAACAATGATTATTTTCCTTTTAGTATATTTGGTGTTCTGTCATACCAGCACTTATAAACTGTGTTCCAGTCTACCTGCCAGTACTCATATGCATAATGCATATCGAGTAATATAATTTGGATTTTATTTTCACGGTTTAGGTCTATCAAGGTGATATTCAATTGTTGAATGTTAATGCATGTTTATAACTATCATTGAATAAACATGATATATTGATGTCTCGACTTCTGGGGATTTAAACGTGTTTTGTAACGTGATAAAAGACGGAATTTCCTTTAAGGCATACGAACTTTAAAATTGATCCAGACTTTTATAATCATGGGAAATTCCCAAGTCGCCTTTCCTTTATTTACAAATAATTTTTAAATTTTCCAGACCCTGCAAGAAAAGAAAAGTGAAAATTGTTCTTTGGTGTATTTCAAGAAGACTATGTTTTTCCCTTGTTGCTAGTTTCATTAAATTAAAATAATTTCATTGAAATTAAAATAAGCAAATGACTACCTTCATTTCGTGTAAAATTATTTAATATCATCAATAATCAATCAGTAATCGATACTATGTAGGAATCTTATCCAGCAAAGTTGAAACAAGTGTTCTTTTGATTTTTCACCTTCGGCAAATTCTCTGTCTTTATTTTAAAAGCTCCCAAATTAGTATTTTTGGAAAATGAAGAAAAAAATATGACGTTTCTACAAAGTAGACTATCATTATTTAAAATATATTGCAGCATTAATGTGTTCCAATGCTTCGGGCAAGTTTTAACTCGTGAATTGATGAAAATATTTCGGGGTTATTCTGGGGACCCGATTTTTCAAGAAATCGATATAGTAGTAGAAAATAGTACAGACTTTCTCCCTCCGGAATCTTTAGTCAAACCTGTTTACTTTAAATTCATATTGTGTTATCTTTGGTTTTTCCGACTTACACACATTGTGTGGTTTATAAAAATATTCAAGATAACGGGGATATGATACATCATTCATGTAGCATGTGAAAAAAATCACCTGAATAAATCAAGAAGAGGAAACAATATGGCATTAATTTATTCCAACTACATTTTCTATTGAATGTCAACTACACTACAATAGCGGAAGTCAATCCAACCTTGCCGATTCAATGACGGCAGATCGAAAAGACCCTTTAATAGCTAAATTATATAAGCATGATAAGTATGATAAATAATAAATTCCCCGGATACACTCTCAGCCAATCACAGCCCTACAGCCGGGTTGACTGAGTGCAGAAGTACGAAAGAAAAAATGTACATCACAGAGCCTCCCTGAGAATTTAAGTTTTTATTATGTACAAATAAACACTTTATGTTTCTTCTTCTTCCTCACTCGAAGTAAGAGATTCAAGAAAGTCAATGTCTGCGTTATGGCTCACGAGGAGGTCAGAAATATCAGAGCGCTGGCGCTCTACTGCTACCATTAGGGGAGTAACACCATTGTACATCTTATTGTCTATGGCGATTTTGGGTTGCTCTAATAAAGATGAGACAATGTCTATTTTGTTGCCTTTGGCAGCCAAATGTAGGGCGGTGGCACCACTTTTACCATCCCCAACGTTCACATCAGCACCCGATTTCAAAAGAATGTCTACAATTTTCGTAAATCCCCCGACAACGGCTACATGTAAACAAGTGTAGCCTTCATAGTTCCTTACATCTAGATTTTGAACAGTTCGCGATTCTCGGTGTTTCAGAATTTCTTTTACCATGGTAACGTTTCCAGACCGACATGCAATATGAAGCGCCGTGTCCCCGTTGTGATCAAACATTTCAGGATTGGCACCATTGTCTAATAAAAGTCTGACAATCTCGACTTGTTTCATCAAAACGGCAAGATGTAATGGCGTTTGTCTGAGTTTGTCGTTGTATATATCTAAGCACTCAGTCCATGGCGCCACTTCTATAAACACCTTTGCCAACATGACATGTCCCGAAATTATTGCAAGGTGGAGGAGAGTGTCGCCATCTGCGTCCCTCCCATAAATCAAAAAATCGTCATCTGTGAATTTTTCAGATGATTCTTCGACTCTCAGATCACCTTCTTGAACAGAATCACATATTCCTTCGTCGTTATCCTTCGTATCGATAGCCAACTTTTCAAAGTCTTCCACAGATTCTTCTACAGTTGGCTCTCGTCTTTGAGAATGTTTCAAAATTTGATCTCGAATGTCTGTAAGGCACCCACTGTCGTGGGAAGTAATGGAGGCTCCAAGGCCAGCGTCAGAATCAAATCTCTCTTCAGACTTCAGTTTGTCCAGTCTTCCATCAGATGGTCCAAATTTATGGAAGTTTTCAGGCATAGGTGCTGCACAGCAGTCTTCTTCTAGGTCGTTCATATCCATGTTTAGATCAGTGCAAAACTGTTTATCACAATCGAGTGTACAAAAATAAAGAATATAATTCAAATCTCGCAAGTTATGTACCTCTTCAACGGCTAAATTCCCAACGTATACTGTTTTTGTTTCGATGGACTTTCCACCCAACGTAGAAACTGGAAATTTTCAATCTAACAAAGACAACGCACAAAGGGACTTGTACGATAGGGAATTCCCGTTTGGATTTCCCCTAGATATGACCTAGATATTTGCAGCGGCGGTTGTCGGCAGTCATACAGCGTATCGAACTTTAACATATGGTTATTTTATCAAAATAGACTTTTTCCTGATGAATGTATTTTAGTTATTCACAAAATTTAAAAAAAAAATATAAGTATTATTGTGACCGGTAATTTTTACTTCCGCACAAACTAAAAAAGTAATGGAATTTATATATGATTAATATTAATCGTAAGAAATTTTTTTCCCTTCATGAATTTCAAAATTGCTTCGTTTAATATTGCATTGATGAGGATATCCATTGCCAACACCTTAATTATTTGTTTTGTACCTGTATATTTATAGCACGTGGGCGAAATCGTTTACTACACATTGTATGTATATAAGTAATACAATAATCCGATGATCAATATACCTACGTACGTCAGCTTTTTAAATATACCTATATGGCCTGTTCTTTTGATATACATTATGTAAGTTCTTATGTAGGATCTGATTTCATCATGTTCATTACAGGAAACCATATAAGGCAAAGAACCTGAAAAAATATTAGATATTAATTTTTGTACTTTCTCAACTATATAAAGATTATGTCAAATATTTCTACAAATATCCTCGTTAACGATGGAATTTCAATATTTCACGACAACCTAGATAAGAGGTGCGATCCCTGCTTCCATATGGCCTCGCCGGTTGAAATTTATTTATTTATTTATTTATTTAATTTATCTATTTATTTGTTTTCTCTTGATGTTTAAAAATTCTCATTTTAAAATAAAGTGATTAAAAACGTCAAAGAACTGCTATTATTCAATGTTTATACACTTTTAAAATAATTATATTATCTTAAAACTTGAATCCAAAACAAGTATTCAATATAATATGATGTACCTACTAGTATGTATTATATGTATCTATATATAAATGATATAAAAATGTTAATCTATAAAGTTTTGCTTTTAAAAAGTTTTTGTTTTGAAGTATTTATCACAAAGTGGAACTTTTAAAAATCAAATCAAATAAATGAATAAATGAAGACACCCCCCCTCCCCCGATTTTGCATGATATAAAAATTCGCTGACAAAATTTTCTACTAAAGATGAAGATACATTTGCACTCTGTCAACGTTTTAAACTCTTTGTACTTCGTATACCGTACGTGTTCCCCATCTCGTTATTGTTTAATACAAATAGAGATTTCAGTTTTATTTATTAACCTTGAAATTAAGGAGGGGCACGCCCCTAACGAATGGGTTTAGTTAAGAGTAAGGTGCATCTTCTATCGATCCTGTGCGATTAGCCGTGCCTGTATTTAATGAATATTTATAACTCACTTGTTTACACAAGGGTATTTCCATTCAAACTGGAAAAAAAACAAACACTACCACTAAGTTAACAAACAGGAAACGAGAGATATAATTCACCAGTAAGGGAGGGTGTGGTCTATTATGAAAGCACCCATTTACGGCCATGATAAAAAAAATTCCTTGATTTTCATTCATTTTTTTAAATTGTAGCAGGCGGGAGGCGGGCGGGGATGGAATCTTGGAATTTTTATGCGCAATAATTTAGAATATCGATAATTTATTTGAAGAGATCTTTAACTGAATTGTCAGTGGTGTATTTTCCTTTCTGTACATGTGTAGGCTAATGATAAATCGAAACACTTCACCAGAGACGTGACATGCTAGATTGGGAGTAGGCACCTCCTCCAGTTGGAAGGGGGGGGGGTTACCTTGGAGAGAAAAAAAATGGAGAAAATAAATACAAAATCATGCGAGTTTATAACATGAAAATAAAAGAAAAATTGTTTTGGAGATTGATGTAAAATGTATATATTCTTGTCTAAGTAACACAAGAAAAACTCTTAAACGTTCGTGTTTCTTTTCATCGATAGAAATTGTTTGCACACTTGAAAAACATCCATGATTATTTTGTAGTGGACTGTATAATGGGGACTTACAATGCCTCAACGTCCCGTTACCCCTCACTAGTAAGATAGCTTAAATTCAGAAAACTCGATCCTCAATTTCAGATAGTATATCTAGACAATATATAAGCTGTGGCGAGCCTGAAGAGCCCTAGCTTGGATGGATGATCGCTTCATAATACAAACACATATTTAGTAACTAGAAATATAGTATCGTCATGACTACTTACCGTATAGTCCAAAACATCTGACGTTTTCCAGGCTTTTTCACGATTTTGATATTTTACGTGCCAAAATCGTGAAAAAAGCCTGGAAAACGTCAGATATTTCGGACTACTTACCGTATAGATAATGAGTAATCTTGTAAAATTCTTCAGCACCAAGGTAAAATTCTTTTAATATTTAATATTTTCAATTCAAATGGTATTTTAGATTTTTTTTTTCCATTACAGTTTCCAAATAGTCCAAAATAGTAATCAAAAATAGCAATTATTCCGATCATGGACATTAACAGAAACTGTCTGCAAGATTTATAATTTTTTTTCCTCTTTTCAAATATTTACTACAGTATATATGTACATATTTGTTTTATGTCTTGAGGGAATGATGTGTATCAACAAAAACTGGGGGAGGGGGGGGGGCAACAACACCTAAATAAAAATTTACTACAGCAAAATATACTTAGAAAAACGGGGAAGTCACGCTCTCCCAAATTCTACAGGCCTGAGTAATTTAGCCTATAATTTTAAGGACACGTAAAAGTATTAGAAGGCAGAGATTATTTTTTCAGGGGACGTCCATTTGATTCTAGAGGGGGGCTGTCAAAAATCATGCCTTCACATGACAGAATATTTTTATTTCTAGGATGACAATTAAGAGCTTCTTTTAGTTATGTCTTCACTGAAAAAAGTTTGACAAACAAAAACAGGGAGGGTTGTCCAAACTAAAAAAAAAACTTTCTTATTTTTTTCCAAGATCGTTCAACCCCCTCTCTCCCCTCCCCAGCACACATATACACACACAAAACAGAAATCAAATATTTGCCCCCTTATGTTTCTTTAAAAATACTGGACAGAAAATCCTGATTTATATAAATTTCAAACTATTCCGTAATTGAAATTATTTGTCTTCTGTGGCAATCAGTAACACCGTGCATTCTAGAGTAGCTGAGGTGGATTGAAAATGAATTTCAAACTAGTTTCAATCCAATGTTTTCTCAGACGTCCGTGTCGAATTGTACCCGCCCATTTCATTGTCTATCATTAAATATTTTGACTGTAACAGATGGAAATGACGTAAGCTGCATATTTCCAAGTTCTGCGGTCTTATTGTATGATACACTATAGATTCCTGAATATACACTAGGAATTTATTGTCACGTCATTTCGCAAGAAGCTCAACTCAAGAAATAAGATTACTCACTTTATTCTTATGTTGCTGAAATACGTGTAAAAATTCCTGATCAACAGTCCGCTTGCGAATTCATGTCTAATTTGACGTTTGCGATATTTACGTAGTTCTCGCATAAAATAAGGAATCTACAGTATATAGGCCTCGCAAACAAAAAGTATGATGATTATCTAGGTAAAAAAAAAAAATAAGAAGAAAATAGAAGAGAAAAAAAACTTAGAAAAAATATATTTTAATTTTACTAAAAGTACGCAAATTAACATCACAGTGGTATTTCAGGAATTATGTTATGTACAACATAAAATAATTTTAATTGCTATATTCAAAATAATTTATAAACTTTTAAAAAAAAAATCTATGTAATATTCAACTCCTCCAAAACATCATCTCTATCTATACTCTGTAAGGCATCCACAACACCTTGAAGTCTGTCTTTTCCCATGTGTTTCAGTTTCCTGAGAAGTTGGTAAGTAATTTCATAATGCCCTTCATCTTTGTAGTCCATTTCTACTTGTTCAATCTGAACCTCTTTGAAACCTAACCGTCGACAGAACTTTTTATAATCACGTCCCAAATTCTCTGACAGTTTATCACATTCTTCATCTGTTATTGCTCTGTCAGGTGCTGGTTAAAAAAGAAATAATTTTATGGAATCTCATTTTTTACTTAAGAATTATATATGATTTTTTTTTTGTTATTTATTAACTGTCAAAACAAAACTTCTACAAAGAGAAACAATATTTCTAAAACTTGAGCTTTCATTCAAATTTTAAAGATTATGAGTAGATTGAAGATAAAAGCTCTGGCATTTAAGAAATATTATTCAAAGTCAATTCAACATTCTATGAAACTACATGCAAGTACATATACACTGCAAGAAATATAATATATGCTTGTGAAAATCCCCTGATAACTCTTCATGTCAATCTGTATAGCTTTTTTTAAGGGAATTTCCATACATACTTAATTCATTATTTTCATTTTTCACTTTAGAAAAGGAAGTTCAATCTGTGTTTAGTTTTCCTTCCTTTATACCACTTTAACTATAAGTATTATTCCTAAAACAACTGTTTTCATATTTGCTTTGTAAAAATGTGAATCATCTGCAGACATTTCTCAGGATTCAGTTTTCAATGAACAGAAACAAACATTTTGAATTTTGAATTCATTCTATCGATATCAAGGTAAAACAGCTGTAGAGTACTGTAGACCTTACTACAGTCACTATTGGTGCAAGTTTACAATCACTGAAAGAATTCATTCAAGCTTTTTTTTTTGCATTTAGACATGTATATACACCACTGACCAATAAACTGTAAACTTGCACCAATAGTGACTGTAGTAAGGTCTACAGTACTCTACAGCTGTTTTACCTTGATATCGATAGAATATTATGTATATAATTGTTTTGAAAATTTTAAGGACAATTTAATTATTTTATTTTTAATTTATGACAATCCAGTATATCCTGTCAAAAACCCTCATACATGCAACATGCAGCACTGAGAAAGACAGTCAATAAGAATATAGGCTGCTAACTGCCTTGCTGTTGAAAAAAATGGTTCTGAATGTAGACAGCTCACTCATAGATTAACGATGAGTGGATTCTGAGCTAGAGATATATAGCAATACTCCTTTTTTCTTGAAAAAAAATCGTCAATTTTTTTCATTTAACTTCAATTGAAAAAAAAAACATAAAAATCAATTATTTCCTGCCTTCCCCCAGTGGCAATTCCAAACAAACAATTTCAACGAATGGCCTAGACTACTTTTTTGTATAAAGAAATAATTTCAGTCTATAAATTTACATTTGTTTTAATGCAATAAAAACTGGTCCAGAATAAAATCTTTTGAAGAAAACCTACAACAAACATAATTAAACCCCACCCACAGCCCTTGAAGGAAAAGGTTACATCTAAGGGTTTACAACCAAAGGCTCCCTTTCATTGTTTGATTTTCAATATGCATATATATGTCACACAGAATGACTGCAGAAAAGCATTTGTCTGGAAACTCATTGTTGGTTATGCATTCCCCTTTTTTCCATTTCCTAATTGATTGAAAAAGGAATAAAAGAAAACCATCTCTGATCCCAATATTAATGGGTAATCTTAAAATAAATAAAATGAGCAGAGGTTGAATGCAATGCCAAGAACATATATGAGACATATCACACCTTCGATCTTCTTCCTGTCCTTTTTCTTAGCTTTTTTCTTCCATTTTGAACTTGAGGCACCATGATCTCCCACAACCATGAAATTCTGATCTCCTATTTGTATATTTGGGAGCTTGTCGTTGGGAATTGTACCCAAGTGTAATGTGGTTCGACCTCCACCTCCTGAAAGGACAATAGAATGAATGTTGATAAATTAAATACTGTCTTTCAGAAAAAAAACCCTTAGAAGATGGACGTTTTAATCTTACATTGTTTTGTTAGTCTACATTCCAATATCATATACTTCATTTAACTACAGTCAAACCTCATTATCTCAAACTCAATGGGATCAAGGAAAAACTTCAGGATATTCTTGAGTTCAAAATATTGAGGGTTAAATACATAGAGGAAAAGGGGTTGGGATTTCCAAACGACTTCAACATATCTATGGGATTTGACATGTTTGAGATACCGAAGTTCAACTGTACTAAATACTAATTCCAAGAAAACTCTTATAGTTCATTAAGTGTTGGATCTGTAAGTTTCCTTATCTTTCCTCAAGAGAAGTAACAAAATAGACCACAAAATGAGCTGAATTCAGACTGATGGACATCTCTATACTACATCAGTCTTAAGATACATATATCAATGTAATACAGACTCATATTCAATTAATGGAGGGAGGATCTACAAAACTTGGGAAAATTCATAAAAATTTATCTGGGAACTGGAATATGAAACAATTCAAATAGAATTTTTCCAATACACAAGTAATTTTGTAAGGAATTGTTGTCACAGTTATTGAACTTGTACACTCTTAATTTTCCAAAGAACAAAAAAAAAACCCACACTATCAAGTCTTTTAAATCAATCTACAGGCACTTCTAGTACATGTCTTTTAATGACCTCCTTTTATGAGCCTATGTTGTATACATATATACATCTTTAAAAACATCTCTCATATAACTTTAAGGTAATTTAACAATGTTTTATCTCCAATCTCCAACTGCCATGTTGAGAAAATGCACCTTGTGCATGACTGACAATAATAAATTTTTATGTAATCGTAATTAGAAATGATATTTACTATGTTCATAATGGATGGTTTGAGGTTGATCACTACTTCTAGATTTCTTTGTTGAATCTGAAGTACCCGGTCTGGCATCTGTTTCAATCTGGTAAAGAAGAAATTTTGTTATGTGTTTGTTCATTTAAATACATAAGTGACAGTGTTCACAAAGTAACATAATTCAAGGAATGTTCATTGGCATCCTCACAACATCAGGGGTCCTGAGTCCACACATGCTCTTGGAGCCCCTGAGAGACTTCATTTGATGTTTTATGGGCTTGCTTCTCTCATTTAAAAGATTCAGTCAAATTGGGGCTTTCATAAACTGACATAAAACATAAACAGAAAGTAATCAGTTGACACCTCAATGCATGTACTATAGAAAGGCTGAATGTGATTGGTCAGGAGATAAGAAAACAATCAAGTTTTGTAACTCCCCTGAGAGACCTTGCTGCAGTCAGCCCATAAAATATTGAATGAAGTTTGTCAGGGGTCCCACGACCACATGTGAACTCAGGAGACTCCTGACATTGTGAGGATGGTTCATTGACTAAAAGCTATGAAAGAATATCACCTCTGATTGATATGATGCTACGTCTTCTTCCATGAAGTCTGAAATTGTCTTGGAAGATGCTTTTACAGTTTGGAATGATGTGATACCTGTCAACTACATACAAGAATATCTTATGATAATATATTACACACAATACTATTTATTGCATTGAAAACTGCTTGGTATATAAAAAGAATAAATCATTACTCTTTCATGTTACCTTTACAATTTAGATATAACTTTCACAGCTTCTCTTCTGTGAATTTAGTTAGAATAATCTAACTGTGTCTCGGGACAAGCCCTCGATCACCACAGTTAGAATATGTCCCATATACTTGCAATGTAGCAAATCGGAGTGGATCCACTCCGAAATGATTTTGAAGAATACAAAAGGAGTTGCACTGAAAATAACTACCAAATTAATCATAACAAACCTTTTTGAGATTGTATATGCCTTTTAACCTAAAAAATAATCCATATAAATACGAAAATTCAACTCATTTTCTCAACGTTTTTTCCTTGCTTCAAATTTAACGCCATGTTGACATTCGGAACTCTCTGGATTGTTCATAGAAAATGCACAGAGTTCGAGTTATCGCCCGTGTTTATTTTGCTACATTGCGAATACACGGAACGAATTCTATCGTTAAACCGGGTCCGTAGGACAATATCATTTTAACGATAGAACATTCTATCTACTGTGAATTGTACACGTAAACATGTTATCTTAATATGTCTCTGTTTACCCCAGGGACATATATGCCTAGTATATTAATATATAGGACCCTTTTTATACCAAAATGATATTAGTCCTGCATTTGGAATTAAAATTAACTATTAGCAACATAACAAGGTCAGCATTGATCTTAGCTAGATATTTAGAGTTGACAATCATGATCATAGGTTTTAAAATGCTCCGACGTTAGATGGTCCTTGCAAACATCGGAAAATCAAACACGTGTCTTGTTCTTTCATATATTTATCTCAAAAGAGAGAAAGCTGATAGTGATCCAGTCTACATCCCACTTCTTTCAGTTTTTACCAAACCCAGGAAAGAAATCAAAAACTTACAAATTTGTCGATTGTCATTTTCTAAAAGTCCTCAATCATAAGTGCCAGCGTTCACTTTCTCAAAGACTTTTCTGTGTTTACAATATCAATATGAATGCCATTATAGAAATTATGTTACCTTAAAAAGATTGTGAAAATTACCAAAATCCAAGATCGCACAAACCGAAAGTAGAATGGGAAGGCGGTAAAAGAAGTTCGTCAGATGCGACAGGCGATAAAACTAGTACTCCTGATGCCTCTCTCAACTGAATTGCGTTTTGTTTTGTTTTTGTTTTGTTTTGTCATTTCTTCTGGGTTTGTGTGTGTGTGTGTGAGGGTGTGTGTGTGTGTGTTTAATGAGGGTATCTGTAAACTACGAAAAGAAAAGAAACAAAACGAAACGGAGAGGAAACAAAAAGAAACGAAGAAAAGAAACGAAACGTAGATTTCATCAGGAAAAAGATGAAAGGAAAAAAAGATTTATACAAAAAGTACTAAATTTAAGATGGGACTTAATATAGTATTGATTTTATAGGTCAATTAAAAGCACATAATATATATGATTTTGTGTATACATCTAAAGTAAATTAATTTAGGGGGGAGAGAGGCTTTGTTCATTGATAATTTGCGGTTCTGTAGTGCATGTGACTTGTTAATACCATTTGACTGGAGGTTAGAGGCTCTGTCAGTTTTTCATGATGGATTTTTTTGTGTTCAGTATATGCGTTTATTGACCAATCAAGGATCCTCGGGGGATACACGGTATACACGGTTTAGGTTTTTTTTAACTACTAACAACTTCACATAGACTTTGAAACAGGAGGGGGTGATGTGCTCCCCCCTTTATTCCCCAAAACACATTAACATCTTAGTCCTTTCCCACTTTTTTCCCACAAAAAATTACTCGAATCTTGCACCCTTTCCCCCATTTCTTATATGTCTCGAAATTTTATAAAAATAAAAATAATTGCCATCAAACACCCTCCCCATCATATTTACACTTTTTTTAATTTCATGCATGTGCTTATCAGTGGGAAGAGCAAACTTCACTATATACTTATCGATAAAGGACACCCCCAACCCACACACACACACAAACACACTGATAAGAATGCCAGATGCTTTTATATAACCCATGAAATCGATATTGTGATAATTTCAGTCTTGATAAAATAATCATTATAAATTTATATATATTTTATTCCTTTTTTCTTCTTCTTATTTTTATTTACTTTTCATTTCTTTTCCTTATGTTTTTTCCTCTTTTTGTTTTCTTTTCGTTTTTTCACTTTCTTTTCTTTCTTTCTTTTTTTTTCGATTCTCTTCTTTTCGCAGTTTACAGAGTACACCATGACAGTTTACGTTTCTGGCCTGAAACTTTAGAAGACTTTTCTTCCGATTTCAACCGAAAAAAAAAATATCTGGCTGATCTGAAGACAATTTTAAAGTAAAAAAAAAAATTCAATATCTATTTATTTATCCGTTATCATGTTAGAATTTCTCAGTTAGTGTCACTTCTTTTAAACTCTTTCTTATTCATTTTTCTCTCTCCAAATTTTGGGGCTGAAATAAGATTTTCCAAAAGGGTTTTTTAAATAAACTAGAGGCCAAATGGCTTTAACGGTCACCTGAGTATATCACAACCCTCAGTCCCTGTAAAGGATCTATGGAATGGCAATTTATAAAACAAAATAAACTGACAGATGAAGTTGTATTGCTCAAAACAAGAGAAATATCATAATCAGGGATCGGCAAAATAATTAGTATGGTAATCAACAACAAATCAGAATGATGTAGATTTACTTGTTTGTATGTGCCAGTGCTCTCTAAACCAAACTAACATAATTGTGCTTTAGCAACATAGTAAGCCTAGCTAGTGGCCACTGCAATGGTATCTCTTACTATTAATCATCTATTATTTCAAAGTCTACATGGCCATTAAAAACTGTAAATGTGCTTTTTGTATATTAGACATTAAAAATTCTTGTATAATTCTTTTATTCAATATATCTATCAGCTACATTATTTACAGTGATTAATTACCATACGTGAATAATAATGGGCAATAACTCCTCTTATTTCCATATATGATCATAATAGAGCCCCGCCCTAACCCCAGACCCCTGATCCAAGGGCCATGGATTTCACAATTTTGGAAGAAGCACTCATGCTCATCATACAACTTTGTCTGCCAAAGTTTAATACCCATGTAGGAGGAGAGAGATTTTCAAAGAATTAATACATTTTCATCATGTGATCAAAAGAGTCCCGTCCTAACCAGAATACAAGATCCAGGTTCCATGAATTTCACAATTTCGGAAGAAGCACCCTTGTTCATCATAACCATGCACTTGTTTGTCTACTAAATACACAGGAGCAGAAGAAAATTTTCAGAGAATTAATACATTTTCATTACGTGATCAATAAAGCCCCCTTGCTCCACAACCCCTGACCCAGGAGCCATAAATTTCACAATTTGGGGAGAAGCCTCTTGCTCATCATATTTATGTGCTTAGTTTGTCTGCTAATTATACAGGAGGAAAGATTTTTGTATGGAATTAAAAATTATACCCAGGAGCAGAAGAACTTTTCAAAGATATAGGTGATTCCACTCTCGTTTGATGTCAACAGTTTTTGCAAAATCTTTCATTAATTTAACAATATTAATTGAACAATATAAATATATTTTTTAGAAGAATGTTTTTAAATAGGTTGTTTAATGAAAGAATTACTAGTAATAGAATAATATTCAGGAAGCAATTTCATTTTGGGGAGGGGGGACAACCAAACTTATTTCAGTTTGGGTGGGCACTACCAAGCAAAAATTCCTTGGCAAGCCCCCCCCCCCCCCTTTACTATAAATAATAATTTATTTACTCTTTAAAAACATGCAAAGGGCAATAACTCTTATCCACGCATCTTTTTTCATGTATTACTTTAATGGATTCCCCGATATCCACAATCTATATATATTTTCTAAGTTACAATTATTTGGGAGTTTCATTATTAAAATTATGTCATTTGAGCAAGTTTAATTGATTTTGATGATGCTATTAACCAAAAATGAGAGTTTTTTTTATTCTTACAGATATACTTCTGTTTATCTTTGTCTGAGAACTTGAGCGGGGGACCTGTACATTTTTGTGATTAGTATTATAGTTAAACTGTATTCGGTGGAAATTAAAGCAGTTTTTAAACGTAGAACCCATAAAAGTGTAAGTATGAACTCACCGTAATGTATTTTCAACATACAAATATATGAACAATAGAGCCCCGTCCTAACACCAGACCCCTGACCCCGGGGGGGGGGGGGGTTGAAGAATTTAATGCACTTTCACTATATGATCTATAGAGGCTCACCCGAACACCAGAACCCCTAACCCTGGGGCCATGTATTTCACAATGACTGCTTGATATCCAGGGGTAAAGATTTTTTTTTAAAGATTGCATTAATTTTTATGGTTTTGGTCCCACCCCTCAGGCCCCAGGAGGACAGAAATTATCAAGTTTTGTTCCTTTTTACCCATAGATGCTATATATTAAAATTGAATGAAATTGGGTCAGGGTTTTTCAGAAAAGAAGTTCAAAATGTTCAATTAAATGCTAACGCACGACACACGAAGACGAACAAAAACAGATAAATACTGAAAATTGAAATAAGCAAAACTAATTTGTTTCAGAGGTAGCTTCAATTTTTAACATTCACGTTTCTACAAATAGTAAATTTTCTTATGGTTACCATGGAGATACTTTAAAATGAATGTTGCTTAGCAGATTCAATTACACACCTTTACGTCATGAAAATGAAGGTATTCAGATAAAAAAAAAAGGCTTTTAGTCCAATATTCAATACATGTATTTATATGCAACAAATAAGCTAATTAAAATTAAAGACCGCTGAATTTAAAATAATTTTAAGGGAACGTCTAAAATATATATTACTCAGTATTGCATGACAATTCAGATAGATTCGTCCTATAAAAAATGAGAACTTAAGATGGGACTTTTTATTTATAAAAATGATTGATCACACATTTACAAAATGTATTGGAGTAAGTCCGACGACGAAGAAATTATTTTAAAGAAACGTCTAAAACATAAATTACCCAGTATTCAATGACAATTCTGACATATTCGTCCTACAAATAATGAGAACTTAAGATGGGACTTTTTATTTATTAAAATGGCTTCATCACACATTTACAACTGAATGTACTAGGAGTAAGAAATTCAGATTCAGCTCAGTAGAGGAACACCTGCAAGGTATAGTGTAAATTGAACCAAAGTTCGATAGCTGAATTCCTTTGGATCAGGTAAATTGATTGTTTGTCGAAAATCAATCATCGATCGACTTCTGCGTCAAGTAGATTCCTTGATTGCTACAATCTGTTCTTGACCTTCCTCTGGTGACTCTCGACCTGTCCCAGTATTTATCTCCCCTGATTCCAATATGCTGCTATCCCTGACTAAAGACGAAACACTGTCCTGGATTACTGTTTTTTCTCTAGTTTTTGTATTGTTTGTATTTACAGCGTTCTGTGTTTGAGAGGTTTTGGCCGTGTTTAGCTTTGGGATTTTTGCATTAGAAGGCGCAAAATTTAGTGTCGTTTGGGTCTCCCTTTCTTCATTAGAGGGCGCTAAATTGACTGTCATTTGATCGTTTCTCTCTATTGTCTCCTCCAAAGACAAGTTTTTATTTTCTGCTTTACTGGATGTAACTGTCGCAGGTGCTGAGGGCGTTCTTATCAAAGGAGAAAACATAGGTCTTTTCCTTGAAAATATATCCCTCTGGAACATACAAAAAATATTTTTTTTTTCATTATTTTGTTCAAATTTTCAATTTGGGAAAAATACATGTAGTGGTGTACATGCATATAGAATCCAGAAAAGTACAATAATATTCCCTCTTTATTTTCCTCCCTAAATAATAGATGTCAAAAATATTATATCTTTTAAGTTAAAGAGACTATTTAAAAAAATGTGTTTGTGAAACACTGATGCCCCCGTATGGCAACTTATAGCGAAGGTTAAACTTTCTCAAATGCAAATCAAATATGTTGGTACCAAAAGTAAGGTCTTGTCTCGAGGAATATACCTGTGAAATATGAAATCCCCAGCAGCAACCGTTGAATAGATATGGAAAAAGTTAAAAGTTTTTTCAAAAGTAAGTCAAACATCAAGGTTAGGGTAAAATGGTCAAAATTAATGGCGCCAAACGAAAGGCCTTCTCACAAGAAATACACATGTGAAATATGAAAGCTCTAGCACCAACTCTAAAGTAATAGTCAAGGTTAAACTTAAAGTTTTTCAAAAGTAGGTCAAACTCCAAGGTCAAAATTGTTGGTATCCAAAGTAAGGTCTTGTCACGTGGACTACATGTGTGAAGTATGAAAGCCCTAGCACCAAATATTCAAAAGTAATGGTCAAGGTTAAAGTTTTCAAAAAGAAGGTCAAACTCCAAGGTCAAGGTCAAAGGGCTACAATTGTTGAATCCAAAGGAAGGTCTTGTCACAAGAAATACACATGTGAAGTATCAAAGCTCTAGCACCAACCATTCAAAAGTTATGGCCAAGGTTAAAGTTTTTCAAAAGTAGGTCAAACTCCTAGGTCAAGGTCAAAGTTATTGGTATCCAAAGGAAGATCTTGTCACAAGGATTACACATATGAAGTATGAAAGCTCTACCTTTAACTGTTCAAAAGTTATGGCCAAGGTTAAAGTTGGGTAAAATTTTGCAAAACTGGGTCAAACTCCAAGGTGAAAGCCAAAAGGTCAAATATGATGGTACCCAAAGAAAGGTCCTGTCACACGGAATACACATGTGAAATATGAAAGCCACAGCTCCAACCGATGAAAAATTATGGGCAAAGTTAAAAGTTTTTGCGGACAAACAGACAGACGGACGAACAGGGCAAAAACTATATGCCCCCGAATCTTCGATTTTCTTGACATAGTTTTATTTGAGATCGATCAATGTTTGTCGTTACCTTCACCTTTTTCCTTGCGCCCCCCCCCCCAATAAAATGAAAAAAAAAACAGTTAAATTAAAAAAAATGAATCCGCCTGTGTTGAGCTGCATCTTGCATGTGAGATATCATATATGTGCAAAATTTGTACTTTTAAAAATTTTGTTATTATCTTGCATGTCAACGTAATATTATAGAGATATTGCAGAAATGCCCACCATATATAACTACGATGAAAACGTCCAAGAAGTGCCGATTGATTATACATTGGGAAAGCCTCGGTAATCAGCTTTCGTTTTCTAGTTATTTTTGGCGGTTAGGCTGTGCAGCAAGGTATAACAATAGGAAAAGAAATTTAAAGCGTGCAGGTATGTGCATTTGTAATCCCTTTAAATATCCATTTAAAAAAAATTAATCACCGCATAACTTCCCATAGCAGTTTGTCCGAGACTTTGTGTCTAACGTTATACTTGAGAGTTCTGTGTCGAGACTGGTCCTAGTCACTAGGCCTATAATCAATGCCAATGGACACTGTGTATTTTAAATTACTATATAACTAAAGACAGGTCGGGAGTTCTTATATGCAAAGATTATGAAATATTCTATGAAGTTTTCAGTCTACAATTTTATACCAGATATTGTTATTTTATTTTTCAGGAGCAGCAGGATTTTGCCTAATTCAGTAATTGCATGCATCTTGCCAAGAAACATGAGCTTGATAAGTTTTCTTAGATGTGTAAAACAATCAAATATACCAAAAGCATTGACAGTGTTTCAAAAGACTACATCTACTCATGCAAATAACAATACATTCAAAACGTTGACAGTCAATAGTTCTTCCAGTAGTCATATTGAGCAATTTAAGTGCATTTTGCCTAGTGAAAATCTCTTCAGTATTGTTTCACAGAGAGGTGCAGCTACAACTAAGGCATTAACAAGTAAAAAGTCATCAAGCATTGAAATCACCGTACCAGAACCACCAAAACGCCCTTCAAGTTCCTACTTACTGTTTTTTAAGGACCATCATGATCAGGTCCAAGCAGAACTTGATGCAGACATGGGAGAAAGAGCCCCCAGTACTCAGGTCATGGCTCATATAGGAAAGTTGTGGAAATCTTTGCCAAAAAGTGAGGCTCAGGTATACAAGGACAAAGCCAAACAACTTTCTGAGGAATATCAGAGGAAAAAGGTGGCATGGAAGGAAAAATTGACCCCATTGCAGGAAGAAGTCATCCGTCAGCAAAAAATGGATCATGACCAGACCATAAAAGAAAGAAAGCTCAAGAAACTGTTTGAAGAAACTGAAAAACCTAAGCGCCCAAAAAGAGCACAAGCCATCAACTTAATGGATATTGCAGACATTGAATCATCATTGGAAGATGGTGATGGAAACCAGAAGGAAAAATTTACTAAGTATATCCATGCCAAAACTGAAAAATGGAAATCACTGCCAGAAGAGGAAAAGGAGGCACTGAGAGAACTTGCCAGGGAGCAAAATAAACAAGCAGAGTCTAATTACCATAAGAAACTTGCTGAGTGGGTGCTGAGTATGTATGATGAAGACATGCTGGATGTTGTGACAAAAGATGAAGCTAAAATAGTACTTCATCAGCTGAACATGCCGAAGAGGAGAAAGACAGCCCTACAGATTTTCCAAATGTCTGACTTAGGAAAAGAAATGGGTGTAACAGTGGCAACTGCCAAGACCATGTTTGAGAGTCTTCCTAGTGGGCAGAAAGAGCACTTCAACAATCTATCTAAAAATGATAAGAAAAGAGCAGAGAGGGAATTTGAAGAGTGGATGGATGGATTGAAAGAAAGAAATCTTGGAGGTTATGCTAAGGCACTAGTTAAAAAATCAAGGGCAATCAAATCCTCTAGTGAGAAAGTAGTGAAGGAAGAAAAAACATCAAAAAAGAAAACCAAGGCAACTAAAGGAAAATCAAAGAAAAAGGTTGAGAAAAGTAGTGCAAAGAAAAAGTAGAAGAGTAAACAATCTCATAATGAAATTTTAAGTACATGTACTACAACTCTTTGTTCACCTACATTTATCGTCTTACACAAAAGTTACATACATGTTTATATGTACCTGTGTATATTATTTTGTACAAGATTCACCACGTTTTGTGTGAGTAACATTATACATTTATTGACTGGGTTTGAGGGCAACATGGGTTTTGTTGCACTCAAGAACAATTTGGTTCGAGGGGTCAACAAAGTGCATTTTACCCGAGAACACAGTCAATAAAAGTTTTGTTATACCTTTTATTTTTTGGACATACATGTATCTTGTGCTGGCTTCCAAGATGTCCAAGGGGTTAAAATTTAGGTCAATTCTGTTACTGTCGAAACCAACGAATGCAAATAAGATTTAGCTGATTCCACCCATAGTGTGACCTAAGAGTTCCAATATCTCATTGACAGGTCCAATATGTCACTCTGCGGTCAAACATCAATTTTTTTTTACCTCGGTAAAACATTGGAAATGTTTAAACTTCTTTCAGTATGGATTTTTATAGGAAGCAATTTTTAAAGGTATGACAAAATGTCTTAATTGAATGTGTTACTTTTCCTTAACTTTCAACATCTAACATCCTTTAATATGAGAATCTGTTTATAAGAGGATGTGCCTGACTGCCTATTTTTTGTCATACACTGTTTCTATGGATATAATTGGCATTACACTGTATATGTTTGGTTATAAAGTTTTTGTAGCATGTTTGAGTATAAATTTTGTTTCTGTTGTATGTTTTTGATATAAATTTTGTTTCCGATATAAAGTTTGTTTTGTATGCACTTTTTTGGGAGAGTTCATGTACATGTAAATCTGTCATGTACATGTCTTATTCATGTAGATTTAGTTTGTAAACCATTTGATCAGGTCATGGGAAATGGAGTAAATAAGAGTCTGGACAATGAAATTAAGATCCAAGATTTGATAGAATACAGATAAAGTGAGGTTGTAAGGGGAGATCATCAAAGAACTGATTGTCATCAAATTGAAAGCACAGTAATTTCACGAAAGTTATACACTTTTCATGCAAAAAAGCTAAGTTTATTTATTAGTCTCCTGATGATGAAACTGGATGGTACTACAGGTTTCATCTACATATGTCTGTCTGTTGAAATCTACTATTGTATTTGAACTTTTTTTTTACTAGACATGTGCATATATAGAACTTGATTTTTCTTATGCAAGTCTATCTTGATGAGTTAGGGTCAAATTTGCATTTTGTTCTGCTTCAATGATTTTTGATGGAATTACAGCCCATACCTTTTTTGAGAATTGGTACAATATATTATTTATAAATGCAATACTCTCGGAATGCTTGTTTTATACTATGAAAGATTTGTTCTTATGACTTGCTTTTTAGTATCTACTTGTATACATACTTGTAACACATCTTGATATAAAGTGAAATTTCCATTACATGAAAAAGTTAATATCCAACTTGCTATACATTTTTAAGATATGTCTAAATGTCTTGGATTTAGTGGATTGAAATTATAGATGCTTTGAGAAATTGTTGACCAATATTTTTTTTTCCTGAAATTTTAAACAACAGTAATGGAAAATGATATATGTAATGCTTGCTACATCATAAATTCTGTAAAATAGTATTATAAAATGGTTGTATTTCTTGCCTTACAGTCAATATATTTGATGGTGGTATTGTTACAGGAAAAATGTGTGCGTTAAATGAAATAAAATTTGTTCATGGCAGCATTTACTAAGTATTTGATTCCTAATGGCTTTGGATAAGATATGGGTACATAATTTTTCTCGGGCAAGGATTATTTCAATTTAATGATGAATGAGTAAAATGTCTGGGTCTCAAAAATTCCCTATTACTTGAAACAGCCCTTCTAAATGCTGATAATTTGGTTGGATACATAAGTCTTAATAATTCTTTAGCTATTATCTTGAGCCACATGTTTACCCCTGCTTACCATTACAACTAAGAAAAATCATGTTGCAGACATAGGAATACCCTCTTAGGAGCCTCAACATTGTTTAAAAGAATTTTTAGATACATCAATATATCAATCTATTGCTATCCATCTTTCCATATATCTGTGATGTTTCTATAGCAGATAAATGTTCTGAGAACATTTTTGACTTCACATTATCATTCAGTTAAACTTGTCACCAAAAACTCCTCATTCCAGGAAATTCATTAATTTTTCAAATGTTGGGCTATGGGAGGTAATTAAGAAAATTGGATGATACTGTTCAAAAATATTTTTAGTCCAATCTTACTAACATCAGATCCTTTGATCTGCTCACATGGGAAGCAATCTATGTGAGCTGATAACAGATTTAATTTTAAGATATGGCTGGACAACAAATTGCATTATTAACATGTATTTTAAGCTTCTTTATGATGATGAGGGGGTTGTTAAAGGTCCAAAAGTAAAGATTAGAAATATATAGAAAAAAAATCTTGAAAAATGTTCCCAAGGACTGCAATGTTAACTTCAAATTGCAGGAAGAGTTGCAATTAAGCCAGAGGAACAGGGTTAAGGCTGCAAAAGAGTTATTTTAAATTATCATATAGAACTTCCTCTCAATATCTACAAAACTACTATTTGTCAAATTCATAAGATCTCAAGATGAAGAATACCTGAATTTTGCTTTAAGATGCTTAAGAATAACAAAATGCTTGTGATTTCATCTGCATGTGCCTCAATTAATCAAAAAAAAAATTTCAACATTGAGCTTTTATGTGATACATGTACATTCACTAAAACTAAATATCTGAGAAGAGAAATCAGCAAATGTTCCTTAAAAAATATTTTTTCCGAAAAAAAAAATACTGTACAAAGATCTTGTCTGAGAAAAGCATTCTAGTAAATTAACTTTCATATTCCTTGATAAAATTAAGTCAGACATTTGCTAATTTCAGTATCTTCCCCGGAATAGGAACAAAAGGAAGAAAAACATATGATAATTTTCTTTATTTCTGATGTATGTATATTTACAAATAAAATGCCAGAATCTTATATCCCCAGCTACATAGTTACACAAATGAGAACAGACGTCAAAGTTGGACTTTTCAGAATTCCTCAATCCTTACATATTGAGGAGGAGAACGTTTGCTGTTTTCTTTTCTGATTCACTTTTTGTTCACGACTTACATTTATAGATTGTTCTCCCATGCTCATAGCTTCCCTTTTTTCCCTATCATTTGTTTTAGCCATATTTCTCATGATGCTGATTGGATCTAAAAATCACCAATAAATGCATTGACACTGTTATTAATTACTAACAGGTTAAAAAAAAAGTTTGTTCTTTTAATCAGCTAAACTTGGATATGTTCTTAAGCTCACTTTTTGCCAGAATCTGTAAAATAAGAGATAATATTTTTGAAAACAAAGATGCTGGTCCTTGGTAACATTACATGTATGTATGAAATCTAGGGCAGATGACAGACCCTTTCACTAATACACCCACAGTAGAATAATTAATGTTATATATATTGCCTTTTTTGTACGAATACAAATACATGTAAATATTACAGAGTGTTCCCCTATTACCATTCACAAGTAGGTCAACGGCTGTTTGTAACAAAAATCCCTATATTTTCCAACAAAGAAAAATTGCATTTTTTCAAGCCCTGATTGCTTCTGGTACATGTACATATTTTAACTGTAAAGGCAAGCTTCCATAAACCTAGGAAGTACCCAGTGTGAAATTACTTAAGAAATGAATTTAATTTTTGAAGATTCATGAGGACATAAACTACGACGCTTTACGCTGGCATATTTCATGAAGCGTGTTTGTGCTTCATGATAAATATGCCGGTGTGAAGCGTCATAGTTCATGTACCTCATGAATCTTCAAAAATTAAATTCATTTCTTATATTTACATTATTTTTTGATGAATTGCCACAAATTACGCCATTCAATTGTCATTTTTAAAGCAAAACAGTTTGCACTATAGTTTTGACTTCAAGTATGGTATTATGACCTAACAATGGATAAATTCATGCTCATCCATGGTAGTTCATGAGAAAATGAACAGTCTTCTAATTTGCAAAGAATCTGAGGAAAAATATTTGGAAATGTATATATATTTTTATATACTAAGTCATAATGTCATACATATTCCATTATGTTCTTTTTAAATAAATGCTGTGAATCTCCTGATACTTCACCTTTTCTAGAAGGTTTGAACATTTCCTTGATTCTATGAAGCCCTCTTAATCCCCCTCCCATTGTCGGATGATCGTCATCCTCATCGCTGTCCATCATGTGTCTCCTCATCATCATCGGGTCAGGACCTCCCATCATGTCCAACATCATCATCATGTCATGGTCATGAAACATCCCCATTGGATAACCTCGCCTACTGTTATAGAAAAAAAATCTAGTCTTTAATATACATGAACATGTAATTTTTTGTCATGATAAATAATGATCATTCCAACAAACACAAGATGCTTCAATTTTTCCTAATTTTCCATTAAAAATAACATTTCAGCTGCTTTTTCCAATTTGAAAATATGGTATGATATGTACTGCACATACAAACTTTCTGTCTCTTGTGTTTTTCTCTCCCTACCTGCTTGGCTTTGTTATATACCCTCCACCTGGTAAAGGATACTTCTGTTTGGCATCCCCAAAGACCTTCATCAACAACTCTTGATTTTCAGGCCTACAAAACAAAGATTGATTTGTTAACATTTAGTATTCATCTATAAAGAAAGAAATTATAGGTCTGTTAAGCAACGGTACACATTACTCTACCAGAGTGTACTGTGGAATCATCATTGTTCACAGGGTCCAATGACTCATGAATTTACATTCCTGTAAACAATAACTTTGTGTTTCCTTAATAGTTTATTGAATCTCCTGTAAATAAAAGTTACCCATGGAATTACGTCACCAAAATTTTGGTTGCCCATGACCATCGATCCCCACAAATTGAAATGATTCCACAGTGATTTTCTGAATTAATGCACTACATCTGCAGCACTTACTTCATCAAATCACTAAGAAGACTATACTCTGTGTGTAGCAGGGCAAGGAGAAGGACAGGATCTTTAGCCAGTTTGATGACCTCTGGGTCTAAGGTCGTAAGGCTCAATGGATTACTTTCTGGGGCTGCATCGTTGCTTCGTAATAAAGTTTCAAACATCCTAGGATTTTCTAAAGCTTTTTTCACTCTGTAGTAGTTTCCTGCATAAGAATTACAAATGGATTAAAATAAGAGATAAAGAGTTTGGTATTCAAAGGCAGTTAATTTTAACATTCTTTTTAACATTGAATAAGCTTTTAATATGACCACATTTTCTTACCACCCTTCTTTAGTTCAGTAATATGTGGATGATCCGCAAATGTTTTTTCCACTCTCCTTCTACGTTCTGTTCGTGGAGTTTCTTGGTTCCTGTGATTCCAGCTATCAGTTTTACCATATCGTCCAGCCCGCGCTATGTTGTCCAGTTCCTTCGCATTTGCTTCTTTCCATGCACGTCCTCTTTCCTTTGCCATCCTCAAATGTGTTCCACTTATATTACCCCAAAAGTCATTTCCAGGACACAAAATCTCTTTTTTAAATAGTTCATCCTCATCTAAATATCTCTTTAATTTCTCATCATCATTCAATATTGCACTATACTTAGAATCAAGACTAAAGAAGCTATTACAATAATTAGTACGGGCAACAAGTAAAGCAAGAGGGTCTCGCAATATTTTCCGAAATGTCTTTTCAGCACTTGACATCTCCAATTCTTTTTTAAACAACACTGATTGTACTGGTCCCTCATCTTCAGTTTCCATGACTTCTGGTGTCTGAGGGCCTTGAGAGATGGACTGTTCATGTGTACTTGTGGAAGCAGATCTACTTGTTGAAGCTGATGAACTTTGATCTGAACCTTGCTGCTTTGGAGAAGTGTTCTGAGCAGGTTGTGGTTCATTTATATGATCAATGTGATTAGTGTAGATGTAAATTAGGTTATCTGGGGTCTGAAAGAATTTGAACAATTGCAAAATATTTTTAAACCTTTAATATTTCTTAATCTTGTTATTAATGTGTACCAACTGCTTTAAACTACATTCTTATATGTATCTAAATATCTATCATGTTATTTAAAAAATATATGCATCAGGCACTATCTTTTTATCCCAAAATATTGAATAAATTATTATTATCAACCTGTACAAGTTTGTGAAAAAAAAGAAAAATTCACATGCAAATCTTTTCTTTAAGACAACTATAGTTGTTGTCAATTTTTGGCTAGCTGCAGATTTGTAGCAACCTGGTCTCAAAAATATGGAGTGTCTGTCCATCGCATATTTCTCAGATTGTAGAGCTACAGATTTTCAGGTACTTTGTGGTACATGTATACAGTGTTGTTTTCCTGATCTTTTGCTTTAATAACTCGAAAATATATTATTAAAAAAAATCAAATCATGTACCGGTAATTACAAGAATGTTCAATGTACTCACAAAAGATTCCTTTATTTCTCTCCTAACATTTTTCAGTGCTGTAATTATGTCACGTTTGAATTCCTTATTATATTGTTCCTCAATTTCTTTCTTCAATGCTGTAACGAGAAGCAATTTATACAAATACCTCATAATACTCAATGAGACTTTTAAGGATTTATCCAAGTGAACAACTTATTAAAAAATAACATACTTCCAAACGATGGTCTCTGTGTAGGTTTTTGGTGCCAGCACCTGGTCATTAATTTTGTCAGAAATGGAGGACAGCCAGTAGGTATAAGACTGAAGTCAGGTCGCTGTCCACTTAGAACTGCTGAGCGAATCAAGTCATCTCTTGCATCTGTAAATGTAGAGTGTTCCTATTTGAAATATTCATTTAAGCTGAGTGTGTGCATTTCTAGGGGCATGTAATTGAACGTAAATTTGCTTTTTTACAATTCAACACATGTACATACTTCCATATGGAACAGCTCCTGTCAACATCTCCCAGACACAGATTGCAAAGCTGTAGATGTCATAGAACCTGTCTGAAGGTGTGTTTATATTGCTCCACACCTCCGGAGGAACATGTGACACTGTGCAGCGACGCCCACTGGAGTCTGATTGGTCCGTTCGTCTGGTGGCTGTCATTGTCACAGTTTTCCATTCAGATAAACCAAAGTCAGACACCTGTCAATGTAACAAATCATGTAAATTACAAATAAAAAGGATTTTCTAAACATCTATATATGCTTTTTTCTTTACATGTTTATGTGAACCTCTTTTGGTTTGCATTGAGATTTTTTCAATGGATGAGCAGTAAGAACATTAAAACCACTAAATTTACTCTTTATATTAAATTCTGCTCATTCATCTCACCTTAGCATGCATATCACCATCCAGCAAAATATTGTCTGCCTTTAGATCCAGGTGAAGAATGGTGGGAATGCGAGAATGAAGGAAATCCATGGCGGATGAGACCTCCATCAGAAACCTCACATACAGAGGGAACTGGGGGGAGAATTGCTTACGGAAATCAATAAGACTTCCGAGGGGCATATACTCTAGAATAAGGGAGTAATTGTCTCTCTGCATTATCAGGCCATATAAGTGAAGGATACCATCATGTTCACAGAACTCCATTAACTTCTTTGCCTCTGCTTGCAGCACATCTAAATGCCTGTATATATAAAAAAAAAATCTGTTAAAGTTTCCCCCATAATCAACACAATTGAATTAAAAAGTTGTTTCAAAAATATAATTGATTTTTTAACAATTCTAAAATGTATTGATTAAAATTGCTCAATTTATCAAAAGAAAGGCAAAACTGAAAAAAAAACAACCCCAAACACATTCTTTACAAAATCTTACTTTTTTGGCAATTGCCCATTGTTTATCAAGGTTTTTACTGCAACATGACCAAACTGCCTGTGCTTCCCTCTGTACACAGTTCCATACCCTCCTCTACCTATTGGAAGGTTCTCTAGTTCTATCTCGCTCTGATCAACTATAGGAATGTTGACTTCAGACATGGCTTTGGAATATCTGCATATAAACAGATTTTTCATTCAGCATTGTCTTTGTTTTATACATATTTATGTAGACCTTAAAAACTTTGTTTGCTCCCAGTAACCAGACTGACCACTTCATTAACCCCTAGTGATTTTTTTTATCTACTAAAGCTGGGAATAAATTTGTCTTCATTCAATTTTTTTTTTTTGAATAAAGATATCAAGTAAATGATAAACCTTCATAAAATTATAATATGGAACAAGTGCAATGCCATTTAATATTGCCTTTATTATTGTTGACCACAAAAACAGATTCTGTAAAACATCTGACACTTTAAAGCTTAAAAAAAAAAGAAGAAAGCATACCTACTGACCTTTTTTTAATTACAGGAAACAAAATATTTTTTTTTAATGCCCTTTGCATTACTGAATATTTCATTGAATAATATGTGTACATTGCTTGAAAAAATATTGAGATTTTCATTATTTAAAAACAGAAGAAGTTATACCTTGATAATCTTCAATTTCCATTCACATAATTTCACAAAGCATTTTTATATATAAATTCAAAAAACCCAAACTTTTAAACATTAGAACTTTGATAATTTATAAACATTGAAACGCTGAGTTACCAGGAATATGCTAATTGATTCAGAAGCGAGTTTAATGGTCCGAAAAGCAACATATGCTCGAGTCTTTGGATCAATTACCCTCTGGCCTCAGATATCCTCTAAGTTTTTTCACAGTCCTACCACATTTGCCTTATCCGTGTTAAACTGAAAATAGCGTGCATGACTTAAATTAAATATGATAGGGTCTTAACATGTCAGGGGCTGAAAAATCCTATTGCCCAGGGCTAGTGAATTTTAAGGGTGGGCAAGTGACTTGAACAAAAATAAAATCCATATGTAAGTCATAGATCTAAAGCTTTGTACAGGGGTTTGCATGATCTACTCAGTATTTGTATTCATATCGTGATATATATAAATATGATAATAGTTTATGGTGGGACAAGCAAATATTAGGTAGGGCAAGTGAATTTTGACCATGCACTTGCCCTTGGACAAGTGCCTAAAAAATCTATTTGTCAGCCCTGCATGTACCGGTACACATTTCATAATACCCCAGTTCTGACCTGCTGTAGCTTCACTTACATATGTTTAACATTTAGATTGCTGTAAATTATCTCATGAACTGATGAATGCAAGATGCCTTAGTTTAAAACATTTGACCTTGCATAAAACAGATGAATAAAAAAATGCATCCAAAAAATATACATACCGATTAACAGTACATGAAATCATGCAACAGAAGTAAACAATCGCAAATTCAATTCTTTTGACTTTGGTTTACTTTCACATTTCACTGGAAAATCCCCTGCCTATTTTTATAACTCTTATCCACATCCGTTTAGAATTGTTTTTGGCAAAACGCATAATGTTGTAATACATTAAATTCGATTTAAGATTTTAAAATGCAAGTAGTTTTTCATAGACGTACAAAAATATTCATTATACAGCTATTTTTCTATCACAGTTTATCTTAAAATTAGCAAATTCATATATTTTGTTAATGGGATATTTTTTTATTTTCGTTCCTTTAAAAACGTAATTTCGTAATTTTACAAACATGGCGGACAAAGTAGAGTTACGCGTACGTCGCGAGCTTTTGGATCCAAATTTTGACGGATATAAGCTGAGTCTTGATCCTTTGCCAACATATACATGCAAATTAGACAATGGTAACGTTTATTGATAAGTTGTATACTGTTGTCATTTTCATTAACATTGATTTAAGAAGAGCAGAATGGAACATTCGCGAAATAATTTTCTGAAAAAGGTACCATTCCCATGAACAAAGCTTTGATTAGTAAAATTGATTTACATGAAAGCATCAATATTGTGTATAAATAGATTAAATTATTAAAAGCATGGGCTTTTATCTGTTTTGGGGCCACAAAACTATATAGCTAGATAATGAAGAGATTGTGCTGGATCTGTTTCACTCGACTGCATAGTGCCTAAAAAGAAAACTTTGCAAAAGTTGTTTCCCTTTGCAGGGTCAACCAAAAGGTCAAAAGGGAAAGAAACGACATTTCTTCTCTTTATGCTACCAAACATTTTGTCATGCTCCGATTTCTTTCAATGGGTAGTCTCATCTCAGAACAAACAGTATGTACAAGATGTAAATATTTTTTTCCAGTCAAATAACAAAGTTACAAACCAGAAAAGTACAAAGGCTACTGTGAAGATTCTGTGGGTTTTCCCCAAAGATGGTGGCCAAGGGACATAACTTTTGAAAAGTTTGGGTTCAACTATTTGGCCTTGGAAAAATATAAAGGTTTACTATTAATGCTAATATAAAAATGGTCAGTAGATAGGATTTTGTTTTAATTTTTTTTTTTTTTTTGAAATACAATTTTTTTAAGACTTCAAGTCTTCAAGCCATACAATATTGTTTTTAATGGTTAATAAGAAGTGATACTACAATCTTTAAACTGTTAATGAAGGAAAAATATATGAACATGCAATTTCAAGATTCTAGGAAAAAATAATATTTGGGTCGGTGCATAAAATTTGGGTCAATCTGATAACTGTAAACAAACATTTCTTTCCTTGCGCTAAACAGAATTGGTGATTTTTAGAAACCAAAGATCTATGTCCAGTAACCCTTTCACAAAAAATCTTAAGATTTATTTTCATCTTAAGAGAAAACCTATGATTTGTTTTTCCTTTTTTGAAAATACTTTGATAAGAGATTCTTAAGGACAAATTTGTTGTGACTTCACTAGCTAGAGCTCCAACCTTTTTGTATTTTAGAACTATTAATAATGTAAAAGGTCTAAAATAAAAAATAAATTGTTTGCAGGTGCCTACTTAGCTCACCTGAACCAAAGGCTCAAGTGAGCCATCAGATCAAAATTTGTCTATTGTCTGTTGTGGTGGTTAATTTTTCATATTTTCATTTATTCTCTGGAACCACTTCAATTTCAATCAAACTTGGCACTGTACAGATTAATACCAGTATGCAAGGTGAAACATCTTCAGGTAAAACAGATACAAGTTTGTACAAGTCATGGCCCCTGTGGGTAGGACAGGACCAAAATATTAAGGGACCAAAGGCATCATAAAAATGTATCAGAAAAATCTTCTTAAGAACAGGAAGATCATGATTGTCATTTATTATTAAGGATGTCAACGAATAGTCGACTATTCGACTATCAGTCGAATGGATCGACGATCGAATAATGAAACGACATTCGAATATTTTCATAATTAAATAAATACAATAAAAGAGTGATAACGTGATGGAATTCTCATTACAAAATTGAGAAACCGTCTTTCCCAAGAAACAGTCGATAATTTTCCTCAACAAAGAACAGTTGATTTTCCATGTACATATAAAAAGTACAGTGATTATAAGTGCTTCACTACTGCCGAGTACTGCGGGAATTATTTAGCAGTAACTGCCTGTGTTGTTTTTGTAATTTAAAATCACTCACCAATTTACTAGGCTTTGTTTGTAAAATTATTAATTGGACTTGATCTTATACCATGTACCAATTATTTTTTTGTTATTTTAAGATTGCTCAAACGCAAGGAAGAAACCATAACTTTGACATGTTTTGACACTCCGATAATTATTAAAACAATTCGCTTACATTTTAAACTGTATAAGGACATTTTGATAGCCAGAGCAAACAATAATCGAATAAGCAGTATCTAACTGTTTAACAATTTCACAGGCACTTGACGTGTGGATAGTGAGAGATTAACCCCCCCTCCCACAATTTATTTCATAATAAGCTTTAAAAAAAAATCTCCTGGCATTTTTTTTCTTTGCTTGCTTAAATAAAAACTGACTGCATGCACAGATCGAATTATGAATTCTATTGACGGGGAAATCATACATTTTGGAGAATTAGGAAAAAAAACATGCTATCTACGCATTACATTGCATAAATTTTGATGTTACTTTTTAAATAAATTTAAGTAAAAGGGCTTTCTGAATTCTAAATACGTCATGTACCAGTGAAGTTTGAAATACAATTTTATTTTCGGAAAATGTTCCGAATATATTCGACTATCGTTCGAATAATGCAATCGAATATTACACTAAGGAAAATAAATATTTTGACATCCCTATTTATTATACACATACAAGTATCCTCAGATAGTGCAAATATTCAAAATGTTCAAATATGTACTGTGAATTCAAGTTTAGTTATGTCATAACCCATAGGGGCTGGGGGAGGGGGGCACAATATGGGGTAAAAATGTTATGGTAACATATTGGAAATTTAAACCTAAAAGTTGTATTGATATCAAATATTGTGATCATATCTGCTCTAGTATACTCTAGCTTTCAACTGGGTAAAGTTTGATGACAGGAGGGATTTAAATTGATGCTTACAAATGTACTTTGATTTTACAGGCATTGCCTTTACATCACTTTCGGAGGATCAGTATTCCTACCATCATGCTAAATTGTTCGGAGTCCACAATCACCTATACCTGGATCCATGGAACACGGACTACATTTACTTTATTGACAGTGGCTGGAGTATAGTTCAAGCACTATCTACAGTAAGCACAGTGAAAACTGTCTAATCCAACACCTGTGCAATCCGTTTCACTGTGGAATCCAACATTGATTTTCATTTTAATTCTGTCTATTCTGACACAAAATTTGTCTCTAGTGCATGTCAGACAGGTTTCACTGTAAGGTGACTTTGTTTGTTTTCTTAAATCGAATAAGGAGGGTGTTGTCATATTTCTTGTCTTGCTTTTATTTTGATTTTGAAAACAATCTGAAAAATGTCAATTGTGCTAAATTTTAAATGCGCTAGCTATTTAATGGTGTAATTGATGTAGTTGAATTCGATACATGTACTAGCTACATTTACATTTAAAGGGAGAATGTAAACCTCTGCTTCTTTAAAATGATATTTTTCCCCAAAATTCAATGAATGTTTCAGACCCCAGGATTACGAAACTGACTCAGACTTTCAAAACTTAACTCGTCTGTTCTATAAGTGTAAACTATTAAAATTTGTGATTTATTAATTGCACTTAAGATACAAAAGTTCTATCTTTTACCAGGGAGCCGGTGTCACCATTACCAGTAATGCTGGAATCATTCCTGATCTGAACAGGCAGAACTCAGTGAATGGCCGACTAAATGCCTCCCTGTGTTTTGTATCAGAAGACATGGCTGTGGTTGGAGATGGTGCTGGAAAGCTTCATTTGTATTTCACTGGAGCTAGGAATTGTTCACAGCTCTGGAAGGTTTTTAAGACATTTAATATTGTATATGGTCATAGCCTTGGCTTGATATGAAGTCATGAATTAAGCCACTGGTACTAGTGTAAAAAAAAATAAAACAGTATTATGTCATAATGAGGTCTACATGTATTTCCTTATAAGAACTTTTAAGTCGGTGCCATAATTAGGGGGTTAAATTTCACATTAATATTTCCAGTACATCAAGTAATCTTATTCAGATTTTTCGACTTTATGCAGATTGTATTTTCTAATGATCCACTGGAGAACAGCACCCCATTCCTGTTGGTAGATGCAGTGCTGCATACAGTGGACAGTGCATACAAACTGGAATGCCTGTGTGTACATGTGGTAGAGTGTGATGCTGAGCAGAAAGACAAGTACAGAGCTACACATTTAACAGTCATGGAGTGGATTACAATATCCTCAGGTAAGTATCCATTTTGTGTGTATACAGGAGCCTGTTTTTGTAACTGAATAAAATTCAACATTAACCTTAAAAACATAACTTGATGTTTAAGCTTCAAAGAATATATTTTTTCCTCTACGTTTTTCACTTTTTTGTAATATTCTAGACAAAAATTCACTTTTTACAAAAGCTACATATTGTTAAGGGTTACCATTTTTTCATTTGATTAAAAAGAAATTAATTGATGAAATGAACTTTAAATTTTTATTCACAGGAGATAAAATTACTTGGGTGCAAGAGCGAAGTCGACGTCTTTATGGGAGAAGACCTTTTGATTATGCTGCCTTCAGTAAGGACGGATCTGCTCTGATTGTTGGGGCTGAGGCAGATTTTGTCTTTGAGTATGACTCACTGAAGCCAGTTAGAGAAGAGGAACCCATGGAGGCAGAAACCAATGGACAAGGTCAGGCTTCAAGTTTAGAAACTCTACATTGTCAGAAAAGCATGAATATATTGGAATTTCCCATTATCTTATCTGAAATGATTATATTTTATCAAAATGGTATGAAAAAATGCATGTAGCAGTGATTAACCAGTATTTAACACCATGAACCACATTTAGGCATTACGGGGCATTTTTTAAGGAATGTCATGTAACACGCAGATGGATGTAGTGTTAAACAAGTGATTTACCCTGTTTGTAGAAAAGCCAGAACCTGAATACACCTGGTCACAGAATAGCGAGGAAGTGACTGCATTGTTCACTTTACCCAGTGGTCTGACCAAAGCAGATGTGTACTTCATATTATCACATGACTTCATTGACTTCGGAATCAAAAATGGAAACCATTTGTTGAAGGGTCAGCTATTTGGAGATATAGATGTAGAAGGTAGCACTTGGAAAATTCAAGACCAGAGGTAAAAGACGTAGAGAAACTTGATTTGCTAATTTTTTGTCCATTATTTAGTCCCAAAATATATATATTACATGTACTTAGCCTATATGTTGTGGTTTTGAGAAAATGAGATTCATGTTTTTGGTCATTATTTTTATAAACTCCCAAAACAGGGTAGAGTTGACTTTGAGTAAATGCGAGGAGCAGGTGTGGTCACATATTGTAGTGGGAGACAATCGTGGTGAAATGACTATGGATCCAGCAATGATAGCTCAGATCCACGAGAGATTGGCAGGTCTTACCTCCGACCAGCTGGTGAGTACCATATGCAGTAAAACACGCTTATAATGAAGTGCCAGGGATGGAAGATTTTGCTTCGTTGTAAGCGTAATTCATTATATTCATTAGATTCATGATGTATTTTAAAGTCACAGGAAATGAAAAGCACTTCGCTGTAGGTGTCATTTCATTAATATAAGTGTGTTTTACTGTACATTATAAAAGTTGTGTGTGGTTTGTCAAGTTGTTCTTTTCGATGTCTTCTCTTAAATCACTTTGCAAATTTCAACTACTTGAAAAACGTAAATGCAAAAAAAAACAGTTTTTAATTATAAGGTGAAAATTTTGCCCCAATGTTGTAGAATCCTGATCCTGAAGAGGGGAAAGAAAAACCATACAACTCACAACAGCTCGAGGAATGTGATGTATTCCCAGAGGAATCCTCTTCTTTAATGAGGTTTGATGGAGATACACATAAAATAACACATCAGGTAAGCTTGATAGGTACAGTGTAGTTGCATTATCATGTGTATATTTACAGCTATAGGGAATAAAACCATTTCAATTTTAAATTGTTAATTTTTTTTGCATGATTATTATGTAATTTTTTATTCTTTCATGAAAAGCTTTCTTTCTTTTTAATTTGATAGACAAACACAGGGAGCCATCAGTTTCTTTTCTCTGCCTCGCTTGATAAAGACAAATCCTCTGCTCTCTGTTTACGTCATGATGTTGATGGCATCATGTGGCAACCAGAAAACCAGTGCAAAGAAACAGAACTTCCATGGCAACATGTGGCAACATTCAATGCATTTGGTTATGTTCAGGCCTCTAAACAAAATCGAAAATTTACCTTATGTGCTCCAGACTGTTCATTTGCTGTTATTTGTGACATATGGCGACATGCCTATGTATATAGACAGCCAGCACCTATTGCAACTCCAGTCAGAAATCGTAAAGATGGACGGCAAATTAGCCATGTTGCCAAGCAACAAGTGGTTTCACTGGAGTGTACAGATCACATTGTTGGTATAAAGGCAACATCACAGAAACTCTATATTTTGACTGAATCTGTGTTACATGCTGTTCAAATCAGTTCATAAGAATACATGTGTATGCATGGCAAATTCAGTTCTTGGCCCTCAGTTTCAAAAACAAGCATGTTGACTTAATTTTCACACATTCATGAAAAACATGCTTTTGATCAGAAAAATCTTTACATTAATCTGGTTTAGAATCATTTTTAGCCATCAATACATGTATCAATTTTGTTGTTTTCAAAACAAAGTTTTTGTTAATTTTAATATAGCAATGAAACAATAAATAAAACTGTTTACTAATGTTGTGTGCAATTTTATTTGATGAGCATTTAAAAGTGGAATGTATATTTTACAGTCCAAGCACTGGGCGTGTTTATGTGCATCAAACACAATTCTAACAAACTGAGGAACACTACAAGCATAATAATCTATGATTAAAAATTAATTTGGTCATTATACATATTTGTGTTGCGTAACTTTTTGTAGCTCTGTAGAACAGTATCTGGGATAGTCTGTGGAATCTGAAAACCTTTTTGTGGATAAATCTGTATTCTATGTAGACATCCCATCAGAGCACTAATAACATCACGCAGTGATCCCACTTCTGTATTGGGGTAACTGAGCATTGGAATTGGCGGTGAAGTCACCAAAACTTGCAAATCAGGAGTTTCTCTGAAGCCTGGCCATAGTTTCATGAATGTGGCATAAACTCTTCTTTCCATGTATGGCATCTGCACCAAAAGTATCTTTTTTTTTTGGTAATAAGTTTCTTTGTTTCAGGATATTGTATGAAAAGCTTACATTTTCACCTGTATTAGTAGCTTTGGGTTCCAACAGAATTTTATTTTTGTTGACACCTAGAGATATGGCCCTATCTTTAAATATCTCAGCTTCAGATTTTTTCCATTTCCCTACATGGAACACAAAACAAATATATATAAAGTCAGGTTATTCTGCATTTTAAATGACATCTATATTCATAAATTCAATAAATGAAGAAGAAGGAATTCACCTCTAGTATTTGCACCTTCCTTTCCTGAGAAGAGAATCCATGGTGCCATTCCTTGACGCCACAACATGGCAGCATGTTCAACTGTTCGTAAGTCATGGTTTCCTAGAACCAATATAACATCACTCTGTAATGAAAATCATTTAGTTTATTAAAAAAAATGACCTGCTGATAGTTTCTAGATCTATATATTATTTTCGTGGTGGTGATGGTGGGGGGGGGGGGGGGGGTTGTTACACCATTTCTGTGAAGAACAAAATCAATCCCTTAAAATTTTATGAACTTTATTACCAGATATACTCGTGCTTCTGAACATGCATGACCACTTAAAATACATATATGCAGCTGATAGATGTAGGATAATCCGAGATTCCTCTGACTCTAACCCTTATCTCGGTGGAGATTCGGCTGGGCTAGATATTTGGTCTGCTTTTATTTTGTGACATGTGACTCTAACCCCCGCACATGTCACAACATATTTACACCCACTGAATATTATTTCCTTTATTTCTTATAAAAACCATTGCCGTTAATCAGTCCATATTAAAACAACACTAAGCAAGCCACCAGCATAGATTTCTTAAGCAACGGCTGTTCTATCAATTAAGCATACAATGGCATACACACCTATAATACAATATTTAACATATTTAATTTACTTCGAATGTTTTTTTTTTATAATGATATAGATATAAACAATAAAATGTCTTTCTTTCTTTTTTAGTACGGGAATTAACGTTGCACCTATTGCAGAAAAAATTCACATAACCCGCGTAAGCGGGTTATGTATTTTTTCTGCAACAGCTGCAACATTAATTCCCGTACTAACAACCAAAGTTTAAATATAAATGCGGGGGTTAGAGTCACAGACCTGTTCAGGTCCAGTACATTTAGCTACGTAGCTAAAATTACCTACCGTAGCTTTATTTACCTACCTCAGGTAGCTTTATTTAGCTATTTCAAGATAACTTTTCACAATTTTGCTTTTCATTTTAAAAATACAAAAAAAAAAACGCAAATATTAAATGACTACTATATTTATACTAGGGATTATATAAAAAGCAATCCAAAGCAGGGATAGTTCTAACATTGCTGCGTTTGAACACTTTTAAGGAAAAGATGTATTTCCATTGTTTGAGTAACTGTACACCACCTTGTGTGCAATGGGGCGTGGATAAGTATGATTGCCTCTCATTGTGTTCATGTTAACCAGAACTAGTTTTCTTTGTTATTTCATTTAAGAAGTAACTGTTTGGTCATAAATTAACTGTTGTATATAGCCCAAAACTTTTAGAACTTTGATTGCGCAGAAAAAGACACATCTCCAAGAGTGATTTTTTCAAGAATTGTTTTCAGATGAGTTCAAAGTTGAAAATTATCACTGCATCAAAGTGCAGTATTCTGCACTTTCTGGGGGAAATGCTAATTTAAGAAATAAGTTTGATTTAGTAGCTAAATAAAACTATACTTCAGGTACGTAAATAAAGCTATGTAGGTAATTCAAGCTATGTAGCTAAATCTAGTGACTGTACCAGACCTGCTGGGGTACTACTAAACAGAGAACTCTAAAGAACCCTAGAGAACCCTAATGATTTTTTAGCAAAATTTGCTCGTTCTTGCGCATTCAGGAATCACTGGATATTTATTACGTGACTATGGTTATGTATCTTTAATTATTTCTTGTTTGTAAATGAAATATTTATGTTTTAAATTACCAATATATCATACAAAAACAAAATAAGATTTAAAAAAAGAATATTATGCCAGGTGTTATGCTTATTTTCAATGGAATACTAATGTATGAAGACTTCATCATACTTTGTGTAATTTTAATTATTTTTTCAAATAAGTTTACGCCAAGTTTCGCGGCTTTGCAGGCCATTTAAAAGTGTCCGAAAACATATCATGAAAATTAGTTATATGAATCCTCTACCTTCGTTTTATATTCTCTGAAAATTTTATAAAATTCTTCTGCATCGTTTTTGTGTAATTAAATCCCAAACATGCCATTGTTGTCGTTACATTTTCGACGTCATTCTATTGAATTATATAAGAAAAACGTCGTTTTCGGCTCGTTTTGAGGCAAGATTTTGTTTCAAAAAATACCAATAACTTTTAAATGGTGCAGACGAAATTGTTTCCCCTTTGGTATTTTAACAAAGAATTGATTTGAAATAAATCAATGTGAAAAAATTAATATGTCTTCGGGTTAGTTTTCGCGTAATTTAAATGTGGATAATTGCTTTTATATCGCAAAATGTAACATTTTTAAGAACGACGTCATAAAATATCGCGACGACATGCTTGACGTCGTGAATGTCTATCCGATATTCAGTGCAGAAGAATAAGATAATTTTTATAAAAAAAAAAATCACGTCTATCTGCTTTCAAGTGACCCGTGAATCGTATCAAAATAATTCAATATCAATGAAATGATTATTAGGCATGTTTCTCTTCAGATTAGGTTTTTTTTGTACGTCTTATATTTGTGAAAATTCTCGCAAGGGACGTTAAACAAGTCAATCCTTTAGATTCTTTCTTCCAAATTACTTTCTTTATGTGTTGTTTTCTTATCGTTTCTTTCTTGTTTGTTTTTGTTTTGCATTTTTTCGTAGATTAGACGTATCCTTACATTTGGTGTATTTTTCTTTTCCAGCGTGCTGGCGGAAAACGCTATCCTCTAATTCAAGTAATTCAAGTACATAATTTTTTTTTATTTAGACCATTCAGCAAGGCGCTCAAATCTACGAATTTCTGCCAAATATCGTCCCGGCTAAATACAATATATTTTCGGTGTATATTTAAAAAAAATATTTAGTTTTACATACCACATTTTCAGAGGGGTAAATGGGACGAGAATTTACAAATTAATTTTATCTGACGTTATCAACAGCCATTTTTTTAGAACATTAATTCTACTTGTTGGACATGGAAAGCAAAGTAGCGAATAAAATCTGTAGGTATATATTAAACAGCATTGCATGCTGTTGCTTAGGGGACGACCATTTCATTCGGGGGGGGGGGGGGGGCTTACAGATTTTGTAAATAAATAATCTGTCCTCGAAAATGTTGAAAATAAATAATCTCTCCATGACTACCGGTAGTTCTAGCCCCCCCCCCCCCTTCAAATGGGAGTTTTCAACTTTGAGGTATTTCTTTCTTTTTGTTTTTTGTTTGTTTGTTTGTTTTTTTTTTTTTTTTGCTTGTCAGACTTTTTCCAGTGAAGCAGAAATAAATAATCTGTCCTTCACCGACATGAAAATAAACAATCTTACTCAGTAAAATTTGCCACCCCCTCTCCCTCAAAATCAAATAGTTGTTCCCTAACAGGAGGTCAGTGTCGCTAAAAAATTGTCTTTATGTTTCATCGTACCTTAGCAGTATAAACTTGTAGATTTATATATTTTAAAAATACCCTTTTTTAAAATATAGGTTAATCTTTTGATGTAACAGGAGTATTTGCGATTTTTTTTAAATAATGGCTTCTTTATTAATAAAACAAACTGTTAATTCAAATACGATCAAAGGAAAAAAGGTCAGATGAATCTTATGTCCATATCGTTTCGCGATACCAAGTGAAAACAAATCAATCGCAATTTCTCGGGCCTTTCCGACAAGCCGAAAAACAACCAATTGTATTTTCCAAGCTTGCAGGAAAGGCCCGAGAAAATAACAAATAATTAAACGTTTTTGATACTTCCAGTGTCGATCATTCGAATCGTAATAAGCCTTCTTCACTAAATTACCAATTCCAACAAAAGTTATATGTAAGTATTGCATCGACTATACAAATCGTAAAAAGTCTTCATTATGTGTGATAAGTTGTTGCTTAAATAATATAACACTTAACTACCAATTCCAAGAAAAGTTGTAGCTAAATAATAATATACTGAAGAATTTAATAAAACAAAAATCATCGCAGATTTCTTTTTCTTTGTGACGTCATAATCAAATGTGCACAAGAAAGTCGCCCAAATCATATAAATTGCGTACCCAGTTTTAACGACGTCATCAAACCCGCGACCTACTTTAATGACTAAGAGTTCTATATAACTTAAAAAATGAAATTAAATAAAAAACATGTGGGTACCAGGCTCTGCCTTTAATAAAAAACAAGAGGCCCAAGGGTCTTAACGGTCACCTGAGTATAACACAACAATTTAGAGGATCCATAGAGTATAAAATGAACTGAAAGGTGACGCTTTGTTGCCCAAAAGCAAGAAAAATAGGGTGATCAGGATCAACAAAATAATTAGTCTAGTATTCATTAACAGTTCATAAATTAGGTTCTAATCTGTTCCCCATTTATCACTCTCACCATACAGTACATTAACAAACTATCAGTGCTTCTGTACTATTTTAATCCCTTGTTGAAATCTCTTACATTGGCCTCTCTTGGTCTTTGATGAACATTTAATAAGGCAAGCTATTTTTGTCTCATTTTTATTTATATATTACTTGCAAGTCTACCTGATCATTAAAACTATGAAAGTACTTTTTGTATTATACAATAAAAATTCTTGCATAATTCTCTTATTCTATTAACCTTTCAAGTATATTATTTACAGTGATTAATTATCAAAAGTAAATGGCAAAGGGGAATAACTCCTCTCAGTAGAATATAAATTAATAGAGCCCTGGCCAGGACCAGAACACTTGACCAAATGGTCCAGATGTTCAAAAATCTGGTAAAAATACCCTTCCTTATAATTGTTTTTTTACTCTTTTTGCCTCTGATATGCCCAGGCGCAGAGAAGATTTCTAAAGAAATAATGCATTTTTACTACAGATTCACTATAATATGATCAATAGCACCCCCCCCCCCCCCTCCCCACTGAGAAACACCAGAGCCACTCACCCTGGGACCAGAGGTTTGCTCATCATAAGTAATCACTTTGCTTATCTGCTTAACAATAAGGAGCCGACAGGATTATTTGATAGAATTAATGCATTTTCACTATATTATCAAGAGTCCCAACCTTACACCAGCACATCTGACCCAGGGGTCATGCAATTCACTACTCTGGAAGAAGCACTCTTGCTTATCATAATTATATACTTATAGCTTCTTTGCTTTTTAACCAGAAGCAGAAAAGAATATTTTTCAAAGAAATTTTGCTTTATCACTATATAATCAATAGAGCCCCCCCCCCCCTTTTTCACCAGAACCCTTGACCCTGGGACCATGAAATTCACAATTTTGGAAGAGGCATCCTTGCATATCATAACAATGTACATGTACTTAGTTTGTTTAAATAATACCCAGGAGTAGAGAAGAAAAATGCACTTTCACTATATAATCTATATAGCCCACCCTAGCATCAGAACCCCTGACCCTGGGGCCATGAATTTCACAATTTTGGTAGAGCTACCCTTGCTTATCATAACTATGTATGCAATTTGTTTCAATAATACCCAGGAGTAGAGAAGAAGATTTTCAAAGAAATAATGCACTTTCACTATATGATCTATATAGCCCCACCCTATCACCAGAACCCCTGACCCTGGGGCCATGAATTTCACAATTTTGGTAGAGGGCTCAATGCTTAATTATTACAGTCATGCCAACAGTTTGACTGCTTGGTGTCCAGTAGTAAAGAAGAAGATTTTTAAAGATAGCATTAATTTTGGTGGTTTTAGCCCCACCCCTCAGGCCCCAGGGGGGCAGGGACCATGAAATTCACAAATTTTGTTCCTCTTCACAAATAGATGCCATATGCTAAAATTGGCTGAAATTGGTTCAGCGGTTTCAGAGAAGAAGCATAGGCACTCCCCAGCTTAATTGTTAAAAAAATATATATCTACTATACTATAAACATAACGTACTGCAAGATTCAACCTGATTTGATTTTATTTCAATAAATGACAGCTTCCGATGTCTGAGAAAAGTCCGACTTAGGCGAGAAATTCTCGCTATTAGTCAGAAAGTGCCCCTAAGCGGAATCCAACATGGAGGCTAGTTTCATGCCTTGTTATGTTTATAGTATAGTAGATATATATTTTTTTAACAATTAAGCTGGGTAGTGCCTATGAGAAGAAGCTGAAAAAATTCAAATGTTAACACACGACGGACGAAAACAGAAAACAATAGGTCACCTGAGTGACTCAGGTGACCAAATAATGTGAAAAAGAATTGTAAAATTATGTGGTAAAATTATAATTTCAATTAACAACGTATTTGAAATTCAGTCGGGATCGAGATGACTTAAAATATTACACTAATCTATGTTGTTACATTTTCAATTTTTTTTTCGAGGGAAAACATCCATAAAAAATTCATGTTATTGATTTTATAGACAGAATATGATTTATAAAGTAAAAATAAACTCGATTCTTTCGGGTTCTCTTTTTAGTTAAGGACCGGACCTGCTGTTTACCCATATTGTTGTCTCTCAGTATTTTTTTTTTTTAATTTGTCAGTGAGATTTGGCATTTGCCCGTAAGATTCACTTTCCACCGACTTTACATATATTACTAGAGCACAACTAAATTTTTGATTACCAAAACATGGTTTAATATCATTATTCCTTGCTATCTTTCGAGGGGTTTCTGTCATTTTTTAAACCATCGCGTTTTGGCAACCCGACATCACTGAAGTGTTTGAAATCCATCTCTTTGTTAACAATTAAAAATCGTCAAACTGAGACAGATCATAACGAAAACTAAATGCTGAAATCCAAACGACAGATTTTCGTATTTACATAACAGCAAAACGTGAGACGTATTTTGGACTCAAAATACGGCGAAATCGTAAGAGTAAATAGGTCTGGAGTCAGAGGAATCTCGGATTATCGCCAAACCCCCTAACTCCGTCACTTTCGGGAAACCCTGTGCTGTTTGTAAACGAATGCGATTGTGACGTCATTTTTTATATGCTGAAAATCTACAATCAGATGCCGAGAAATTATTAGGCCTACAGTCAAATTCAAGAATGCGTCAAAAATAAATAACAATTACACGTGATCTATTGTACCTATCATATTCCATGTGAGATCAGTAGGTACTTTTTCCTTTATGCGCTATTCCATCGATACCTCCGACAGGTGCGTCGGGTAGACTTTACTTTACCGGTCCCCAAATCCGCAAGATCCGCGTGCTCATTGCACTATGACGTAAGACTTGCGTCACTCAACTGATTAGGGTTGGTTTTGCACATTTTTCGACTGGTTAAGGTTAGTCTTGCACCCACCTGAAAGATTAGGGTTAGTCCTTCCATAAGTTTTCAACTGATTAGGGTTAGTCTCGCATCCATCCGAGAGATTAGGGTTAGTCCTCGCACATGGGTTAGTCTAGCATCCGCCTGGGAGATTTGAGTTAGTCCTCGCATACCATCTGAGAGATTAGGGTTAGTGTCTTGTTCTTTTAGGTTAATTAAGAAATTCAGTTGCATCTGTATTTTTTGCAAGATCTTAATTCAGCTTCAGCGACATCTCGTTGGTTTGTTTACATGAAAAAAAATGGCTAAGTATAGTACAAAAGAAACCATTCGGCAAACCTCGGCTAATTCCGTCACCTTCATCAAACGTTAGATGAGGTACGAATCGGCCAAGGTGTGCCGAGTGAAAAGAAACGGCACTAAGCATGCGCCGCACGTGCTCCGTTCACAATTATTTCGTGTCTCCTTTTCACTGAATAAACAATAGTTATATTACTTTTTTTCAGAGAACGAGGTTAAAAACTTCGTTTAAAAACGAAGTTTTAAACTGAACTTTTAACCGTAGAATTCGATTTTGGGGTCAAAAAGGCTTAAAACTTCATATTTTAAATTTTTTTCGATCGCTCACGCGATCTCATATATATTGAAGTCGCCTACGGCGACACTATATTTTAGCGCGTTTTTCTGGGGACCGGTAAAGTCAAGTCGTTCCGGTGCGTCAATGTGCTCATTTTTACATGTCAATCATATTTATGAAGGTCTTTGCCAAAAGATTAATATGAAATTCCATATTGAATACGGCTAAAAATGTTTCATTTTTCGTCTCAATTTGCCCTAATACGCTACACGTTGGAGATAACGTAGCGTGACGTTATTACATATAAATACATATAAAATATGTTATAGGCCTATTAACGTACGTTATTTTTTCTCTTGTTGATACTTTTCCTAAAATATAATTTAATACTATTTTAAATCTTCAAAACTAATTTTCTATACTTACAAGTTTAAGATGAATTTAAGGGAGAAAAACCTAAACTGGAAAAAAAATTCTAATTAATACGTTGACATATTGTAGAGGGCCCCGCTGAAGGAGTTTAGTTAGTAAGGGATAGATGTAGGAATATAAGTACTTCTGAAATTTCGTGTCCAAGAATCAAGAAATCCCATATTTTCTTAGCCTGTAACTGGTGATCATCGGGAACAAAGCTACTGTCGTTAATGCAATGTAATTTACATCCATTTAAAAGAACTAAAAATCCGACGAATAAACCACGGAGATTGGTACTGTTTACCATGACGTGTTATTTTCATGTTTCAATGGCTATCAAAAAATATATGAAGTATATTTATATATAGAGACAGGTCATCTCGTCTAAATCAAAACGAGGCTCTGGCACTCCGGAATGGCATTCGTAACTACTCGGCCATTTTCAGAGAGAGAAATAATTTATCGTTCACGGAAATAGCCGAGTAGTTACGATTGTCCGGAATGGGTCCTTTCTAATCTCGGAATCGGTGGGCGTCAGACCAATATCTAGCCGAGCCGAATCTATAAACAGCTCCAGTGCACCCCAGGATGTAGCCTCCTATGTCCTGAAAAAAATAGTTCCTGTCAAAAAATTTATTTATTTACAAAATACATTAAATTTACTAAGCACAGGTACCAAAGTTGTAAAAATAGCCTGGAAGAAAATAAAAAAAATTATCAAAAGAAAGAAAAATTAATTTTATATGTATGGAACTACAACTGATAAGTTCATTTTGATTGGTAAATTACCGGTGTGATACCTACGCCATGTGTTTATCTTAAACCGGAAGTACGAGTTCGTAAATTTGAAATCTGGATCCCGACTCAAATTCAACATCTGAAAGAAAAAATTCCATTTTTCTCAATTTTATTTTTTTCTGAAAATTCAAAAACTTGAGCGGCGGGTTTGTAAACCTAAAAATAAAAAAATGCTGGCCTTAAGAGTCAATGAAGAAAATAAACCAGTTCGAACACGAAAAACCTAACCGGGGGATTTTGGTTGGACACTTCTCTATTCTTTCATATATATACTCGACTCTTCTTACCAACTACAGTGAACTTCTGTATCCTTTGGGGTGGTAGTGGGAAAAGGGGGGAACTATTTCTTCCTTTACATTTAATATTTGAATTTCGCTGGATCCGCTACTGAGATTAATTGATTCCTACTTCACGATGAGAAGGGAGTGGACTTTGCTTTGTCATAAATTATAAGTGCATTTATGCAATTATATCGGCATTAATTTGAGGTATAGGAATGATTTAAAACTAGAATTCATTACTATGAAATCTGCTGGAAACTGGGAGAAAGGATGTCTTTGTCAATAGTGCTATGTGCTAAAAGATCAATGTCATATAGAATATGTATAAAAAAAAAAACCCTGGAAATATTTTCTTGAACGCATGTCAAACTATTTTTGCCACACTGAAATAGAATTTTGTATGTGTTAACCCCCCCCCCCCCCCCATTTCTGCCACTGCTTAGGCTACACAGAAATATTCTCTATTTAAGAACAATAAAATTTTACCCTTTCCTCTTATGCTGTCTGTCGTAAAGCCTTATTAGCAAGTCCTTGTTTGTGTAAAATCAATCTTACGCTGAGTATTAGTAAAATGTTAATGCATGTATATATGTATCTCATTTATTTCTTGACAAGCATTACACACATTCAATACTGCTCTATTTATTCACATGAAAATCATAATGTGAAAAATGAAATTGAAAGTAGTGACTGTTAAGTCACCAATAAAAACACAATTACTAAATTTATTACATTTATAGATCAATAGATTATGATGGGTTTTGAGAAGAAAAAACCGAAACATCATTTATATATCATATCACCGTCCTGCTTACACTTATTATTTTATGGGAATAAGACATGGCCTAGCGATTGGCTCGTTCGCGAAGATAATTATCCACGAGCTTGGGTTGCTACGAATCTTGTGGATATTTCTCGCATATGCGTATGAAAGTTGTTTAACAGTATATAGCATTCTCTATCCAGAGTTGTCTTCCGCTACGCTACCTGAATGTAGGAGCGAAGCGGGAACGACAACTCTGAATAGAGAATGACAGTATAGATATAAGAATTTATCTTGATGTTAGGGCCCTGTCACACCAGCTGCGTTCACACGGAGTTATTACGGTGTTGTTAAATTTTTAAAATCGCAACGGAATCGCAGGGAAATCGCACAAATTTCTGTAAAATTTTCACAATGTGAAGATGTCACGGCGTCCCCATGCGTTTCTACGGCGTTCTCGCGGCGTGCTACTGCGTTCCCTCGGAGATCTCTTCGCGATTGACTGCGCTTCCGCGGAGCTTTTATGGCGTGTTAGGAGTTGTCACCTTGCGTTCACGGCGTTCTCACGGCGCTTGCTGCGTTCACAATACAATGCGTTCTTCACTATGGATATACAAATGTATATTCAGAAGGAGCGTATCACATTTTTTTTTTTAAAGATTCAAGTCACATGACGAAAATACATCTACTTATGCCACAAAATATTCTTTAATTGAAAATAATCTATTTGAATAATTTAGTACTAAATTATTGATAGTTTTATTATTAAAATCCTTTTTTCAATTATATCAATTCAGATGTGTTTTCTTCTTTTCTTTGATTTTATTATGAATGTAAAAATAAACACACTGAAAAGTTGTTATAAAATTTAAGTAATTCCACCGCAACTCCACTGAAACAACAGCACAAGTTCTGATGTAATTTTTACCTCCCAGTTCTACTCCCATGCTCTTGGTCAGGAGTGCAACAAATACGTTAGAATTATTGCTGATCAAATATGAGGCCATTGCTCTTGTTTTGTGAGCTAGCTGACAACGCTCTAACAACGCCGTGAAAGCGCATTGTGATCGCCAATGGACGCTGTAGAAACGCCAAGGGAGCGCAATGACTGCAATGACAACTCCTTGTTGTCGCTGTGTAATCGCAGTCAAAAAATCACAAGACAATCTCATTAGAAGCGCCGTAAAAGCAGTGACATCTCCAAGGACTCCGCGAGGTCTCCGTGGAAGCGCAGTCTATACTTTCAAGGAGCTCCCATGCACTGCGTTGTTGGAGATCTCGCTGCGCTGCTACGGCGATCATACTACGTTTCTACTGCGTTTTTATCAGACTGCGATCACACGGCGCGTACTTTGTGCATGCCCAAAGTGCGCGCCGTCCCCTGGCGTTCTAGGAGACCCTACGCGACCCTACCGTGCTCAGTGGAGATCTCGCCGCGTTGTCACGGCGCTGTAGGAGACTACTGCGCTCAACTCGGCGTATTGCATTTTCTGTGGACGCCGTGCGATTGCCGTAAGGACGCAGTCCCGGAGTGACAGGGGTTTTACATGTACTCTCTTTGTTTATATACATTCAAAATTATCATCGAGTATAACACAAATTTCTACCTTAATTAATTTCTTCAGTATATATATATATATATATATATATATATATATATATATATATATATATATATATATATTCGAACCACGAATCAGAAAATATCTATATTTATATTTCAGTTAATGAATACTCTGTTTATTCTTTCATGGGAATGTTGGGAATTCTCGTGAATTCAACTTAGTCAATAGCATAGATCTTCAATTTTTAAGCAGATTTAACATTTGTGTTTTTGGGTGATTTTCTTTTAAATATAATTCAATTTTTCCACAAAATTTCGCATTTAGGAATAACAAGTTTTAATGAGTTCCGTATTTTACGAAACTCCTCTCAGTTTCTCTTTTACGTACATGAGGTTTTACAAAAGGTGTAGAAAACGATGAGACATTCAATTGATTGTTACAAATGTATAGGAAATAAGTCCTTTTAACTTCTGTGGACTTTTTCTTCTCTAATAATTTATTCAGATATAGATTTTTAAAAGGCCTAAATATTAACTATTGCATGGATCTAAAAATACCGCAGTTGAAGTCATTTTCCATGGAAAACATCTTTCTCTTTTTTTTCAATTCTATCCTAATTGACTGGTATATCAAATAAACACCTTTATCTGCTTTTTTTTAATTATTATTTTATGATTGTAAATTGTTATGATGTTGATTAAATAAATACCTATTGCCAATTATTCAATTTCAAGTCCTATATTCGTATATTGGTACTTTGTAATCACAAACTTTAAGGATGTACAACACAACACCCCCCTCCCAAATTCCTGTCGTTTAATTTTCGTTATTTTTTTATTTATTTTATACATGACTATATCCACTATGTGTATGCACATTTTGGACAACTTAATCGTTCGAGTCGTATTTGGACAGGAATTAAGTTCCAAAAGTTACCCCCTTTAGCTGTCCACGAGGAGAAGCAAGAACAGGTTTCCATAAGACTGTTTTTGGCCCATAATGAACTTTAAATTAATTTGTTTAGTAATGTCTAGTAATGTTTCATCTGTTATATTTTATAATTTATTTGCAGAACCAACGCATATTAGTCACGTGAGTCCCTCAATGGTCCCTCTAAAAGCATCTAAGAGGGTTATGGCGATTTATTACATGTAGTAGACTATTCATTGTAAAAAACCAAAGAAAGATTAACAGTATATCCATACAACTCACAACAACTGGAGCAATGTGACATATTCCCAGACGAATCCTCTTCTTTAATGAAGTTTGATGGAGATACGCAATAAAATTACACATCAGGTAAGCTTGATAGGTACAGTGCAGTTGCATTATCATGTGTATATTTATATAGCTATAAGGAATAAAACCATTTCAATTTTAAATTGTTAATTTTTTGCATGATTATTATTTATTTTTGTATTCTTTCATTAGAATATTTTTAAACTTATCAGGGACCTATATACCTATATAGTATATAGGTCCCTGAACTTATAGACAAGCACAGGGAGCCATCAATTTCTTTTCTCTGCCTCGCTTGATAAAGACAAACCCCCTGCTCCCTGTTTACGTCATGATGTTGATGGAATCATGTGGCAACCAGAAAACCTGTGCAAAGAAACAGAACTTCCATGGCAACATGTGGCAACATTCAATGCATTTGGTTACGTTCAGGCCTCTAAACAAAATCGAAAATTTACCTTATGTGCTCCAGACTGTTCGTTTGCTGTTATCTTTGACATATGGCGACATGCATATGTATACAGACAGCCAGCACCTATTGCAACTCCAGTCAGAAATCATAAAGATGGAAGACAAATTAGCCATGTTGCCAAGCAACAAGTGGTTTCACTGGAGTGTACAGATCACATTGTTGGTGTACAGGCAACATCACAGAAACTCTACATTCTGACTGAATCTGTGTTACATGCTCTTCAAATCAGCTCATAAGAATACATGTACATGTATATGCTTGGCAGGTTCAATTCTTGGGCTCAGTTTCAAAAACAAGCGTGTGGGCTTAATTTTCACCTATTCTTGAAAAGCATTCTTTTACTCAGAAAAAATCATAACATTTGTCCGATTTTTAATCATTTTTTATCCATCAGTACATGTATTAATTTTGTTGTTTTCAAGGCAAAGTTTTTTGTTAATTTAATATAGCAATGAAATAATAAATGAAACTTGTGAAATAATGTTGTGTGCAATTAATTTGATGAGCATTTAAAAGTGGAATGTATATTTTACAGTCAAAGCACTCAATGGGGTATTTATGTGCATCAAGCACAATTCTACTCCACTGAGGAACATTAAAAGCATAATTATCTATGATTAAATATTAATTAGGTCATTATACATATTTGTTTGGAGTAACTTTTTGTAGCTCTGTAGAACAGTATCTGGGATAGTCTGTGGAATCTGAAAACCTTTTTGTGGATAAATCTGTATTCTGTATAGACATCCTATCATAGCACTAATAACATCACACAGTGATCCCACTTCTGTATTGGGGTAACTGAGCATTGGAATTCGTGGTGAGGTCACCAAAACTTGCAAATTGGGAGTTTCTGAGAAACCTGACCATTGTTTCATAAATGTGGCATAAACTCTTCTTTCCATGTATGGCATCTGCACCAAAAGTATCTTTTCTTTTGGTAATAAGTTTCTTTGTTGCAGGATGTTGTATGAGAAGCGTACATTTTCACCTGTGTTAGTAGCATGGGGTTCCAACAAAATTTTATTTTTGTTGACACCTAGAGATATGGCCACATCTTTAAATATCTCAGCTTCAGGTTTTGTCCATTTCCCTACATTGAACACAAAACAAATATATAGTCAGGTTATCAAGCATTTTAAATGACAGCTAGATTCATAAATACAATGATTGAAGAAGAAGGAATTCACCTCTAGTATTTGCACCTTCTTTTCCCGAGAACAGAATCCATGGTGCCACTCCTTGAAGCCATAAACTAGCACCATGTTCAGCTGTCCGTAAATCATGGTTTCCTAGAACCAATATAACATCACTCTGTAATGAAGACCGTTTACTTTAGAAGAAATTACGAAAGGGGGGGGGGGGTCTGTTAAGAGATTCGTGGTGCCTGGACACTATTTCTCTCAAGAAAGAAATCACCTCATTCTGAATCTTTTTAATAAAGTTTATTACCAGATATGCTCATGATTTTAATCATACATAGCTACTTAAAAAATATATGTAGGTGAAAGGATTATTTTATACCTTTGAAATTTCATGTCCAAGAATCAAGTAATCCCATATTTTCTTCGCCAATAACTTGTGATCATCAGGAACAAAGCTACTGCTTTTAGTGCAATGTAAATTCCTCCTCAAAGCACATTTAAAAGAACTAGAGATCCAACGAATAACCCATGGAGATTGGTACAAGTGAAAGTTGTTCATCATGCTTACGCATGACGTCATTACTTTCATTTTTTAACGAAAAATAAATCGTTCATTGTGTATGAAAGAATATATATTGTCAGTAGGCATTTATACATAATTTAGTCGGTGTTTTTGAACATTTAAAACAGAGTTAACTGCATCAATTTGGAAAGTTTTCTTCAAAATGAAAAAATGCATCTTTGCTAATTTTAATATATTACGGCGACAATTCTACGAACGAGTTGTTTAAGAAATGAAAACCCCGCCATTTTCAATATTCAAAAAAATCCTTTAAATCATATAATAGTTAATATGACAGCAGGTAAATATCTATATCGTTAGCGTAAGAAAATATTTCACAGGCATTAGACTAAGATATTGTTGACACCACTTTGGGAGTGAATTGTGTTCATGTCAAAGACCAGTGTGTCTGAAAACTTATTCCGCTGTTATTTGAAAAATCTTTCAAACTTTCGTTATTCTCTAACATCTGGGTTGTAAGTACAACTGTACTCAAAACATACACAAATTTAGCAAAAATTTGATTGTGTAGAAATATACCTATTTCGAGTAACAGGCACTAACAGCAAACATTCATCTTCGTTCATTACCGTCTTCTGGTAATTAAGATGATAAAATAAAAAGTAGCACCCTGCTAAAATAATCCACTGTATGATATATCTAAATAGAGTGTTATATTACAGCATATAAATGTAGTTAATATTTTTTTTTTAATTTTAGACAAAAGTTCAACAGAAGCAAGGTAATAGCTAGTGATGTAGTATGACTTATATTTAATATGTTCAATCATTGAAATGATGAATGTTCTACAGACCCGGTATAAAGATAGAATGCATTCTGTGTATTGGCAGTGTAGCAAAGAAAACATGAGCAATAACTTTACCTCATTGCAATACACTGCGAACAGTCCAAAGAGTTCCGAAATGTCAACATGGTGTGTAAATTTGAAACGAGTAAAAATGTGTTGAAATCTTTGATTATATGGATTAATTTTGGTATGAAAGGTATCCACAATTTTCAAAAAGGTTTGTTATGATTAATTTGACAGTTATTTCCAATGCAACTCTACTTTTTTTTTCCAAAATCATTTCGGAGCTATTCTGCAATTTTCTGCTACATTGCGGGTATATGAGAGGCATTCTAACTGTGGTGAGGGCCTGTCCCTGGCCACAGTTAGATTTTTCTAAACTAAATTTATATTATTTGTCTTTATGTTTTCATTCCCATATAATATTGTAAAAAATGTATGCGATATTAGTAAAATAAAAAGTGGTAAGTGTCTAAAGATGATTTTACTAACAATAACCAAGTTATTCTTTACCAACTCTTAAATTTTTTTTTTTTAGTGAGGGGGATGCCATTAAAGTGTTTGTGAGAATTCGCCCCCCTGATTCCTACGACAATGACCGTGGTTGTCAGCCTTGTGTGTCTGTCAATGACAGCAAGACGGCAGTTATTGTTCAAAGCAAACCAGATCCAAAAACATATACATTTGATCATGTTGCAGATTATCAAGATACACAGGTACTCATGAATAATAAATATACATTTGAATTATGTTCTCATGATTGCCTGCTTCAAAAACCCAGGACAGGAAATTGTTTACATCTTCCTCTTTGAAATCAAATTTTTTGTATACTGTACACATCTGGATTGTTTATAGTGTTGTTATCTGTTTCCAAACTTCAAAAGAAGGTAGTTGGAACAGATAAGATCTCTTTCACACACTTTGTTCGTGTACATAATTACTTATAAATAACTTACATAAATTTGTAAAGGAATACTTAGACACTGTGATTAAATTTCTGTATGAATTAATTTTTTTTCTTATTCACATTTTAGGAGTCGGTTTTCACCATCATGGGTAAGAAAATAATTGAGAGCTGCGTAACAGGGTATAATGGAACCATATTTGCCTAGTGAGTACAATGGTTTCTATATAGGCCATATATAATTTGCTTTTATTTTTGTTTTTCTGCAATTAATATGATTTTTGAACCATTTAAATACATGTACAATATTTTGATTACAGTGGCCAAACAGGGAGTGGGAAAACATACAGCATGATAGGTAAGGAAGAAAAATCATTTAGACAATATATGAGTTTACATTGTATAAAGTTAAGAATACATGCATGTCATTCATGATAAAGCAAAACCCCAGTAATGTTTTCTATAATAAAACTTCAATGTTTTTCAACATTATCAAAGTGTATTTTTATTACTCAAAATTTAAAAGAATCAGTATTTTAACAAATGATTTGCAATTTGAAGCCATTGGATAAAGTACTTGGTTCATTAATTACATGTGTAGCAATTTTCGTTATGTGCTAGCACTCTCTATGTAGGTCCATCAGATGATGTAGACAATTTCCAGCATGACCTAAGGGGAGTCACTCCAAGAAGTTTTGAATATTTGTTCAATTTGATTAGTGAAAAACAGGAAAATGTGAGTATATTAAAAAGTTCATTGTTGGTATTTAACACCATTACATGTAATAAAGTTTGATATTTAACAGTGGAGAATTGTAATTAACTCTGGCTAAGTAGTTTGTGTTTCAATGATTATTCATATGGCAATTGCTTTTATAGTACAGGTATAAAAATTTGATTTTTGAATGTTGTTTTATGTAGGGATCAGAATTCCTTTTGAAATGCTCATTCCTGGAGATCTACAATGAGCAGATATATGACCTTATGGAACCCTCCACAATGACCCTTCACCTGCGGGAGAATATGAAGAAAGGTGTATTTGTGGATAGACTTACTGAGATCTCAGTAACTACGGCACTTGAAGCCTACGAGGTTAGAGTTTTTAAAAAATTGTTTACTTTTCCAAATTTCATGTACTTGCACGAATTTCAAGATGCAGCAGTTACAAATGAATGTATACAAGTACATGTATTCCCCAAAGGCATTACATGAATTTATCATCTTGAAGGGTACTTGTACATTGTTTGTTTTAAAATGGTTTTACTTTGATTTAAGTTGTTGACATTAATAGTATAAGATCTACAGTAAAACATTAAAAACCTACATGTACATCTATCTGATTGACAGGTTTTAACATCTGGTTGGATCAATAGGCGAGTAGCATCTACTTCAATGAATAGAGAGAGTTCCAGGAGCCATGCTGTGTTCACCATTCAAATTGAATCAAAGGTGTGTACTATTAAAAATTTACAGTAGCTATAAACATATATTTTGGATGTACATGTATATATCCATACAAATAATTAATTGTGCTTTTCAGATTTTATTACTATTTTATTCAAATGCATGTTAGTAAATGGAAAAGTTTAAATCATTTCTTTGTGGATACAGTAAAACTCGGTTATAACGAAGTCACTGGGACCTGTGAAATTACTTTGCTATATCTGTAATTCGTTATATCTGTATAAGAAATTCGTTAAATTTATATAGCTGGGGATCCAAGAAAAATTCACTATATCCGTGAATTCGCTATATCCGTGTTCGTACTAAACGAGTTTTACTGTATGCCTATTTGTGCATTCACTTCAGGGAGTTTGTAGTGAACTCATTTGATGATCTTTGGTTGGTAGGGGTCATCTCTCTTCTATTGCTTTTGCAGGTTACATTTATTTCTTAGTAAAATTATTCTGTACTGTACAGAAGTTAATATACATGTAGTTTTTTTTTTTAAGTTTGTTGTTCTTTTTTTCAGCAACCTCAAGGAAAAGGAGTAAAAAATTTGAAGGAGTCTCAGTTGAATTTAGTTGATTTGGCTGGGAGTGAGAGGCAGAAGGATACTAATGCAGTAGGACAGAGATTAAAGGTTTGTACTCTTATTAACATGCTTTAGTTAACTCTGTTATGAGTAGAACTGAATCGTAGAACAAATTTACAATTTCTTATTCTTAATTTCTGTCTGTGTGTGTAGGGAAATAAGTACTGATAAACATTAAATTTTATTTTAAATTAAAGTTTACTATTCTTTTTCAATGAAATCCCAGTTTTTTCATAAAAATATACAATATACATACAATATGGAGTTGGCAAAGTTTCCAAAATAAAAAGATAAATACATTATATGGTATATGAGTATTACAGTAAAACTTGTTTAGTATGAGCATGGTTAAAGCGAATTTACATTAAATATAGCGAAATTTTTTCGGCATCCCCAATGAAATTCTTATTAAACAATTCCTAGTATAAAGAACTGTATGCGGTATATGCATATCTTTGCCCCCACAAAAGTCATATTTTGAAAATTTCTTGAAATGTGCTGAATTGTATATATTGTACGAGAAATCTAAATCAACAAAAAATATTATAGTTTCAAAGTAGGTTATTGGCAATCTTTGTTTCTATGATGTCACAAACTATTTGGATTTTGTATTATTTTTCAGAAAGAGGGAAAAATGGACAAAATTTGTCCTATTTTTACTGTAAAATTTATAGAGCGCAGGCTTGCTCCAGAACAGTATTTACATTTTTCATTGATATTATCATTCTACACATTATATCAAAATATTGAGCCGGAGCAGACCTGCGCTCGGTGACTTTTACTCAAAATATCGATGTAATATATACCTTTTTCTGTAGAAATCATGGAAATTTTGAATTTACGTCATTTTCCTGATGTCATATCAAACATGGCATCGTGGTTTATGAACATATTCAGTGCTTTGAAGTCTGCAGATATCCCAATGTTCTAAAACATAATTATATATTTCTCCATCAAAGTTTGATTTTGGGGGCAAATATTGGTCATTACCGTATATAGTCCTTTATGGATATATTGAACTCGGATGCTGTATCTGACCTTCATTTTCCAGATAAGTGACCAGATTAAAGTAAACTATAAGGGCTATCTGAACCAAACTTGCATGGATGATGCATCAGGGGATGAACACTCTTAAACTTGCTTCAGATGCTGGATATGAATTACATTTTTCTGGATGAGTGACTAGTTTAAAGTTTTTAGGTAAGTCCATTCCCAAGTAACTGCAGGCCCTATCGTACCAAAATTGCATAAATGTTACATCTAGGGATGCACTCTACTAGATTATTAGTTTGGGACTTTGCCTTACTTAAAGACAACATTCGTTGAGGTGAGCTCTGTAATCTCTGATTACCTATGTTTAAAATTTGAAATGACTTTATCTTTGCGGCTGTCAGGAGGCCGGAAGTATCAACAGGAGTCTGTCTATACTGGGGAATGTCATCATGTCTCTGGTCGACATCGCTCACGGTAAATCTCGACACATTCCCTACAGAGATTCCAGGCTAACCTTCCTACTCAGGGTAACGATGATTTGTGTTAAAAGTTAATAAAGCTGGAACTATATTGTATTTAAACCAAAATCTAAAAGTCAGATAGAAAAGGTCATTTTTGACTTTTTACTTTTCAGAATTATATTTGAAGTGTTTATTCCTATTGCATGTAGGAATCAAAGTACATGTATATTATGACCAATCTCCAATTTTTCAGAAGTGATGAGTAAGAACTTTTTAACATTGGGAGAGCATTACAATTTTACCAGCTCATGATGATGTTTTTTTTTTCCCACAGGATTCTCTTGGAGGCAATGCTAAAACACATATCATCGCTTGTATCCATCCAGGTTCCAAGTGAGTTTGACGAAACAGGAAGATTATTTTATGTAAAAGAAGTTATAAAAGTTTATAATTCATTTTTTACACATTATAAATATGAATTGAATTACAGTAAATTTCCTAGGAATACAAGAGAAGATGCCATAAATTGCCCCCAATTTTCCAAGTACATGTACATATACAGTTGTATATGTGTAATACAGTGGTTCCCGTTTTATCCAATAGTCAAGTTGTCAGCCTAATTTTATCAGAATAGCCAAATATTAGAATAGCCGATTGCTCTATACCGAGTCCAAACATTGGTATCTAAAGCTACAGGTATTGATAATACATCGTAGCAAATTTCAAGCTTGCACTTTTGTTTTCTTTTGATAACTTAACTTAGTGACTTTCCTAAAATAAATTGTTTCACTTACTTATAACTTTAATATGATAGCATTTTTCAAATAAACAGACATATAAAAATTATTCTTTGATAGTTATTGCCATCTTTATTCAGCACTTGTTTACATCCCTTCTTCGATGGTCTCCATTATGGAAACGGAAGTAGACTAAATACTTGACTTTATTCCGTAAAGTATTTTTCTCCAGATAGATGGTAAATGAATAATAAAAATATTAAATTGTTTCATTTTTATTTGTTTCTTTAATATGGTTACGTATTTTCTGTTTGTGACAATTGTCTGGTCCATGACTTTACCAGTCTCGTACTTGTTTGCTAAAGAGAGATTTTAAGAGCCATATGGAGAAAGATGGTATGAATTTTGAGAGGTATATTTATACGGGCCGTTTGTGATTTTAACCATAAAATTTGCACTTAAAAGTGAACAAATATTAAGTCAAATGACAAAGTTAAACAATTAAATTGGCTAATTATAATGCATTTCAATGTCCAAGCAAATTATCATACGCAAGCTAATCAGTTCAATAATTAAAATTTCACGCCAAAAAAATTGCTTTCAATTGTCATAATTAACAAGTGCATTACTGACAAGTAATTAAAACCCAAGCTGATCATCACAACTGTAAACTACTAAGGCCACTGTTAACACAGGTAAGGTGCCTGTGTGCGTCCAGCCGTACCTAATCCTGTCATTGTCGTACTCAAGGTGAGAGGTGTCAGACTGTGTAAACAAAGGCTTCACATAGGTGTTAACAAGGCGTTTATTATCAGAAAACACTATGATTGTCCAAATTTTTGTATCAGATAAAACGAAAATCCAATATTTTCTTATCAGAATATCAGTAGAAATTATATATAAATATATAAGAAATGGTTTTGTGCTCTCATATTATATTGAAGTAGCAGAAATATCAGTTAAACCGCTATCCGATAAAATGGAATCCACTGTACATGTATTTTCTTGTAGCTTTGTCAATAATATGCATGTAAAGCTGTACATACCATAGACATGTACACATTTCTGAAAAAATCTTAAATAATATGATATGTGTTGTAGATCCTTTGGGGAAACACTTTCAACTCTACATTTTGCAAGGAGAGCAAAAATGATTAAAAACAAGGTAAAACTCAAAGAGTCTCAAACTGTCCATGTGATAAGCAAGTTCCTTACACGTTGTACGAGTAGTAATGTTGTGCTACAGTGAAGAAAATATAGTTGGTTAATTATTTTTTTTTGTAGGCTGTTGTGAATGAGGACACTCAGGGAAATGTCATTTCTTTACAACAAGAAATCAAGCGTCTCAAGGAACAACTCTCTGCTTTCATGAACGGAAATCTTTCAGCTCAAGTGATACCTACAGGTAGTACCCTCTGAAAAGATTTATCTACTAGGAAGTTTTTCATTTGTACAGTGACTTTTTTGTTTTACTTTCTCAATGGACACAAGCACTTAGCTAAACTGGTGTTGGTGAAAAAAATGCCCATTTTGTTCTTGCATGTACATGTATTTATATATACATGTACATGATACAGTTACACATTTTTTAACATTTATTTAACAGTGATGCTCATACAGATCTGCCAAAAAAAAAATACCGATAAAGAGGCATAATATATTTACATGTTAGCAGTATTTTAGGACACTGTGCATAGAATAAATGCAATGCCTTAAAGCTAAAGTATAATATGTATTTCCAGTTGATCTAAATTTCATGCATTAAATTTATAGCAGCACCATCAGCAGCACCTAGTTCTGTAACAGATTCTGAATGGAGAGAGAGATTTGTCAGCTGTATGCTGTTTAGGGAAAAGGCTGATCAACAAAATCAGGTCAGTAACTCCTCTTGTAGCAAAAATAATAATAATAATAATAGCATTGTTTCTTATTTAAATGTAAGTTCAAAGGCCATTTATTCTTAGGTGTTGTACTTGAAGTGTACTAAGAAAATGGTATTCAAGCAACCCATTCCATAAAATTTCTCCTTTATATCTGTTTTGAATGAATACTTTGTGTATTATGGCATCATCTTCAACTTGCCCTAATACATATATTTATATATTTAATCATTTTCTTACAACAAGGGAAATTATGTTAATTATGTTAAATTTAACGTAAAATATGTTTAAATGGTGTTCTCTCACAAATTATTCTCATTGTTTAATACCAGTAATTGCACAGTGTACTAAGAGTGTGTTAATGTGGGTGATTTCAGATTTTACAAGAGAGAATAGAACAGCTACAGGATCTATGTAATAAAAAGGACAAATGTCTACAGAGCAGTAAAATGATTGTGAAATTCAGGGACAACAACATTTCACGACTGGAGAAGATAGTGAAAGAAAAACATGACGTCCAACCTGCCCTGCAACAGACCATTGTATGATGTGGTTCTCTGTAATTTGCTAGACAAATCCTGTGGGATAACAATTATCTTTTAAACATATATTGTTTGGTCTATGTGCCTGTCTGACCATATCTTTTGAACTAGAGATTAAGTTGAAGATCAAGGTCAAAGTTCATGTAAGGTCAAGGTTGAGTTGATTTGTCAATTTCAAACACTTGTTGTATTAGAGGTTTCAGTCATATGCTAATGTTATTAAACATAGATGTACACGTACGAGGGTTGTCCAAAAAGTTCGTGGACAAATGCTTAAATTTCTTTATAAAGTCCGCAATGGCAAACATGTACGATAATATCTTACTACAGACCATGATTGAGTATATGTACAAAAAATTAAAACAATGCACACTATTTACTGAACATTATAGGTGTAAATACTTTGTATATGCAAGTCGCACGGGCCAGTCTGACGTAACGCTTATTTCTTGATAACGTCAGAAATATGAATTTTGAATTTTTATCGCATGTTCATAGACGCACGTTATTTTTCTTTATTATGCCACATTGCCAAATGTGTGCAATAATATTTATGTATAGATTATAATTAATTTAAATTTTAAAATTCAAAACAATACACAATAATTTACGAGCGTTATCACTTCGTAAACACAGGATGCACAGCCCAGCCCGATGGCGCTATATTTATAACAACGTCATGAATAGGAATATATCCGATTTTCATCAAATAACAGTGGTTTTTTCACTTCTTGTAGTGTCTCCGAAATTTTACACACCGTTGAAAAATCATATACACCAATTACAAATCACTAGACTAAATATTCTCCAATAAATTTAAGTTGTTTGAATAAATGTTTTGTTTTTGACGATTTTTCAACCATATTAACCATAATTGTATGATTGGACGCTGTCCCGTTCGGATGGCCGACGTCGCTTTTTCTGTCAATTTTTGAAACATACTTCTTGCGGTTTTCACTTAATATTTTCATTGTCTATTTAGTATGTGATACTAAAGGTATCAGAAAATGGCGATAACCGCTTTATTTGTGATATATTAAATTTTTATTCAACTTTAACTCGTTTTAAAAGAAAATAATCATTTCAATAAGATCACTTTATTTAAAAGTTCATGGCATTTTAACCCTGGTCCGTGCGCACTATCGGCGACCTTTAATGACTGAGATTTTTACAAAAATATTAAGTTCAAACAATAAAAACCAAACTATTCCGACTTGGATTTTCATAACTAATATTTTGGTATACAGTAAGCATATCTTTAACCATTCATTTTGACAAAAACTCGTATATAGTGTATATGTATGTACTGTACATACGGTTATGACATTGATTACTGTAAATGTAATGTTGATTCAAATTTAAGTCTGAAAATGTAGATGTTACTCTTAAAAATATACATGTACATTTTTGTATTGGTATTATACTATACATGTAAAATCAGTTGCAATTCTATGCTTTTATTTCAAATCCTTGTATCTCAAAACTTTCAAAGTTAAATAGGCAGCTAACAAGTTCAGCTAAAAAACTGTATTCTTTTAATAAAACAGGAAGACTTGAGAGCAGAGGTAGAGACTTTAAAATATCAAATAGAACACAATCCAAAGATCTCCAAATATGCAGCAGACATACAGCACTTAAAGAATGAACTGAAACTCGCCAGGTCTCAGAGAGCTGACTCGCAGCAACTGGACAATAAGAAAATGGAGGAGTTGGAGCAGCTGTATAGAAAACTGGTGGAGGAACAGAGGGGTGAGACAAAAATACATGTAAATAAGGGAAAAAAGGGAGGGGGAATCTGGGACTGCTCATGTATGTCAGTCTTAGTGAGAGCATTTTCATTGATGAATATTTTAGAATTCAAAAATAATTGGCAAAAAAAAAATAGGAGTCTATCTCATAAGATGTTGAATGTACCTGTATGTTCTCAAATGTTTTTTTTTTTCCATATTTTTATATTGAATCAATTCTTAGAAATGCAGTCTATGAATTTCTGCAGTAGATACACCATACATATATCCTTTATGATCTGTCAATTAAAGTCCTTATTACCTTCAAGAAAATGCAGCTCAGCAAATACTGTATAATCCCATTATTTAAACTTGCACTGAATTCTTTAGGGATCCTCTTAAATTCATTCTGAGTAATGATATAAAATTTGATTTAAAAAAAGAAGACAAAAAAAAACTGAAGTTATCATCTGGAATCTATTTTTATACGCCCGTCTTTAGACGGGACGTATTATGTTATGGCGTTCATGTCCGTCTGTCCGTCCGTCCGTCTGTCCGTCCGTCCGTCTGTTAGCTTTTGTCGTGTCCGGCTCATAACTTTAATACTATTAGGCCTAGGATTATCAAATTTTGTCAGCTAATACTTCTTGAGTAGAAGGTGTGTCGCACATTGAAAGTAGGTCGCTCTGACCTTTAATTAAGATGCTATGGTCAAACATGGAAAAATCCTGTCCGGCTCATAACTAGAAAACTATAAGACTTAGAATCATCAAACTTGGTCAATTTATGCATCTTAGGTAGAAGGTGTGTCGCAACCTATTTCAAGGTCACTGTGACCTTTAATTTAAGTGAAATTTTTTTTTAAAAATGTTTTTTACTATTAGATTACACAATCCCAAAAAATGCAAGAGTGTTGCAGTATCCTTATTAAAAAAATGTTAAATCAAGAAAATACTTATTTTTTTTCATAAAATACAGCAATCTATAACAAATGTAATGTTACAAGGAAAAATTCCACCTCTCCCATGGGTGTAATTATCAAGCACTGGTCAAGAAGAATTTGATAACAGAAAATTGCATGTCAAATTAGAGAGAAATTAATGAGTTTAGTGTGAGGAGCTAACTGGTAGAGCATCTCTGATCAAGCAGGTGTTATCTATATCTCTTGGGAACTGGGCAAAAAGAATTAGCTGTGTTGTATTAAATAGTTGGCTAGCCGAACTTTTAAAATGAATTTGGTGAAAAGTAATTAAAACTTATTTGATATTGTATAGCAAATTATAATTTAAATAATATAATTATTATATAATATAATTAAAACCATGCAATTATACTCGGTATTGCAGCTTAAAACCAGTCTGACATTAAATCTAAAAAAAATCAAGTCTTTAAAAAAAATGTTTTTAATTATGGTAGATAGTCCCTACAAATCTAAGAGTAAATTGCAGGAACCTTATTAAAAATGTTGCATCAAGATTACACAAGTTTTTTGTTTCTTTTTATAAATCTTTGTAACAAATTTTTAAAAAAAATCTTTGTTTTCAAATTTAATTTCAGAATGACATAAATATGCATTTTTATTGCACTACAAAGCAGATAGTATGTATAGATCCATTCATCCATTGGGATAAATGAGTGGACATGCATCCATGCAGTTAAAGATTAATTAATGAGTTCAGTGTAGGGAGGCTAGCTGTCTCAATCATTTCTGTTAGATGATCTCTGATCAAGCAGCTGATATCTGTATCCTTTGGGAATTAGACAGAAGAACTGCTGGTCAGTTTATAGCATATGTCATTTGATGGCCAGCCTTTTATTTTTAATATTAATTTGATATAGATTAAGTTGTTAAGACTAAATTTATATTGTTAATATGATATTTTTATTAAATATTTTGAAAATATCAACTAATTCAGAGCATCATGTCTCACAAATTTGAAAGCTGGGGGGGAGGGGGGGGGGTGCAGATGGACATTTGTCAAGCTCTAACACAACCAGTTGAGGATCTATAATGTAATATTTGTTATAATTAATGCCTACACCACAGGAGATGTATAAACAAATATTAAAAGGAATGGAAAAATCCTTGAAATCCTTGTATCAAGGTTGACATGATTTTCTTGCACTCTAAACTGTTTATGACAATTGAACAATATTTGATGGGTGTATCATGCTGTGGCGGGGCACTTTATTTGATAGTTGAATTTCTGATCCTTACCATTGATCTTTTGACCTCAAAACCTTTGGAGGTTGTCTTTAAGTCAAAAAGAGCTATGATATAATATTTAAATTTCATTGAAAAGGCTCAAAAGAGAACTAAAGTTATCTGTTAATCATTTTTCACAATGTTTGAATTTCTGACCTTGACCTTTTGACCTCAAAATCAATAGGTGTCGTTTGTGGGTCACTTGGAGCTATGATACCAATTTATCTGGAAGCATTTACATTTCTTGCATTATATGAATTTCTGACCTTGAGCTTTGAGCTTTTTACCTCAAAATTAATAGGGTCTTCTTGGGGCCATAGGGTATAAAATTTCATTTAAAATGCTCAAAGGCTTTTTGAGATATCATCCAGAAATGAAAGTGTAACACAGACAATGACTAGACCCAAATTAATATCCTCCATTTTCAATGAAAGTTGGGGACAAAAATATCATTAAAATGGGAATTCTATGGTTATGTGAGAAATATAGAAGCAAGGTTTGAATTTTATTCAGTATTCATACATGTTAAACAGATTTCTTTTGAGAGATTAATTATTTATATTTGCTACATGATTAGTACATGTATTCTTTCAGTTGAGGAAAATTTCGGAACTCAAACTCCTAAGCTCACTCCAGCAGTTACAGATAACATCTCTAAGGCAACCGTAGAAAAATACAAATCACAGGTGGAAAAACTAACAGAGGATAATGAAGAGGTATTTGATTGATTATCTAAATTGGGGCACACAAAGAGCAAATGAATGGATTATGTGTTTGTTGTCTTTGTTGGTAAATACATGTAAACCTGTTCATTTCTGTTGATGATGATCTATGATGTTTGTCTATTCCGACTTCATGGTTTGGTAGATGTAATCAGAATAAGATGTCTATTTGGGTTTATTTTGGCCTTGACCTTTGATCTCATAATTGGTAAATTAATTGTTCATCTTTGAATATGACCTGTTCAGGGTATCATTTTCTAACTTCACATATGTAACAGGATGAAATGTTTGGAATACTGCCTTTGGTATGGACATTTGACCTTGAGATTGCTAATGAAACATGTTTATCTCATTTGACTATTGTATTGGATTACCAAGTTTCTTTTTGAACTTTTGCTCATCGTTTATCATTCAGATCAGTAGTCTATGTTCATTTTAAATGAATATGTAGAAACTGCTATTATTTCTAACATAGTTGAAAGAAAAGATGAAACAGGACAAGGATTTATGGGAGAAGAAAGAAATAGAGCTACAATCTGAGCTGGCCTCAGTGAGGAAGGCTCACGCCGATCTCAAGTTTGTCCTCGAGTCCTATCAGATCCGAACTCAAGTAGAGCAAGACGTCATAAAGGAGAGACATTTACAAGTTGTAAAGGTACTGTAAATCTTAATTGTATTAAATATTCAAAGGTACTTGTTCTTTCATACACATCTATGTTTTATGCAGCTTCAGTGTTCAGTAAAAAAAGTGTATGTTCAGTGCATCTTGTAGGCATTAACTGTTGCATTTAAACAAGTATTAAATGACGCTCTTAGTCAATTTACATAAATCTCTACATTTGATTTATAACCAACAAATCTTCATGGTAATAAACATTACATGTTTTAAATCTATTGTCCAAGTGTTTGAAAAAAATCACTTTTCTTTTAGCATGACATACAGTACACTGCAGGTGCACATGTATACGTATCAGTATACATCTACTTAAAATGGAATCCCAAAGCTAGGGCCTGCTAATCAGGAATCTTTTATTTGTTAGACAATAACAACACCTAAGAAAGTGGTGAAAAGACTGAGGAGTAGAGAGATATGTGCCCCATGCTCCAACAACAGCACTCCCACCCTGAATGACACGATCCCCTTTGAGGAGAACGAGGGGATATTTGAGCAATCAGAACCTGAGGCCATGACAGAGGAGTACCAGGAGGGGCTGATTGAGGAGATCAAACAGCTACAGGTGTGTCTGAAATTACAGCTTAATAGAATATACAATACAAACAACTACAGGTGTGTCTGAAATTACAGCTTAATAGAATATACAATACAAACAACTACAGGTGTGTCTGAAATTACAGCTTATTGTAATGACTTTATCCAGTACATTTGATTTATTGAGGTCATCTGAATCACTCAAGTAAAATTATGTGCCATCTTTAAACTTATTAACATGATTCACTTCTGATGATGAATCAACATGCCATTTTCCATCAAATTTGCCTCAAAGCATCAATTTCATTCCTAAAGAAAAATTAATAATAACAAAAAAGATAGGTTTGAGATTTTTTAAAAATTCTTCTCTAGAACTACTTGGCTATAAAAAAATCTCTTTCCTAAAATCACTTGGCTAGAAAGACCCATTTTTTCAATATGTGGAAGCTTCCCTCTATTGTGAAAATTCAAGGGGAGCAGAAATGGGTCCAAAGGTTTATATAAATCTTCTCAAGGACATCCCAGCTACAAATGATCAAACTGACATGCAAGTACATTATATAATGAGAATGGGACAATAAATTGGTCTATGATTTACTATACATACAAGTAGAATTTTGTTTGAAAAATTAGATCTTCTCTTAAGAACAAAGAGGTTTTTAAGTATCAGATGAATACATGTACTAGTATGCAAGCATCCTCATGTATTGTAGATTCAAGTACTTTCATGACATACTCGAATCACAAAGAAATAAACTGGTAAATGACCAGAGAGAGAGAGAGAGAGACTTTGAAATTATCCTATGTGTTTAGGATACATTGAAGAATGAAGTTCTTTCATTGCAGGTTTTCTTACCAGATTATATTGTAGTTACACTATATTACTTACGTAATTTTTAGCTCACCTCGACGAAGTCGAGATGAGCTTATGCTATACCCCCGGCATCGGTGTCGGCGTTAGCGTCGGCGTCCCAGGTTAAAGTTTTAGGAGCAAGTCCCATTCCCAAGTAACTATAAGCCCAACCTGGACCAAACTTGCATGGATGATGCATCTAGGGATGGACACTACCAAACTTGCTTCGGATGCTGGATCTGACCTAGATTTTCCAGATGAGTGACCAGGTTAAAGTTTTAGGAGCAGGTCCATTCCTAAGTAACTATAAGCCCTACCTGGATCAAACTTGCATGGATGATGCATCTAGGGATGGACACTACCACACTTGCTTCGGATGCTGGATCTGACCTAGATTTTCCGGATGAGTGACCAGGTTAAAGTTTTAGGAGCAGGTCCATTCCCAAGTAACTATAAGCCCTACCTTGACCAAACTTGCATGGATGATGCATCTAGGGATGGACACTACTAAACTTGCTTCGGATGCTGGATCTGACCTAGATTTTCTAGATGAGTGACCAGGTTAAAGTTTTAGGAGCAGGTCCATTCCCAAGTAACTATAAGCCCTACCTTGACCAAACTTGCATGGATGATGCATCTAGGGATGGACACTACCACACTTGCTTCGGATGCTGGATCTGACCTAGATTTCCCGGATTAGTGACCAGGTTAAAGTTTTAGGAGCAGGTCCATTCCCAAGTAACTATAAGCCCTACCTTGACCAAACTTGCATGGATGATGCATCTAGGGATGGACACTACTAAACTTGCTTCGGATGCTGGATCTGACCTAGATTTTCCGGATGAGTGACCAGGTTAAAGTTTTAGGAGCAGGTCCATTCCCAAGTAACTATAAGCCCTACCTTGACCAAACTTGCATGGATGATGCATCTAGGGATGGACACTACCACACTTGCGTCGGATGCTGGATCTGACCTAGATTTTCCGGATGAGTGACCAGGTTAAAGTTTTAGGAGCAGGTCCATTCCCAAGTAACTATAAGCCCTACCTTGACCAAACTTGCATGGATGATGCATCTAGGGATGGACACTACCAAACTTGCTTCGGATGCTGGATCTGACCTAGATTTTCCAGATGAGTGACCAGGTTAAAGTTTTAGGAGCAGGTCCATTCCCAAGTTACTATAAACCCTACCCGGACCAAACTTGCATGGATGATGCATCCAGGGATGGACACTACCACACTTGCTTCAGATGCTGGATCTGACCTAGATTTTCCACATGTGAGACCAGGTTTAGATTTAGGAGTAGTCTCATTCCCAAGTAACTATAAGCCCTACCTGGACCAAACTTTCATGGATGATGCATCTAAGGATGTACACTAACCAACCTGCTTCGAATGCTGGATCTGACCTAGATGAGTGAATTTTAGCCATATTTTAACCAAATTAGCATGGATGATGTATCTAGGGATGGACACTTCCAGACTTGCCTTGGATTCTGAATCTGATGTACATTTTCCAGATGAGTGACCAGGGTAATTTTTTTGGAGTAGCTATATAATATTATGGCCTGTTATGATTAAACTTGCATAGATGGTGCATCTAAGGATGAAAACTTCCAGACTTGCTTTGGATGTTGGAACTGACCAAAATTTTCTTGATTACTAAACAGGTCAAAAGTTTTTTGAGCAGGTCTATAATTAAATCAAACTTGCATGGACATTGATCTTGGGATGTACCCTAACTAGAAAAAAACATGATGTGAAATTTGCCTTACATGTAGATAACATTCGTTGAGGTGAGCTTTGTAATCTTTGATTACCTATGTTTTTGTGAGTGACTAGTAAGACAAACATATGTGAAAGATATTCACTTGTTTCTTCAGGATCAGAACAGCTCTTTGAATCAACGTATAATGGACATGGAAACAGAAACTATACAGCTACGACAACATATCTCTAAAGTGGATCACCAGAATGCCAAGCTTACAGAGGTATCAAAGTGAACTGTAACATACTGCTTTATATCTAGAAGAGCATGTACATGTAGCTATTACACTCAGTGCAGAAGTCTGTAGGATAAATTGTGACTTTTGCCCCAAAATTTTAATATGATTGCAGAAATCTAATGATTAATTTTCAGAGATTTGGTACATGGATAATAGAAAACAAGTCTTCTAATATTATATTATTCTTTTGATATGTTGCCATATTTGTAGATTCTTGAAAGAGAGAGGGCTTCATTAAGTGAGACTACAGAGAAGATGAGTAAACTCTCTAAAACCTTTAGTCAAGATTTGGAAGAGGAAAAAATTAAATGCCTAAGTAAGCTTGCTTTAGGTACATTTACACTGTACACAAGACATAAGCCAAAATTTTAAAATGTCAAAGTAACACCAGATACTTGTATATGTACATGATGTATGTGAAATATGAGTTCACTAAATAGTATTGTCACTTTTATGGTGATGATAAGTTATGCTTACAGAATATTTTTTATTCCTCTGGAAATACTTGAAAGGAATGATACTGTATAAACAATCTATTTGGTTTTTTTCTGTAGCCTTTGAAAGTGAAAATAGAGATCTAAAAGTTATTCTGCGACAAACTGAGAAAGAATTGGAAGATTACAAAATGAGATGCAGGTCTCAGGAAAGTGCTGTTCAAAGCCAGGCCGGAGAATTTGAAGATAAGGTACAGGTGTACTAGTCAATCATTTTTATATCACTTCCATAGCATGGCAGACATATGGGGATCACTTTGTGTAGTATTGTCAGTCTGTTTGTTTGTCTGTGTAGGAGGGGTCATACTTGTACAAAAAAAAAAACTTTCAAGCACATCAGTGTGAGATTTCATTAAAAAAAAACACCTTAAAAAGATACAAGCATCATGAAGTTTTAATGGCCAGTTTCAAGCCTCTGGAAGTTTAATTGGCCATTTCGAGTTCAAAATTCTCTCTCTGACACAAAAATAGGATACACTGCACTGTATTGGAGACATTTGGGGAACATTTATAACAGTTCTTCATAGACTTAACACTTGCTCTTTTTTATAAACAGATTGGTGCTCTTGGTATAGAAGTAGAAAAACTCCAAAGAATAAATGAAGAAATAGAGGAAGAAAATCAAAATTTGAAGGTAAGTAAGGAATTGATATATACAGTACATGTATCAAAACATGAACAAAAAGGTCCAAATTCACAAGGAAACAGATTTCACAGGTGTTGGATTTGACAGTTTGCACTGCAGTGAAAAGGATGAACAATATGTGTATCAGAAAGATAAATGTAATAATAATTTTATTTCAGACACTTTGATACCCAAATCATTTCATCTGTTGCATTTGTTAAAGTAACAAAAAAACAACATTAAAACAGTGGATATGCTAATAACAAAATAAAAGTTGATACTGTATACATGTAGGAAAGGCTGATTACAGTACAGGAAACTTTAGACTACAGAGAATGTCAGGTCCAGGACTTAGAGGAGGCCATATCTGATCTACAGAAACAGAAGCAAGAGCTCCAGATCCAAATTCAGGTACACATGTTCTCCAAAAATGTTCCAGCCTAGGTACAAGTGAAATGGGGTTCGTTTAAAGGAAAATAATGACAAACACCATGCTGTCGTTGTGGATAAATATATTCAATCTCAGTATAATCAGTAGTATCAGTTTTATCACAGCTCTGAAATATATATAAACAATCATAAATATTTTATAACAAAGCATACATGTAGATCACTTGCCAGATAGCACGGTCAAATGAAGAGTTATTTCCCTTTAATTGTGCTCATAGATAAAACATTAAGAGTTATCTTTCTTAATCAATAATATGTATAAAGTATAAACACTGGAATATATAGATAAAACAATGAGATCAAATTATACTGAACTCTTCCAGAATAATATAATTATATAGACAATATTCAAAATATATATACATCATACCTATATGTGATATAGAGCCAGAAATCCAAATATATATAAAGCTGAACACAGCTGTACTCTATTCAGTGATATTCTGTCCTGTCTTGGTCATTGTCATAATTAAGTCATTTAATATCAAAAAGCTAATATGTCTGCTCAGACCAAGATCTCCAACAAAAGTAATTAACTAAGTAAAAACCAAAAGAGAGGGAAACTAACCAACCAATGAAATCCAAGTTGGCCTGGACACTACACAAGATATATATAGAAAAGGGACAGGGGTTTAAATGACCACTGTGATGTCATACATCTATAAATAACTTAATAAACACAGATTGATGTAAATAATTCCATGTGGATTTATTCAATAAATGAAATGCTGTAAAGAAATAAATATGACAATTTAACTGAATTAATTTAATCCTGAAATATAATAATTAATACTATATAGCGGGAAAATAACTCGCGGTGTTAATATTCGCTATATTCACGGTGTTAATAAATCCGTGAATTCAAGAAACAGTGAATAAGTTTTCAATAACCTCCATGATTTATTTGGATATTTGGGAATAGACTACGATAGGTATATAAACGTACAGTACATGGTAATTTCAGTAATTACGAGTAGTACTTGTCATTCAATTATTTTAATTATCACGCTTTACTTTAATTCAAATCAGCAGATAATAACCTGTATTTGTTAATAAGTTGTTTTAATAACCAACGCTACATGTTTCGTCAATCCAAAGTTTTGATTACCCGTGCGTAACTAATTTTACCCCGTGTATTTGTTACCTGCATTATCATGCGTATTAGTTTTTATTGACATTTTGGTTTTAAAAAATCATTCAAATAACTATCGAACTTGCTGAAAATGTGGAAGGATTTTATTACGTCGACATACATTATAACACATTTATTACCGTCCAGTGGATTTTCGCCGCGATTTATTATCCCTTTGGAAAGAAGATCTTTGGGTGTACATGCACTCATCGTAATAGCATATAGGAAGGTCATTCGACGTTTATAGTCAAGGACTTTTAATAATTGCACTTGTTTTAATTAATCGTCAATTAATTAGTAAATCTAGCTATTTTATATAAACCTACCCTTTTGATCGTAGTACATAACGCTGATTAATGTACAAGGGATGCCACTTTTATTATGTACCGATTCCGCGAATTCAACAAACCGCGATCGTGTCAGAGGAGAGAAAAACGTGAAAATTACAACCCGTGAAATTAATCCCCTATACAGAATATGAAATAAATCACCCTATCACACAAGTGTACCGTGTTTTCTTTACTGTAGATCTCCAAATTTTCATGACACATTATTTTCGCAAGATAGGTATTTGGTATTTATAAGCCAGACAAATTTGGGTATTGTTTTATGTAACTTCTACTAACAAAAAATATATGCAAGAAGGAAATTTTCGCGTGCAAACCGTTTCACGTAATAACGTGAAAATAGTGTTCTCACAAATTAAAAGGGATTTATAGTATTTTATTTTTCATTTTTAATCCAAATCACAAAATTAGATGATCAACAAACTGCAAAGTGTACAAATGATGGAAAAGGATGCAATTGTTGTCCATGAATTTACAGATCAACAAAATTGTATTTTTTGTCACAACCTTGAAATTTGATCCCTACAAAAATTAATGAAATTACAGTACAATATCTTACAAGTACAGAGATAAAATGTTCTTTGCTTTTTTTTTTCTCATCGTATTGTATGTCCATGTACAGCTATATAAGAACTATGAACTTTATTTTAAAGGAAAATCTTAATCAATCTGACATCAATTTAAAAGACAAGAATAAGTTGTTTCATGAGCTGGAAACAGCTAGACATGAACTGATTTCACTGAAAGAAAATATGGAGAAGAGGGACGAAGAGCAGAGAACTCTCACAACAGAAATTCAACATTTAGAGAAGATAAACGCAGAGAACCAGGTAGCTTTTTAATTTTCTTGTGCATAAAAGAAACAAGCTTGCATAAACATTAATGGTATTTGAATATCATTATGGCATTGTACATATCTCCTCTCAACAAAATTTTCAAATGTAATATTAAACATTCACAAGATCTCTATGAAAGGGCTTCTGTATTTATTGCACATAAAGTGGATTAAACCTTTCCAGCATGGAAACTGTAACCTCCCTTATGGCTTTGACATTTAAATAGAATACTGGTACTGTGAAATCATTTAAATTGTGGGGATGTCAATGTTTGTGGGCAACCAAAATTTTCCAGGTTCATGGGATGTAATTTTATAACTCCAATGTTCAAATGATTTAGATGAAATGATAACTTGACATAGTTAATGTTTATGGGGAGGTAAATTCTTGGCTAAGAGTGAGCCACAATATCCACAAACATTGTGCCCCCTCTCTCCCCTCCCCCTCCCCAGCACACACACACACACACACAAACAAAATTGATTCCAAAGTATGGGTAATACATGTAAATATTAAAAGAGAAATTCCATTTAAAACAAAAAGAAAAAATATGTAAAGTCAAACCTTGTTCTTGAACTTGACGGGACCAAGATTAAACTTGAGATATCCAAGGATTAGAGATATCCAGGTTAAAATACCAAAAGAAAAAGTGGTTTGGACTTCCAACTCCTTCAACAAATCCCTGGTATTCCAGATATCGGTGTTTGAGATAACAAGGTTCAACTCTATTCTCTCCAGATATATATTTCTTTTTTGGTCTTGCAGGAAGCATTATCAACATTTATGAAGAAAATTGAAGAGAAGAACATGGAGCTATCTAATATGAAGGATGCATTAGACACACAGGTGCAGAAGGGGGAGGAGCTTCAGGGTTATCTGGATGAAAAAGAGGGCAGGATTTGTGAGCTGGAAACTAGGAATAATCTACTAGTGAATGAAAGTGAAAGCAAGGCTGATAAGGTTGTTACAGCTTTATAGAAAATATAAACTCTGAGTAAATTTAACAAAGTATAAAATTATAAATAGTTTTTACAAATACTGTAAATAGCAATATTTTCAAGATAAGTAATGAAGAAAAAATTAAAAAGGGAGGGTAGGAGTAGCTGCCATATGGTATCAAAATCTGCATTTTAGGATTGATCATCATTTCTTCCTTTTATAATTGCATCTATACTAGATTTCAACACTGCAAGAAGAACTGGACCAAGCTCAAGAAAACCTCCATAGTTTTGCATCAGAACATGAGAAAATTGAAAAAGAAATGGTATGTTCACAGTGTACATATACATATATTTCAACTTTTTGTCATCAAGACTTCGCACCAAAAACACTATTTGATAGAGACTGCTATAAGCAGCTTGCACCATCAGGCATGCCTATATAATTAATTATGATATTAATATACAGATAAAGTATATCATTGAGGGAGTTAGCCAGATTGCAGTTCCCAGAGCCAGGACTATTTCCCAAGGCAAAGCTGAGGAAAGTAGTTGTGGTTGAGGGGAATTGGAATCTTGCTGACTCCTTCAATGATATACTCGTTAACTGTTTTATTATACCGATACAAAAGTAAAATTTAGAGAATCACAGATAACTGAGAATTAACTTTTGAAGCAGGGATTAGCTTACTTGACTAACTCATGGCAAAATGGGGATTAGTCCATTTACAGTGATGATTTCTTAACTACATGTTTATTGTCTTGGATGTAGTAATGGATCCAGTATTTTAATACCATGGCTAGTCCAAACAATATAACATCAGAGATCTCAAAGATTATGTTCGTTATGACATACGACTTGAAATCTTGTCTAACAGCTTCATCCCATGTTCACTTCAATTAAACTGATCATATTTTACAGTTGCTATCTTAAATCTTTCTGAATTCTTAACATGGACAATAAAACCTTTAATTGAAGCATATTATGTTTGATATGAAAACAAGTCTCAGCTTTGTCCTCTTAGAGATTATCAAGCTTTTCCATTTTCTGCATATGGCGTTTAGCCAGATTACATCTGAAGTTGACCATTTTTTTGCAGAATTTGAGATTCATTCAAAATTGCAAAAAACATCACTAAAATTTCATGAAAATTTTACAATTTTTTTATGGTATTGAAGTTAAAAAATTTCAAATGACAGAAAGTACCCATTATTAAGTGAATAATGTACTGTGCTAGATCAATTCATGCTTATGTGCTGGTAATATGTTATGTTAGGGTACAATTCTTATGTTGTCAAGAACATGACAAATATGTACATGTAAATTACAAAGTGGCAAAATACATATGTGCTTCTTTGGTCTTTATTATAGGAATTGTAGGAAATATTATAACAATATTTCATGTTTTTAAGTGTTTGCAGAATTTCATGTACAGTATGTTATAGAAGGGTAATGCTCCAATTAAAATCATGCATGTAAAACAATACAATTTCCAAAAAATTGTTTTCTTTATATTGCAAAATTGTCATGTTCAATGTTTAATATGCAGGCTACTTTGAAAAAATTACTGGAGACAAAAGATATAGAATTGGCAGTGCTTCATGAAGAGAAGTCGAATCTTGCCATAGAGGTTTGTACAAAACAAGTTTATATCTCCATATCCATGTAGCTATCTGAGAGTATTCCCAAATTGTTCTCAACATAGAATGCAACTTTTAAGATGGGTGGAAAATGGAAGAAACTTTGATACACATGAAATCAAGTACTGGGGTACTGTGAAATCACAGATTTAATTTTCATTGAAAGAATTTGTGTCCTTCATGAAATGTTTCAAGTTTCAAAGCACAGTATCATGTTTGCCTAGCATTCATAAAATAAAATCTCTCAAATCAGTATTTTTTTCATTGAGCCACAAAATATTGACCTCTCTAAAACTAGTGATTTTACAGTAATTTAAAATTCTTCAGAGATCTCCATTAAAGCTTCAGCTGATCTCGTTACACTATTGATTGAATGCACCTGGTATTCACAGATAATTGAATGTTTAGAAATGCTTTTTATGTCTGACAGAGTGAAATATTGACATTTACGTACTTCTGTACTTTGTTATACCCCCACTCCGGTGGCATTAATTTTTGTACGAATCCAATGTCAACTTCCTGTTTATCCGTGCATCTGTCTGTACCATACATAACAAATTTTGGTCACAGTTTTCTCAGCAACTACTGAATGCAGATGCTTGAAATTTTAGCACATTCTTTGTTTAGGCAAGCCATATGGTGAGATTCATTTTTTTACGAATCTGATGTCAACTTCCTGTTCATCCTTGCGTCTGTCCGTATCGTAAAGAACAAATTTTGGTTGCAGTTTTCTCAGCAACTACTAATCGCAGATGCTTGAAATTTTAGCACACTCTTTGTTTATGCCTGCAATATGGTGGGATTCATTTTGTATGAATCTGATGTCAACATCTTGTTCATCCTTGTGTCTGTCCATAACTGAACTTGTGTACATTCACATCAAAGTGGGGGTATCACTAGTGAGCATTGGCTCACAGACTTCTTGTTTTTTTTTTACACTGTTGATGAGGAATAATTCATCTGATAAGGACTGATGTTTTCTTTTTTGACAGCTTTCCTCCACAAAGGCTGAGCAGTGTCGTGAAGTTATTGCTCAGCAGGCCTGTGTTATTGAGGACTACAAAGAACAACTCAATCTGTATCCTTTCTTTGTTTTAACATTGTGTTAATGAGAGTGTTTTTTATATTTAAAAAAAAAATTATGAGATATGCGTTGTTAAAATTGCAATTTATGTTGCAAAGCACAAACAAGCAAACATAAATGCAAAATTTCAGAGTTTAACACCATATGCATGTTATTTGCATGCTATTTTTAATCTGAGTCAAAGACTGATGTGAATTCTTTTAATGTGGATGTTGTTCTTTTTCAACCGAACTACCTCAAGAAGTTTTAGCACATTTGGGTTTTAAAGCCATCTAATTTCTTCAAATTGGAACCCACACTCCTTTTCAAGAGAAGAAAATGAAGTAATACATGTTGTGTCCATTCCATTGACCAAGAGGCAAATTTTTACGTATATAATAGTGTTATGATTTGGATGTACTATGCCGAAATAATAGTCAGGGTTGGACACATGATGCATGAGGCGAGTGCAGTGTATGTCAAACCCTGACTTCTATTTCAGCATACTGGTAGTACACATATATCCTAATCAGGGGCCCGTTTTACAAAAGAACTTACGACTAAGACCAAAAACTTCCGTTGATTGTAAAATTTTGCAAAATTAATTATTCTGTTTAAAATTGCTAGAGTAAAAGTATCCTTCTAAATACCTTTTAAAAATATTAAAACCATTTTCTATTTAATGTAAATTAGAAAGTTATTAGCAGAATTAAATTTTGGTCTTAGTTGTATGTTCTTTTGTAAAATGGGCTCCAGAATGCGATTAAAATTATTGTTGGCAGATGTCAGATCTAAATGAAAATTTTCTTGAACCTTCTTTAATCAAGCATTATAACAAAAAGTGTTTTAAGACTCAGAAGTACCATTTAATGTAATGGTGGTGACTAAATTAATTCAGATATTTTAGTTTATTATTTATTTCTTGTTTTGTGTCAGATCTGACTATAAAACTAAGTTTATATACAATGTACTTCGGAAATACATTGCATAGTTTAACAGTTTCAGTGGCGTAATTGGAGCGCATTGGATAGAAGTTCTCTGGATATAATCATGGTCATAAATGCATTTATTTACTGAAAACAGAAACAATCGAAAATCTGATTTACATGGTGAATATATTAAGTACAGGTTCCTTGTATCTTTATTTGTAATATTATCAGTCCTTAACAGTTATAGACTGAAGAACTCAGAGATGTCCGTGCACCAGGAATCTCAGGAAATAGACAGATTAATGGTAAGTCTTTGGTGATCACATTCTCATGTTTACCTACCGGTACAGTGTTGAAATAATGTGCATTGAGGAAAATGATGTTGTAATTTAGATCTTAATGTTATGGCTCCCAATTTATTACTTAATAGAGACACAGTCCCCTGGCACACAGACTGATTTGCAGAGAGAAGAGAGTACACGATGTTGACAAAGAAAACCAGTCTCCTCTAAAAAAGTTCATGTCTCCAGTTCTCAGATTAAAGGACATCGAACAAAACAAAAACAGACTCTCTTCATCAGAATCCTTAAACAACACAGAGAATGGATTGTTTTCTCCAATAAAAAGAAAGCCCGCACTCTCGGAAGATCTCGTACATAGTGATAGAAGTACTCAGTTGTCAGAAGATTTTACAGACGATAGTCAGATGGATCTGGACCAAGCTTTTGTAACAGCACACACTATGCAGGCATATGTGTCTAAAACCCAAGAAAAGGAATCTGAAAGTGTTTGATATGAGCTTGTTTGAGAAGATTGTGAGAAATTTGAATGCATGATACATTGTACTTGGTGAGGGCAATGTTAGGAGGATTCAATGTTAACTGCTTTATTATATTATTACAAGAGATTTTAGTTAGAATATTGTTTTTATGATGTAGTTTATATACAGTATATTAACATAATGAATGCTGTTCTTTAAAAATGAACATTGTGATTGTTTCATACAGTGCATATTGTGCAGTATCAATGAAACTTATGATGTAATTTTAAAAACCCAATGAATTCACAGGGGTACACCTGAATATATATCTAATGCATAATTATATATACAAATATATCTTCACAAGAAGTATGGTAGAATAAATAATGTAAAAGAAAGTTTGGGTGATTTATGAATGACATGTAGAATGGGCTTAAGAGGAGAGAAAATATATCAGATGAAGAATTATAAAGAATAACCTAACTTTTTTGCCTTTGAGTTTAAAACATGTATTAAGGTCAACAAAATTTTCAGAAGAGGCTCATGGGCCTTGTCAGTCAGCATTATGAGTTTCTCAGGTGAGCAATTTATCCTTACCTTGGACTGGAACTTTGACTCATGTTAAATGAAATTTACAACTTAGTAGAGAGGTTGTTCATTATCACAGTTTATAAAGTTTGCCTCCTAGATGCTCAGGGGTAAATAAAAAATGATATACTGAAATATTTAGTACTTTGTATATGACTCCACCCATAGAAACAGAGGTGTCAGGTGAACTAAAAGTGTTATGCAGGAAGTACATGTAGAAATGTTTGGCCAAGGAGAGAGAAAGAACATTCCAGACGTGATAGTTACTGACCAACAAAATAATACTTGGAGCAAGTTCCAAATACATGTAGATTGAAGGATTAAGTTGATCTATTCTTCATTATTCCTGGAATCGGCTGACAAATGTGCCTTTTTGTAATATTTAATCAAAACTTAATACACAAGGCTTATGGCTCTCAAAGCTCATCTGAGTCACCTTGTCCATGCTGTTCTGATGACTTCAGCAAAAGATTTTTTGCCCCTCTATATTCCCATTAGAAATTTTGACCCCATACAGTAAAACACTCTCATAACAAACACTCTTAAAAAGAATTCATGCTTACAGTGAAGTGATTTTCATTCCCTGTGGTTTTAAAACATAATGTGAACTTAACAGATATACTGAATTACGTTTATAACTAAGCAAAATTGTTTGTCCCTGGCATTTTGCTGTAGAAAACATGTTTTACTGTATTGTTACAGCAGCCCACCTAAAGCCTCAAGGGATTATGATATAACTAAACTTGAATCCACACATTGTGATGCTTTATTATCAATATGACTAACATGGACCTGCTTTTCCCCCTGGAAGAGATTTTTTTAAAAAAAGTTTTTAGTACTTTTTACCTCTTCTGAGCTAAAGGCTCAAAGAGCTAATGCTATGGCCATTTGTGCGGTGTGCGTAAACTTTTTGGAAAATGGGCCATATCTCAAGAACCCCTAAATCAATTTTTTTCACAGAGTATCCTTGGCCCAAAGGCTTTCATTTATACAAAAACTAGGGATGTGTCCCTTAAACAAGGGGAGATAATTAGGGAAATAAAACATAAGTAGTGGTTACAAAAAATTCTTCTCAAGAACCACAGTGCAGATTATCACCAAACTTACATACAAGGATGAAGATACGATGTAGATAAAAATATGCATGGGGAATCGCCCTGGGGCAAAGGGCGTAGTCACAAGGTCACTTCAAAGTTGACAAAAATTTACGTTTTGTTTAATCTTCAATATTTTGCCCACTATAAGGCCTAGGATCATCAAATCTTGTCAGTTGATGCAACTTCGGACCTCATATCATGTTGACTCAAAAGTAGGTCAAGGTGACCCACTTTTGGAATTTTGCAGGTCTTCATTTTAATTCTGATGCATATCTTGTATACTTTGAAGCCCATGATCATCAAAACTTGTCAGTTTACGCATCATGGGACCTTGAAGTGTGTCAATCAAAAAGTAGGTCACCATGACCTACTTTCTGAATTTTATGGCTTATCATTTTCTAAACATTAAAGGTCATTATTTCAGAAACTAAGAGGTTCAGAATCATCAAATCTTGTAAGTTGATGCACCTAGGAGCCTTAAAACAGATTTATCAAAAAGTAGGTCACAGTGACCTACTTATTGAATTTTACAGGTATTCATTTTCAAATTGTTTCAGGGGCCTATTTAGGACACTTTGACGCATGGGATCATCAAACTAAGTCAGTTGGTGCATCTTGAGTCCTGAAAGTGTGTCTACCAAAAAGTAGGTCACCTTGACCTACTTCTTGCAATTTAATGGCTTAATTTAAATATTTCATATACTAATTGGCTTAGAATCATCAAACTTTGTCAGTTGATGCATCTTGAGTCCTCAGAGTGTATTGACCAAAAAGTAGATGACTGTGACCTACTTTTTGCAATTTCATGGCTTAATTTAAATATTTCAGACACTGATTGGCTTGGAATTATCAAACTTTGTCAGTTGATGCATCTTGGGTACCTGGAGTGTGTCAACCTAAAAGTAGGTCACTGTGTCCTACTTTTGGATTGATTGATTGATTATATGTTGTTTTACGTCCCATTCGAGAATTTTTCACTCATATAGAGATGTCACCATAAACCGGTGAAGGGCTTCAAATTTTAACCTTTACTCGGCACTCAGGGCCATTGAGCAGTGAGGGATCTTTATCGTGCCAACGCCCATCATGACACGGGACCTCGGTTTTTAAGGTCTCATCCAAAGGACCCGCAACTTTCACTGCAAAGTGCCGAGCGCATGGCGAAGGAACAGTTGCTACCCATTTTTTATCGACTTAGGTCAGTCGCGGCCGAGATTCGAACTCACGAACTCCCGTTCATGGAGCGAGCGCTCTACCGACTGAGCTACCGTGAACGGTCTTCCTACTTTTGGAATAGGAGGGCTATTTCAGTAACCAATTGGCTTAGAATCATCAGACTTTGTCAATTGATGCATCTTGGGTACCCACAGTGTGTCAATCAAAAAGAAGGTCACCATAACCTACTTTTTCTGAATTCCATGGCTTTTTTCAGTTACTAAATGGCTCAGAATCATCAAACTTTGTCAGTTGATGCATTTTTGGTCCTCAAAGTGGGTCAACCAAAAAGTAGGTCACCATGACCTACTTTTGGAATTTGATGGCTTTTTTGGTTCCTAATTGGCTTAGATTCATCAAACTCTGTCAGTTGATGCATCTTGAGTCTTTGGAGTGTATCAACCAAAAAGTAGGTCACTGTGACTTACTTTTGCAATTTCATGGCTTCATTTGAATATTTCAGGTGCTAATTGACTTGGAATTATCAAACTTTGTTAATTGATGCATCTTGGGTTCCCGTAGTGTGTCAACCAAAAAGTAGGTCACTGTGACCTATACTTTTGGAATTGGAGGGCTATTTCAGTAACTAATTGGCTTAGAATTATCAGACTTAGTCAGTTGATGCATCTTGAGTCCTCAAAGTGTGTCAACTAAAAAGTAGGTCTCCTTGACCAACTTTTGCAACTTCATGGCTTTTTCAGATACTAATTGGCTTAGAATCATCAAACTTTGTCAGCTGATGTATTTTTGGTCCTCAAAGTGCAACTTCATGGGTAAATTTAAATATTTCCGATACTAATTGGCTTGGAATTATAAAACTTTGTCAATTGTTGCCATGCTGACCTACTTTTGGAATTTCAAGGCTTTATGCTTATTTATAGGTTACCAAGAGGCATAAGACAGACGAGATTATAGGTTGTACAATTTTCAGAAGAGCGATTCTAGGCCCTTGGGCCTCTTGTTTTCTTCCTGTACACATTTTAAATTTAATCTCGGTTAATCCTAAATCCATGATCCATAATTTCAAAAACAAAAAAAACATAGGCACAGCTATCTTGATGAATGTTATTTGTAACACTGAAGGCAATGTCTCGCACCAATGTTCTGGTCATGTGCTTCCTAGATGCACATCCATGCAAGTTTTGTCTTGGTAGGATTTATTTAATATTTTAATAACTCACAAGATAATCGTTTATAAAGGTTGAAACTTAATTTAATGCAGGAAAAAAAAGATCTAAGGTACCATACGCATAACAAGAGGCCCATGGGCTACATCATTCAACTGAGCACTTTGGCTACAGAAAAGCAGAAATAACTTCAGTACTGAAAAGTTTCAATATATAAGTGCCCCCCCCCCCCCCCCCCACCTTAGGATGCTTGTGTATTAATACAAGCCAAGGGCCCAGAACTGCTCTTCTGATAAATTGTACAACCCTATTACTTCTATTCTAAGCCTCTTCATATCCATATATTTAGATAAAGCTTTGAAATTCCAGAGTAGGTCACAAGGACCAAAAGTGCTTATAGATTTAAATGATCTTATATTTTCTTTTTAATTGTTAATAAAAGATCAAATATCAGTTTCATACCCAAAAACTTACTTTGAAACACAGGTAAATGCCATAGAATATTAATCTGAAATTGGCTACAGATTTTGGCAAAAAAAAAAAAAAAAGATATACCGGGGTACACTCTATAACTTGCATCAATTAAAAATAAAGTTGGAAATTTATTTATTTTGTTTACCAAATAAAGTTAAGAAAATACTGTATATTACACAATTGAAAAGGAATGCATTGAATAGATCTCAAATTATAATTATTTATTTTACTGTCAGGAAAGTAATGCCTCTATTTAAATTAATGCATCACGTGACACTGTCGCTACTTTTAGACTGATAAACAAAAATGGTGTCAAGAAAACGAGGTACAAATAACTTTTGACATGGATGGCAATGGCATGTGTCTAATGCTTAAAGATACTTATCTTTTAAAACAACCAGTATTACATGTAACCATCAACTCTGTAATGACAGATATTAACCATTTATTCATAATCAAAGTCAATATGCAACGTACCTCGTCGTCTATGATTTCCCACGGACATGCATGTCTATCTACTGTTTACGCACTTCCTTCATCAATATTCATGAAAAGACTGAATTTTAAATTGCAGATCTTGCTTCATTGTTTTGTAATTACATAGACTTATTTAGTAAATCTTCGTGGAAAGTATTATTTTTTATTACACATCATGTTTCTCAAATCATTTAATCATTTTTTTTTTCGCATGAAAAATTGCATTTATATAGCATGTATATCTTTAAAGCGAATCAATGACAAATTCCTCTAAAATAATCTGAAAAAAATACAACCAACTTATAAGCTAACTGACTTATAGGTGACTACATACAGTAGTATAACAAATCAATAATTGAAGAGCTGACTGCCAGAAAATGTGGCACAATTTTCTTCTTAGTTTGTATCAAGCCCCTTCAAAATTGTCAATGCAGGAAAAACAAAACCTAGCTTTGGGATTGTCTTTCATCAGAAGTGACACTGGCCATGGTATATTATATACATTCATACATACTTCAAAGCAAACTGAAACTTTCCAATTTTCAACCAGTTTTAGAAATTCATTTCATTATTGAAATGGAAAAATACAACTGAAAGTTTATGATGTGTATATTTTAATTGTTTAATTTCTCTGCATAATCATAGTTAATGTGTTCAGAGAACCTATATTTCATCCTAATATATTTTCATAAACATACATTTTCATAGGTCTTGAAATGTACAAGTATATTCAAGAATAGTTCTCATTGATACCCCCCCTACCCCACCCTGTCCCCCATGCTATCCAGACCTAAAATTTAAATTTAGGGCACACTACTTTACATACAAAAATGAAAATCTACAACATACTTTAATACAGTGACAAGGAATAAAATACATAAATGCTTTGTACTACATTATTTTTTATAACTAGGAATGTTGGACATGCTTAACGTTGTAAATAAATTATTTGCTGCTACATATATTTGTACTTGCAGTCACACACGTTCATATTAGTAACAAATGTTCATACATTGGGTGTAATGACTACTTCCAAATGCTTCATCACTTTGGCCATACACTATAGCTTCTATGCAGAGAACATATGATATATATTTCAAAATTATCATAACTATCTTCAAATTAGCTAGTACTTAAACATCAAAATATTAAAAATATGGAAAAAACAAAAATTTTTTACATGCCTCCTGAGTAACAAATATTTATTTCTTGTAATTGGGAAACATAAGCAGAGATATTGACTAGGTTCAATATAACAGGGCAGTGATAACCACACATAAACATAAATCACACCCGTCATCTAAAGTAATGGTAAAGTAATGCTTCACATGAGCAAAGAGGTACAACAGAATAGCAGTCATCAGAATTTAGGCCACCATAACCATCAACATTTCATTCTGAACAGATTTTTTAATGCCACAAGTGTTATTATCATAGTCTGTCTTATCACTATGTTCATGGTTTTCTTTTTACAGTTTTGTCCAATTTATTCTCACTTGAAGAGAGCAAACTGAAGAAGACAACAAACTGCATATACACATTTTGTGGGTGATGGGGATTTAGTTGTAATGTGGATTTAACATGAGGTGGACAAGGGGGTGTAAAATTGATCACCATTGAACGGGGATTAGATAATATTTTGTGATAAAATCAAAGACTTCAATATCGTACATGTAAGTACAATCTGTGGGTCAAAAGAAGTGGAAATGATGACTATGGTTTAAATACAGTCAAACCTTGTCATCTCAAACTCAATGGGACAGAGAGAGAAACTACTCAATACGACATATCCATGATGTTTGAGATATCAGTGTTCGAGATACCGAAGTTCAACTGTATCAGTAAATCTTTTAAATGTATATTGTATACACATCAGTATGAACATGTATACAGTATGTAAGGTTGAATGGAATTCAGTGTTTTGAATGGTAGATCTTTAGGTAGCGGGGTGTGTGAAAATGTGTAAAATATATAAACCTCTTTAAAAAATTCTAATACATAAGTACATGTACATGAACTAAAATAACAAAGGTCCTGTGTAGGGAAGTATGAATAATGTCTTAAGAAAAAGGTAACATTATTCTATATGGAGCAACACATTTGCTCTACAATTACAGGTAATTCTAAGTTTTTAAATCTGATTACAATAGTTTAATGAAACATTTTTACAAGTGACGCTTTGGATACAATGAGAAATTGATCACAATCAACAAACCCATTGTGTCAAATTGAAAATGGTTATGGCCATGCAAAGGAAGTAAAGCTTGTTTGGGGATCAGTGATCTTTACAAGATAAATATATATTTGATTCAAATTTAAATGCTATTCAGCAATACAACAGAACAGTTTTCAAAGGTGGGAGAGGGAATCTAATCTAGCAAAAGCCTCGTCAGAAATCTAAGAGGGATTTTCTTTCAGATGATGAGCTTTCCTTTAATGCTAAAATGGCGGAAAAAATGCATGTATTTACACCCTAACATGAATTTACACAAAATCATGACTTAAGCACCTTATTTTTCAGTTTAAAAATGCCCCATATATAATAAACATGTACATGACAGTATGGAGACTTTGGTCTGCATTTGTTCATCTTATCATCTGACAAAGATACAGGGGTACATACAAAAAAGGGGGTTTCTTTTTACAACCACTTCTAGTTGTGTAATAACTCTACATAAAGGTCAATTTTGATGGTTATAACACTACAACACTTTTAAAATATGAAAAATAAACATTAATTTATTCATTATTTAAATTCACCAAGTTTCTCCATTTTCCACCGAAACCTGGCACGAAGTCTTGCACCATCTTTGCTATGAGCAGGTCCACTTTTGGTATCCTATCTTGTTCTGTAACAATGTCCTATACAAAAGGCTAACTGCCACAGTCATCAAGTACACTTCTCTAACATTTGGTTAATTTGGAGATTTCGCCAGTCCTGAGTGATGTCATTGAAATGATTATCAAAGTCCACCACATCTACCTCCCTAAATGACTGTGATGACAACAACATGGCTGCTGTCCTTAACGTCTCCTCTGTCACTGTCACTTTACTGAAAAAAAAAAAATGAAAATACTTAGAATTAGGTGTTAACTTACCGTTTTCATTTTACACTACTTATGTTAACAGAATATACATGTATCACATAATAGAAGAAATTGGATTTTAAAAAAATATCTTTTTCCTTTATATTTTTTCTTCCTCTTCTCTCTCTTGCTCTCTCTCTCTCTCTTTTTGTATGCAACAAAAAAAGGGGGGGGGACAAAAACAACCCCCCCCCATAAAAATGTACATTTTTACAAAATGAAACATGAATAATTAATTTCATTTCAATATACTGATCGACACATATTACTCTAGGTAAAATTGGCAACATTGCTGAATTTGCCAAATAATTGTGAAGCTGGCTGATCAAAATTTAAAATTCTTAATTTGTCCTACATCACATACATGCAAAATTTTTGTCGATGAAATCCTTTTATCTTTAATATTTAAAGTTCAATTTGAAATTCATTTTGTACCAAAAAGGGAATTTAATATAAGTAGACAAATCATGGATTGATGGCATTTATCATGGTAAATGCTGTAGGTTTAAAATAAGAAGGCTACGAATTCAGCTATCTTTTTAATTCAGCTTAGTAGTCAATTCGGCTTTGTAGCAAAGTCAGTGAAGTTGAATATGACTTAATTTACATGGAATGGGACAAGTATTCCATGCATGTATAAAATTACTATAACATGTCTCACTTTTCTTCTTGTTTCCATGAATTTTCCTTTGGTGAATAAATTCTGTACAACTCTGAGACAGATTCTGGATAAAGTCTTTCATTATCAACCTGTATAAGATGGACTTCATTTAAAGTAATCATTTAAAGAAATAACACAGCATGCAAGCTCTTTTGAGCTTCTGGACATCATATTTTGAACATCTTATTCTTTATTATTAGCATGATCACGGTATTAAGTTAAATAATTAATAAGAGTATGTAACTGGTGTTGCTTTATTATGCTTACTTTATTTTATGTATGATTTTTAGAAAATGTCTTGAAATTTCAAACAATTATCCATTTTTTAAAAGTTTACAAATAATGGTTACACAGTCTTGAATTTTTTTTCTTCAGATAGTTGACTAATTGAAACACATGAAAAATACAACTGACTTATAAGCAACATAGATATGTAAATGTGATATTTCAGTAATTTCACATAACTTGTTATTACCATAAATATATGTGAATCTGGACAACTTTCTTGAATTCTTCTTCCTATTGTTCTGGCCACATTATTCAATCTAATAAAAAAGAACATTAGTTTAAATAAGAAAACAACTTCATTAATATTTCCATAGTATCAATGAATCAATCAAAATTTCTTTCTTTAACATTTAGGGGCAAGGTGTCTTATACTCCACCTGTACATCAACACTTTTATGTGACATGGTTACTTGAGTACATTTCAACTTACACTTAATATTGTATATATACGTAAGTGGAAATGTTTAGAGGAAGACACCAATAGCTTCTTTTGTTATGTGGTTCAAGGACAAGTTCAAATAAATAATAGACACCAATATCATAACACATTTGTGTGATTTAATATCTCCTATATTTTTCATCCTTGAGACTTCATTACATGTGCCACACAGGTGGAGAATGGAAGAGGAAAACATCTTTTGTTTTTGAGGTCACTTGGTCAAAGTTTAAATGACCATTTTGATGCAATAACTTAGACATTTCATAACCTACAGACTTCATAAATTATTTAGTGTATAGGTTGAAAATTACCAAAGAAATACATTTATAAATTTTTGGATCAGAATCAAACGGCAACTTTAGAATGCTTCTATTAATGAAGTGCAAGATAAATAAAACTTACTCTTTGTCCCTAATATTTTCATTGGCTTGATAGTAACCAGCAATGACATAGCCCCTGCTTTTACAATATGCATCAATCTGAAATATAATTCCACAGCATTGAGTATATTCCTAATACCGGTAATCATATTTGATCTATTTTCTTACCTGTAGCATTTAATATATGAAATCAATATGGAAGTCAAGTGCATACATTAAAAGCCATATATTATGACCTCCGTTCACTTCACAGTTGAAAAGTGCATAAATGTGAAAATTGTTAATATTTTAAGCATGAAAACAAACACACACAGTGAAACACACAAAAACACAAGTAAAATTATGCATTATTCCAGTAGTACATTCTGACATTTTTATTCTAAAAAATGACTTCACTGGAATTAACATTTAAATGCCAATGAAACCACACCGGTATTACAGAACTCGAATTTCCTCTGCCATAATAAATATTTGACAATTAGAAAAGAATTCTAAAAGAATCGCCGGCAAATATTTTATCAAAATACCTTCAAATTACTATGATAATTTAGAAAAATGATAATAATATACATTCGTATCAGATTCTTACTCTAAAAACTGTCATATTTACCTGCAGCAATGCTGCTTCAAGCATGGGTGCAAGACTGAGGGTTAAATGAAATAAAGGGACACAGTCGACGAATTTCAAAACTTTGCGGTCTTTTGATTTACTATCTTCTGCTAGTAACACTCCATTCACAGCACAATGTGGATGTTTCACAGCGTGAAGAAGTATTTTACAATACGCCTGAATGCTGACGACGATCTCCGCCATCCTTGCTTTTAATTTTGATCACCCTAATCTACGGAAAATATTCTTAGTTTTGTAAATTAGTAATAACACATATTAAAAGTAAAGATAAATCATAACATCAACAATAACCACATTTTACTCTCAAGTGTGCTCAGTATAATTTAAACTATTCTGTGCCTTTTTTTTATCAATTGTCAAGCTTTTAATATTGAGGGAGTTATATATGTACCCGGTGATTAGTCCATCCTTTATTTAATAAAGTAGACACGAAAAATTAAAGACAACCTCATAGATAAAGCAATAGGTATATCCAGTCATTATTAGATTATAGGCCATGTTGTCTAATTTTTTATACACTATTCTTTTTTTTAATTTACTGCGGACTTCAAACATGTCGGCCTGCATGAAAATCAACACTGATCAAAGATTGCTTCCTTGAAATTCTTCTTGCTCAACTTGGAAATAGTTTTTTAAATATCACACTGATTGTCAACGAGTGTAACTATGAAAGATGGTAACAAAGACAGGTGGGTGTCGATTTAACTATCACAGGCCCGTAGGAAGCAAATTCAGTTTGGGGGAGGGGGGGGGGGCACAGCCATACATTTCCTCTTGATACCCTGCTCCCACACTGGATAACTTTACTTTTTTTGTTTTAAGAAAAGGGGGCAGGGATGAAAATGTGAGGTGCCGTTTTGGTATATATTGCCATTTTATGATATCACCTATTCATATAGGTAATATCACCTATTCGAATAGGTGATATCTGACTCATTCAATTCGAATAGGTGATATCACTCATTTGAATAGGTGATATCACCTATTCAAATTGGTGATATCACCTATTGGAAATAAATAAGTGATATCACCAATTCAAATAGGTGATATCACCTATTTGAACTAAATAGGTGATATCACCTATTCATTTTAACTTGGTGATATCACCCATTCGAATAGGTGATGTCACTTATTTGTATTTCTTACAACATTAAATAATGAATGCTCCCTTCCTGAAGACTATCTAGCTTCAATGCAAAGTAAAGGATGAAATTTTAGAAGGCTTTCAAAGAGCAATTTTATTTCCTTGGCAATGATACAGAATTTATGAAATTAATTTTATTACTCTTGATTAACCTTTTCAAGAAAGATTATAAAGTTTTTTTGGACTTTTTATATTTCATTTGAGCCAAAACCTTTACCATTTCAACACTGCATTGACCAAATAAACTATAGTTTCGCTGTAAGATCATTTATATCACAAAGAAAAGGAGGGGCACTTTTTGTAAGTTACAATATATATATGTACACACAAAAAAAAAAACACAGAAAAATTCAAAAAAATAAAATTAAATTAAAAGATAGATTTTAATCCCTCATGTCCCTCAGCAAATTCATGCTGACCTCTTTTCCTGTGTTTTAGTTCGAGACATTTTACAAAACCATATGTTATCGATCCCTGTAAAGTTATATAAATTTTACTTGCAGTCAGTTTTGCTATATTTAGTGATACTTTTTCTCTGTTTATAATTATTTATGTACAAAGAGACTGAATTTTTTACTTCCTGTATAGAGTAAACATAGGCAGTTCATATATATTCTTGGGAGCAGTTATTTCATAAATAATTTGAATAGGTGATATTACCTATTAGAATAAGTGATACCACCTATTCAAAATGAATAGCTGAAATCACATGTATTTGAATAAGTGACATCACCTATTCAAATAGGTGATATCACCTATTTGATTTGAATTATAGGTGATATCACCTATTCATATCGTATAGGTGATATCACCTATTCGAATAGGTGCTATAACCTAATTGAAAAATGATATCACCTATTCAAATAGGTGATTTCACCGATTCAAATTAAATAGGTGATATCACCTATTCAAATAGGTGATATCACTTTTTCGAATAAGTAATATCCCCAATCCAAAAGCTGAATAGGTGATATCACTAATTCGAATAGGTGATATCACCAATTGATATCACCAATTGAATAGGTGATATCACTTAATGGCAGTAAATATCAAAACGGCGCCTCATATGAAAATAAGATTGGAGTCTGAATGCATATAAGTATTTGAATGCAACAAAATGGAAAGCATTGCTTAAGGATATATCTGTATTTAGCAATCAATGATCACAAGCCATATGGCAGTAGAGGTGTAGATCTAGCCTGGTGTCCGAGGCTTTCCAGAGTGCAAACAAGAAGGCTAGCCTGAGCTACATTCAAGATCTAGTAGCTAGCCTAGTCGTTAGTCTGTATGATTTAATGCATGTTTGGCTAGGCTAGCATGTCGTTCAAGATTGTAGTGACCATGTAGTTCTAAAAAGCCGCTACGATCTTGAACACAGCCCTGCATGGTTCCTAAGCAGGTTATGGCCTTAAATGGATGGCCCTAGCAGCCAAAATAGCAACAGTAAGTGTCTCCTGTTATCATGCAGCAACATTTTAAGATCTTTTTAAAGACTATTAAACACAGATGTCTGAACTTCTTATACATGTTTATATTCATGTAACTTTAGAAATTGACCCTGTGATAAGAGAAATACACTGTACTGGTATCTTCTACTGGAATAAATAGCTATTATCCCTTTATAAAAATTGTGTGCATTGGATTTCTCTTGGAAGATCATTAGTGTTAAAGCAACATTTCATATGGTGATGATGAACTTTAAAACATTTAAGTTATGAATTTCTTATAATATATATACCTTGCTTTAGGAATAATACTCACCCTCCGCCACCAACCCTATGAAAACCCAACTCTTTCTTCTTGTGACTTTTCTTCTTGATCCTTTGTCATTCTCATACCATGACACTGTTTGGTGGCAATATACATGTAAGATGTAAGCAAAGTAATTTTATTTCAAATGAACCAAAGGTTCAAATGAGCTTTTCTGCTTTAAAATCTGTCCATGGTCTGTTGTTGTAGTCCTTGTTGACGTGATTGTTATAAACTTTTCACAATCTCATCTTATTCTCAAGAACCACTTTGCCAGTTTCAACTAAACTTGACACAGAGCATCCTTGGGTAAATGGGATTCAACTTGTTCAAAAAAGGATCACACTCTCTTTCAAGGGGAGATAATTAAGAATTAATGAAAATTTAATGGCATCTTTTAAAAATCTTTTCATCAACCTCTTGGTCAGAAGAGAAGAAAGCTTATGTGCTAGTTAGTGTAGAGTCAGTTTATTCAAATCATTTTCCCAGGGGTAGGGTGGGCCATCAAAGTTTAACATAGGAAATTCTTTAAAAATCTTCTCAAGAACAGCAATTCCATGATTTGTCATATTTATATGGAAACATCCTCAGGTAGTGTAGATTCAGGTTTATTCAAATCATGACTCATGAGGGTAGGGTGGGGCCACAACATGTGATCAAAGTTTTACAGTTTTACATAGGAATAAATGGGGGGGGGGGTCTGCTGATGAAAAACAGCATGGCTATAGTGACTCAGGTAAGTATTGTTGCCCCTAAGTCTCTTGTTTGATATTCTCTAATTTTGGAACAGAATTAATCTCCAAGTGACCTTTGTTCAATTGACATTGTGTCAACATGACAAGCATCAGGCTCGGGGGCCATAAAACTTAGCTGAGCTCACTTTTGATCTCAGTCTCACTTTTCCACTATATATTCCTTTCATAAAAGTGAGACTAAGATCAAAAGCGAGCTGATCTAAGTTTTATGGCCCCGGAGCCAGCTTCTAGACAATGCTAGACTTTCTAGAAAATATATAGTTAAACTTCACTATCTCGAACACAGATATCTCGAATATCACGGATATGTCGAAGTGATTTTGAAGTCCCAACCCTTTATTCCTTAAGTATTTTACCCTGTACATCTTGAATCCTCGGATATCTCAAAAGTTTTTCCTCGGTCCCATAGAGTTCGAGATAACGAGGTTTGACTGTATATATTTTTTTATCTTGAATGAAGTACACTCAGAATTAAAAAAAGATCAGACATCAAGTAATATTACATGTATATTATTTAATCTGAAGTTTTAAATACTTCAATTGTTTAAATTGCATGATCTGGACATTAAAACTTTGTTTCTTTTTTCTTTTTCCCTTAGATTGAAGTCATCAAGTCAACTGGTAATCTTTATTCTATTATCCCTGAGTGACATTTAACATGGACTCCAAACTAGGAAACTAATCTGGAGTAATGGCAGGGTTGAATCATGGCCGAGGGCTGATGCTGGCAGTCAGTGCTGGTATTATGGCAGCCCTTGGTTCTGTTTCAGCCAAATTGGCCACTAGTGACCACATCCTTATGGACACCTGTCAAATCATCTTCAGGATTGGCATTTGTCACCAGGTGCTGTAATTTTATAGTTTTATTGTAATCAAGTAATTTCCTCATTATCTTCATATATATTTATATATGTAAATGGCACTAGAAAAATTTTAATACATGAGGAGAAATCAATTTCTTTGAAGTATTTTTATTTAAGTGGACCCTGAATTGATAGATTTGTGTATGTTTAACACATTATGTTTTCTCTGAATAAAATTTCTTGGTCAGATAAATGAAAAACAGAGGGTCATCAACCTATATACTGTCAAATCAGTCACATGGCAAAATCATAATTTCTTTTCATTTCAGCTGAGTCTTTTGATGAGGATTGTGTTTTTTGCCATGATATTTGTTTGTAATGGTATGATGTGGACGCTTTTTACAAAGTCCCTTCAGTTTTGTTCTTCAACAGCTGAAGCAACAGTCACAAACACAGCCTCAAACTTTCTTATTAGTGTAAGTTTGAACTTGACATGATGACTCGCTTCCTTAAATACTTATTTTTTTTATAGATTATATTTTTTCCACATTTGTAGCTCTACTACTCAGAGACAAGGAGAACTTGTTCATTAATAATGTGATCTTCGTCTGCAAACATTTTTGTCGCCCGCGTGGCGCAGTGGTAGAGCATCTGCTCTAGAGTTGTGGAGTAAGGAGTTTGTAGCTCTACTACTCAGAGACAAGGAGAACTTATTCATTAATAATGTGATCTTTGTCTGCAAACATTTTTGTCGCCCACTTGGCGCAGTGGTAGAGCATCCACACTAGAGTCGCGGAGTAAGGAGTTCATCCTTACATCATGGGTTCGAATCCCACTGTAGGAAGTGGAGACCGGTCCTTCTGATAAGACCGTATAAACCGAGGTCCCGTGTTGCAGTAGATGATGGCACGAAAAAGATTCCTCACTGCTTAATGGCCCTGAGTGCAGACTATAGGTCGAAATTTGCAGCTCTCCACTGGCAAGAGGTGGCTTCTCCATATGAGTGAAAATTCTCAAGAGGGATGTTAATCAATACACAAACAAACAAACATTTTTTTAAAAACACTCCTCCTCCTCTTTGACTTTTATAAATCTTTGTACATACATGTGTAAACTACACTATGATATATGTCAAAATGTTACCCGATACTCCTCCTTCAGTATCACTGAAACCTTAAGCATATTCAGAGTACACAGAAATGATGTCTTGGTTTTGATTTTAATGAATTGTGTGCATAATTTGTAAATGCAGAACTAAAACAAATGTAAGTCCAGGTGCAACTTATCTCTTCCATTTCTATAGTGCAAACTGGTAGAGCTACAGTGTTATCAGAGATATCTGGGGTTTTTTTGTCTTGTTTTTGAAGGGGGATGCATTGTTTGCATGTGTGTGTGTGGTTTTTTTGGTTAAATTATTGAATTAAGCACTTATAATGTAAAGAAGCAAATACTCATATTTTTCACAAATTTTAAACCCATTAATTTAATTAAATTCTTGGAAAAATATTTGTGAATCCATTCTTCATGCTCTTGGTATTGTTTTCTAGGCTTTGATTGGCGTAGCTCTGTTCAATGAGACACTCTCCCTTCGATGGTGGATTGGAGCCAGTTTGATTGTTACTGGACTCCTACTAATTCACAGGGCAAACAGAAAAGAAAGTGAAGAGAAAAATAAAACAGCCTGATGTCCAGAAGTCAGAACTAATTCTTCCATAACTTGTCGTTGGGGAAAACAAGATCCTTTTGTATTAAACATCAGTGTACCAAATGGTACCCTCAAGGATGGAAAGAGAAACCTTGTGTGTGAGAAGGGGATAATAGTTTTAAAATATTTTTTTACAATGTACTGGCAATAATAACATTGGAAAGGACTTAACTGCCAATTTATTTCGAAAGATGTTTTAACAGGGTGGATGAAAGGCAAAATTTAACCACATATTAAGCTAAACTATGCTGTTCACCAGAAGCAAGTTGAAGAGAGAAATAGTTCATAAGAATTATTGTGGAGAGTGTCACAAACGGAATTGAGTTTCTTCTACCTCAGAATGACACATTTTCATTCAAAATACTAGAATAAAAAATATAATAAAATTCTAATTTTATATGAAGCTGAAAATAACATTTATGCTGTGCCAAATTTTTCATTTTATAGAATAAATGTATTGTGCAAAAACTCCAGAATTATTCTTCATCATAAAATGAAAACTAAGACATCATGAACTTCATGAAAACTAAGACATTGTCTAAATGTACATGTACTGTTACTAGTAATTAAAATTCAGATCCTTCTTCTGTGTACTATGTATTGACTTGTTACAGAAGCACAATATCATTATCAAATTAAACAAAATAACAATCCATTGCTACAATATTTTTTCCCTGTTTTCATTTTATTAGTGATGTGTCTTAAATTAATTTTGGAATTGTAAGTCTTTGAAAGTTTCTTCTACAGAACAAGACAATGAATTTGCATGCATTATCCCTGGATAGTGCAGATTCAACCTTGTTCAGTTAATGGCTAGAGGCTAAAGACGGGGGTATCTGCAGTCAGAATATGTATATTTTTGAAGAACAAAATTAAAATTTCTAAAAATTCAAGCAAGTATATACAGTTAAACATGGTTACATTGTATATCGAACAGTTATAATGAATTCACGCTTACAGCAAAGTAATTGTCATTCAGTATTTAGTCCCCAGGGTAAGGCTAAGTTCTAGCAGAAAAACTCTATGCATGATTATTATAACACTTAGTCCTCTAAGTACCAAAATTGTGAAATTCATGGCCTGTGGTTCAGACCACAGGGTTAGGCTTGGTCATTTAATGAAAGTACATAACATCTTTGAAAGAATTCCTTATTCATGGACAATAGGAGGCAGATTGTTTGCATGACTTTACATACAATACTGAAAAAAGTCCTGCCTCCAAGGTATGGGATCAGACCCCAGGGTGGGGCTTAGTTGGCCATATTTTTAAATTTGTGTGAATATGACAATGATTTTAGAGTCCTAACCAATCTTTAAAAGATTTGTCACCTGAGTCCAGAGTCAGATCCATGTGGCACCAAAATAAGTGGTCATAGGATGAGATACTCAAGTGATTGTCAAGGCCAGTGGGCCTCTTGTATTTTAGACAAAACCTTCCCAAATCTCAAAAGCAAAGAATTTTTTTAAGCTGCTTATTTGTAACAATTTTGCCAAAGTTTGAAGTCAATGAAAAAACATAATACATCTATTTATGTATCACTAGTTTGCACCATAATTCTGTCTATACACCATTTAAAAAAAAAATTGAAGCTCATGGATGAGATAGTAAGAAAAAATGAAGCAAAAAGGTTAAGGAAATAAATTTTTAAAGAAATAATTTTATTACAGACCTGTACAAAAATAATTTAACAAATTATGAATATATATCTTAAAACACTGAAATATGTCATTGGTATTTCTATGAAAGTTATCTCCTAAAGAAATTCTGTATTCTTGCAAAAAATCCAGTTCTTTTTGTTTTCTTGTGCCTTTTTCTCTCCTGAAAAAATATATATATGAAAAGAAATTAAATACATTTATAGCCTTGTGGAAAAAATCAATGTACATGTAAATACATTTGTTGAAAAAAGCAGTTATAGAAAAGGAAGTGTGTACTCACAGGCAGACAGGTTGTACCACAAAGGAATATGTGCCAAACAGGTCTTTTGTGAGTATAATTTATGTTGTCATTCACTGGTTCTGATTTTTCAACCTCCTTGAATGTCTCTGCTTCTTTCTCCTTCACTATTTCTGATTTTTCCTTCTCCTTCATTGTTTCTGCTTCCTCCTCCTTCACTATTTGTAATTTTCCCTCCTCCTTTACCATTTCTGCTTCCTTCTCCTTCACTGTTTTTAATTTTTCCTCCTCCTTCACTCTTTCTGTTTCCTCCTCCTCTACTGTTTTTGATTTTTTCTCCTCTGTCACTGGTTTTGCTTCCTCATCCTTCATTGTTTCTGCTTCTCTTTTCTTCACTGTTTCTGACTTCTCCTCATCCTTCACAGTTTCTAATTTTTTTCTTTTCTTCACTGTTTCTGTTTTCTCCTCTTTTACCCTTTTTAAGTTTTCCTCCTCCTTCACTGTTTCTGTTTTTACCTCTGCCTTCACTTTTTCTGATTTTTTCTCATCCACCACTGTTTTTGATTTTTCTTTCTCCTTCACTGTTTCTGCTTCTTTGTCCATCACTATTTTTGCTTTCTCTTCCTTTAATGTTGCTGATTTTCTCCCCTCCATCACTATTTCTGATTTCTCCATTGCTTTTGATTTTTCTTCCTTAATCACTGTTTCTAATATTTCCCATTCCATCACAGTTTTTTCTTTCTCTCCTTCCTTCACTGTTTCTAATTTTTCATCCTCCTTCACTATTTCTGATTTTCCATCCTCCTTCATTGTCTCTGCTTCCTTGTCATTCACTGTTTCTAATTTCTCCTTAACCTTCACTGTAGCTGATTTTTCCTCCTCCTTCTCTGTTCCTGATTTTTCCTTCTCCATCAGTGTTTCTGATTTTTCCTCAACCTTCACTGTAGCTGATTTTTCCTCCTCCTTCACTGTAGCAGATTTTTCCTCCACTGTTTCTGATTTTTCTTTCTCCATTACTGTTTCTGATTTTTCCTCTTCTTTCACTATTTCTGCTTTTTCTCCAACCTTCACTGTTTTTGATTTTACCTCCTCTTTCATTGTTTCTGATTTTCCATCCTCCTTCATTGTCTCCACTTCCTTGTCATTCACTGTTTCTAATTTCCCCTCTACTTTCACTGTAGATTTTTCCTCCTTTTTCATTGTAGCTGATTTTTCCTTCTCTTTCACTGTTTCAGATTTTTCCTTCTCTTTCACTGTTTCTGCCTTTTCCTCCATTGCTATTTCTGCTTTTTCTCCCACCTTCACTGTTTCTGAATTTACCTCCTCCTTCACTATTTCTGATTTTCCATCCTCCTTCATTGTCTCTGCTTCCTTGTCATTCACTGTTTCTGATTTCTCCTTAACTTTCAATGTAGCTGATTTTTCCACCTCCTTCTCTGTTCCTGAGTTTTCCTTTTCCATCACTGTTTCTGATTTTTCCTCCTCCATTACTATTTCTGCTTTTTCTCCCTCTTTCACTGTTTCTGATTTTCCATTCTCCTTCACTATTTCTGATTTTCCATTCTCCTTCACTATTTCTGATTTTCCATTCTCCTTCATTGTCTCTGCTACCTTGTCATTCACTGTTTCTGATTTCTCCTCAACCTTCACTGTGTCTGATTTCTCCTCAACCTTCACTGTTTCTGATTTTTCCTCCTCCATCACTATTTCTGCTTTTTCTCTCTCCTTCTCTGTTTCTGATTTTCCATTCTCCTTCACCGTTTCTGATTTTCCATCCTCCTTCATTGTCTCTGTTTCCTTGTCATTCACTGTTTCTAATTTTTCATCCTTCCTCATTGTAGGTGATTTTTCCTTCTCATTCACTGTTCCTACTTTTTCTCCCACCTTCACTGTTTCTGATTTGTCCTCCTCTATCACTATTTCTGCCTTTTCTCCCTCCTTCACTGTTTCTGATTTTCCATCCTCTTTCATTGTCCCTGCTTCCTTGTCATTCACTGATTCAGTTTTCTCCTCAACATTCAATGTTTCTGTTTTTTCCTCCTCTTTCACTGTTGCTGATTTTTCCTCCTCCCTAACTATTTCTGATTTTTCTTCCTCTTTCACCTTTTCTAATTTTTCCTCCTCCTTCACTGTTTCTGCTTTCTCCACCTTCATTGTTTCTGCTTCCACCTCCACTGTTTCTGCTTTTTCCTCCTCCATCACTGTTTCAGATTTTTCACCCTCTTTTATTGTCCCTGCTTCCTTGTAATTCACTGTTTCTGTTTTCTCCTGAACATTCAATGTTTCTGTTTCTTCCTCCTCCTCCACTGTTGCTGATTTTTCCTTCTCCATTCCTATTTCTGATTTTTCCTCCTCCATCACTATTTCTGATTTTTCTTCCTCTTTCACCTTTTCTATTTTTTCTTCCTCCTTCACTGTTTCTGCTTTCTCCACCTTCATTGTTTCTGCTTCCACCTCCTTCAATGTTTTTGATTTTTCCTCCTCCATCACGGTTCCTGCTTTTCCCTCCTCCATCACTATTTCTGATTCTTCCTCCACTTTCACCTTTTCTAATTTTTCCTCCTCCTTCATTGTTTCTGCTTTCTCCTCCTTCATTGTTTCTGCTTCCACCTCCACTGTTTCTGATTTTTCCTCCTCCATCACTATTTCTGATTCTTCCCCCACTTTCACATTTTCTAATTTTTCCTCCTCCTTTACTTTGTCTGACTTTTGCTCCTCCTTCATTATTTCTGATTTTTCTTCTTCCTCCAGTCTCTCTACTTTCTTTACTGTTTCTGCTTTCTTCTCCTTCATTGTGTCTTCTTCCTTCTTTGCAGTTTCTGATTTTTGCATCTCACTCAATCTGTCCAAATTTTTCTGCTTCATCACAGTTTCTGATTTTTCCTTCTTCACTAATTCTGTTTTCTCCCTTTCCTTCTCTTTTGCCTCCAACTGATTTTCCCTCTTTTCTGCCTTTAATGTTTTCTCTGCTTTTTCTTTCTCCAATTTTTCAACCTTATTTGATGTTTTTAGTTTGGTCTCTTCTCTATCAGAATTTAGTTGGTCCTCTTTATTTATTTGCAAATTTTCCTTCACTACCTCTGATTTTCTCTTCTCCATATTTGCTGCTGATTTCAACTGTTCTGCCTCCAAATTTTCTGTATCTGATTTCTTTCTTTTTTCTTTTGCATCTATTTTCTCTTTATCTTGTCTTTCTGCCTCTGATCTGTTTGTCATTTTTTCTGATTTGAATTGTCTTACCATCTCTAACTGCAATATCATTTCCTCTTCCTTCTCTGTCTCCCTTTTCTCTGGTTTGTTTTTCACTTTCTCTTCTCTTTCTGTCATATCTTCTTTCTTCACATTCTGTTGTTCCTTTTTGGCCTTCAGTCTGTCCTTCTTTTCCAACTGCCATTTTTCATTATCCCCTCTGTCTTTCTTCAAACTAAACTCCTCTATCTCAACCTTGGATTTCTTTGCCTTATCTTCTTTTGATGTTCCTTCTTTTTTCCCTTTCTCTCCCAAAACTTTCTTTTCATCTGTCTTCAGTCTTTTCTCAATCTCCATTTTCAACAATTCCACCTGTATTTTCAGTCTCTTTTTCTTCAGATTTTCCTCCTCTTTCTCTTTCATCATTTTCTTTTCATTAGCTTTAAAGTTCTTGTAGTCCTTCTTTGCGCTTTGTCTTTTCTTCATATTTAACTGTACATCCTCTTTTTTAACCACTTCATCTTTAACATTTAAGATGGCCAATTTATCTTTCTGAAAAATAATATATCCAAAAATATCTTTTAATTGTGATCATTTGCATGTATCCCTTATACACAGTGTAGTTTTATTCATGCAATATATGGTGATTGATTGCTTTATACATGTATATTACCCCCCCCCCCCCCCCCAATTTGCAAGCACATAGACACACTTCTGATATCTGCTGCTTCATGTTTACTCTCTCCTTATATTATTTAAAAAGTGGTTAGTAAACTTGCACCTACCACATTTTCCATAGGATCTTTTCTGAATTCTAACTGGTTTCCATTCTACAAAAAGTAAGACATGCATTAGCTATCAATAAAAATCACCATTTAAGAAATAATTATATTTAAAAAATTGATTATCAAATTAAAATGAACAGAAAACTGTATTGCCATTTGTATAATGAAATACAGATCAAGACACACTCCCTGTCTCCCAGCTATAGTAACAGAAAATATAAACTAAAATCAATGTTTTGAATAATAAATATTTTACCTTGGACCTCTCCTTTTCCTCCTTCATTCTCTCTTCCTCCTTTTCTACCATCTCCGCCCAGCTATAATCAAATTTTAAGATGGCCAATTTCTCATCCTGGAAATAATTAATTTAACTATCAAACGTTTATAAAGTGTCAAGTTTTTTAATTGCTTTAATTTAAGACATCTCGCAAATAAAGGGTTTCAAATTTTAAGTAGAAATACGAACCAGAAACAATTGCAGTTTATATCCCTACACCCCCTTTCACCCTTTGAACTTGCTATATTCTCGTTCATTTCAAAATAAAATTAATTGCTGCACTTACCACGCTTTTTACTGGCTCCTCACCGAAATCCAGTATTTCAGTTTCGATCTGAAAATTAATTAGTTTATATTACTGTTTATTTTTTTGTGAAAACAATGAGCATGTAAATATTTTGTTACAAAAGTATTAATTGTAAAAAGAAAAAAAAATCACCAATGGTTTGTTTTCCAGACTGTAACTTCAAGTTTAACAAATAATTAACAAAACTTAATTAGGCTAAATTCAAACTCTCGTTGCCAACTCATGTTAAACGAATGGATATTTCTTTTGTGATTTGACAACTAACCTTGTTAGAGAAATTCATAGTTTTTTCCGCACACAATTTGACTACCGCAGTATCAACAATGTTCCGCCATGTGTTGTCAATGACGTCAAATATACTGACATCATAATTGGTATTATGACGTTATAGTGATTGTGACAAATGAATGCATTATTTATAGGATCGGATTTCTATTACCTTGAATAGGTATTCAGTGTTTCTACTTTCATGATTACTAGTAATTTATAAGCATTACTTAAGGAGAGTAATGCAACCCCAGATGCATTCTTCAGTTGGTTAAATAAGGTTCCACTGATGTACATATAACAAAGATATGAATAAGGAAATAAAACTGAAAATGCATAAAAATGATATTGCATGGAATATTGCACCTACATATTTTAGAAAACGCTGCTTAACTTATATTGACGCCAAATAGAAAATCACTTCAAGAAAAAGAACTGGTTACATATGTATGTATAGCTGTCTATCCTGAACGAAATCCTATTTGATTTGTCTGGTTAACAGCTTTTGCAGATACAGTGCAGTTTAAAATATTATCAAAAATTCGAAGCAAATTAATGATATTTTGAAAGATACGTTTCAAGATATTCAAATACATAACCTTATTAAAAAACCGCTTGTGCTTGAACGGGAGGACAAAAAATGCATCCATATTATATCTATACATGTTATTCATAAATACTTTGTAAAAGTACATTAAAGAAACGTAGGGTGAAGAAAAAGAAAAATAATTGGAACGCTTCATAAATATGAATTAGAAATATTAAATACATACTACATATGTATTTAATTACAAACCTGATCATGAATATTCATCCTTTTTTGGGGGATATTTTCACAAATTAATGATCTGTCACCCAACACAAGTCTCCGGCATTCCTTGCCAACAGATTTGGAAATTGTGACGTCATAATGGTCTTGACGTCACAAGTGTTTCAGTTCATTTGCGAATCTCCTGTGCGGAGTTGTCGTTCGTTCCTCTCTGAATGTATACGTGTTGCTAGTCCAGTAAGAAGTACGACCAAGGCTGGGATGGAAAGGGGATGACATTTTTCCATCCTTCCTTTTTTAGTTCAACAATAGAAACTACAAAAAATTTATTCCCCAACATTCATTCTGATGGGAAAAAAATAAATCCGTTGACAGTTTGCAAGGCAAAGGCAGATCCAGTCCGAACTCTCTCTCTAAGAATTTTCAGAGTTACTAAATTTTTATCATAAAGTAACAAAAATATCACTCCCCAACCCCCAGAAAATACAGACCCTTCGTGAGTCATAATTATGAAGTGGGTGTGACCCTCCCCCCTTTCGAAGATTCTTGGATCTGCCTTATAATGACAAAACATCAGAGATACTTAAGCAGTTATAAGAACTTTGATGAATTTATTCATTTATTAAAATGTTTAAAAAAAACCAACAACAAGAACAGCAGCAACAACAAAACCCACTTTTCTATAAACATTATGTGTTTAATACGCAAAACTGCTCGTCTTTGAGGGACCCTCCCCTGAATGTTGGACATCATTATCCTGGGAAAATTCTTAACACGAATATTACAAATGTTTATTATACCTAAATCAATTTTTCCCTTTATAAAATTATATCGTTAAATGTTAATAATTCCTAGAAATCGCTATGAATGACCTCCTAGCCTCAGGAAACTGGAATATTGCTTACTCTCGCAATAATATAATATAACTGTATACTAATTATAGTTTTTATAAGCTTGGAAATTCCCTTTATTTATATTTTGAGCAGTGACTGTCATCATTCCTCGAGATCTACATTGACAAATTGTTGCTTATGGTATACTGGTATATTCTTTTGTATTTGTAAAGAAAAAAAATATAACTGATAGTTTACAGTGAATAACTTACAGAACAGTCATTGTAAACACAATTTTCAGATGTTCTGTGGAGATCTTTAATTTTTTTCTTTTAATTTATATGAAGCGCGAGTTCTATTTCTAAAAAAAAAAAACCCATTCTTTTCTACATATTATACTCTAAAAAAAGTTCGACAATTGATAACCGTGGTATTAAACTATTGCTTTGGGTTTTAAAATTCCAATTTGTAACAGATGAACGTTAAAATCAAACTCTTTTGAAAAAAGATGAACTTTCTTTTGAAATGAATTGTTTGTTAGCTCTAATGGTCAGAGACCAGATAGTAAGGTGTCCGTCGTCCGTCCGTCTGTCTGTCCGTCTGTAAACAATTTTTCAAAACACTACTCCTCCTACAGTTTTGGTCTGATTTCAATATTACTTTGCACATAAGTAGACTACACTAAGATACATAATTCTGTGTAAACGTTTTTAATTTCAATGAACGCTGTTGCCATGGTCACTAAAAATAGAAATTTCTGTGAAAAACTTTCAAAACGCTACTCCTCCTACAGTTTTGATCTGATTTCAATATAACTTGGAACACAAGTAGACTATAATAAGATACATAATTCTTTCTCTTGGTTTTTGATTTCAATGAACGGTGTTGCCAGGGTTGATAAATATAGAGATTTCTGGGAAATACTTTCAAAACGCTACTCCTCCTACAGTTTTCATCTAATTTCAATATAACTTGGCACACAAGTAAACTATACTAAGATACATAATTCTATTTACCAGTTTTGGATTTCGATGAACAGTGTTGCCATGGTTACTAAAAATAGAAATTTTCTTGAAATACTTTCAAAACGCTACTCCTCCTACACTTTATGTCTGATTTCAGTATAACTTGGCATACAAGTAGACTACACTGAGATACATAATTGTCATTATTGTTTTTTGATTTTGTTGAATGATGTTTCCATGGTTACTTAAAACAAAATTTCTGTAAAATTGTTTTAAAAGGCTACTCCTCCTACAGTTTTAGTCTGATTGCAATAAATCTTGCCACAAAAAGAGACTAAACCAAAGATTATTATTCTATTTATTACTGTTGCAAAGTTTCAAGTGCTACTTTTATCTTCCTTTATAAGTTCAACCAGTACTCCAGTAGAGCTACAGTCTCGTCAGAGACTTCTGGTTTTTAACTAGCTTTAGCATACACACACATACTTTACTCATTTTATATATTTATTTTTTCAATTTTATTTCTTAATTTTAATAAAGTGGTATTTTATCTGTTCCCCATAAGTAATTTCACATCCTTTTATCCTCTCAACAAATAGTAAAGGACATAGAGAAAGGAAAAAGATAGTTAACTAAGAAGCTAAGTGTAAAATTATAGCAGTATACACTGGTATACGAATCTACATTAGAACCTTGTGTATATATGTAAATGTGTTCATGTACCTCATGTATCACTGTATGGTTTGAGAGTAATAAACAAACAAAGAAATCTATGTATACACAATGTAGTGGTGAAGCTACTTCTGCAAGAATTGTCACATGCTCCCATGTCGGTGGTCATTCTTATACACACTTACTTACTTATATTTATATCCCCCGCTTGAGAAGCACGGGGGGGGGTATACATGTACATGTATAGTGATGGGGGGGGGGGCGTGAGGCGTCCTTCCCTACGTACATAACACTTGGGGTCTCCCATCTTATCTCATCCTCAACTCCTCCTATACTACCGAATAAAATTTAATAAGACTTTTACAGAATCTTTCTTACACAGTGTAGTCCCAGTGTACACCTCTTATTTTACGTTTCGATCGGACAGATATTTGGGGTTTCCCATAGCAAAACCTGGACACTGCCATTTTTTACTATAATATTTGGGATACGCATCTCTTATCTGCAACTTCTCCTAAACCACTGATTAAAATTTGAAGAGACTTTTATAGAATCTTTACATAGTTCCATTAATTATGCACCTCCTATTTCATGTTCTGATCGGACAGATTTTCCCATAGCCAAAAAAGGGACTGACATTATACTCATAGGGGATTAAGGTACTCATTTTATGAGCTCAGTGCTCACAGTAGCTCCAATCATATATTAACATCATAACTGCTTATAATATCATAACGGCTTCTGACGTGATAACAACGAATTCTGGACACATAGGAAAAGTTCATAAGCCACACAATACGCCTTACAGTTATGAAAGTATAAACCCATATTTGTTGACATTGTTATTTTTCACATAACATTAATAATTTTAAATATTTAACAGTATTTACCGATAAACAATATAATGAAAATAATAAGTTGTATATTATGCTTCTTTTTAATTGACTTCATAACAAGTAACACGAACCATTAAATTGACTTCATAATAACTATAATACGAACTATTCACAACTATATGGAACTATCATTAAAAAACATGTCAGTCTGTAAATCGTCACACAGTACATGTACATGATTAAAAACAATAGGGAAAATTTCAATAATATCATGGGTACTTAATCACCCATATCTGTCTTTTGCATAGAACCTGTTGATTTTTTTTAATTTCTTGAAATTTTTTAAGGTAATTTCAATAGTTTGTTATCATTCACAATCTGTACTTTGGAGCCACATGAAGTTAGAAGATACGGCATACATTTCGTTTCAAAATTTGCTTCCCTTCAAAGCAAACATCCAATATGGCATTCTTAAGAACTTTGGGAGCCATCTCTGCATCCAGGCTGTATTCGGATTGCGCGCCATCAACCAATTAATTTGTCTCATACTATCAATAACACGACCTATATGTATGAAAAACAAACATTATATTATTATATACAAGCTTATCTTTTAAAAAAGATAGGTGAGCTAGCGCTGTAGCTATCATAAACCACAGAATTAGATATCTGAATTATTGGATTAATTTGCTGAATCGATTAAGGGGACGACCATTTGATTCTGAGGAGGGGGGGGGGTCTGGCAAAATCTTTCGAGTCAGATTATTTATTTTCATGCCAGTCAAGGACAGATTATTTATTTTCAAGATGATCAAGGACAGATTATTTATTTTCTTCTTCACTGAAAAAGTTAGACAAAAACAAAAAACAAAAACAAAGTTCAAAGAGGGACCGGGGGGGGGGGGGTTAAGTAGCAATAGTCAATGACAGATTATTTATTTTCTTGCCGGTCGTGGAAAGACAGTTATTTATTTTCAACTTTTTTGAGGACATTATTTATTTCCAAAATCTGCCAGCCCCCCCCCTTTCAGAATCAACTGGTCGTCCCTTATTATTAATAGGAATACACAGTGGTACACCGGAGGTAGTGTTGGGGGGATGTGTCTTAATTCAGAATGGCGAATGTATCAGCTATTCAGTGTTTAATACAGAATATTCATCAGACTATTTATAAAAAAACATATCCGAGGTTGTTATTCCGAGCTTGCCGGAAAGATCCAGGAAGATAGTTAAAAAATAACTATTTTTTTTTAATTATGAATTTAGAAATTATAACTGATCTGTACAGTTTTGGCATTTACTGTTACCTTTTGTACATTTATTTAAGGTTAGGCAACAAAACGCGAAACTTCTGATCACATGTATTTTTTTCAGATTAAAAAACGAAATTGACATGGTACAGTTTATCTACAGTAGTATTCACAGAATGCCCTACCACGAAGTTGAGCATACGTATTCCAGTAAAAAAGACTAACGTAGTTGCTAGCGCTCGAGAGCGCTAGCAATAACAATCGGATCATTACTCGGGCTTTTCCGTCAAAAAAAGGAAAAATTAAAAATTAAAGAATAACAATTATATCAGTGCTACTGCATTGTATCAATCGCTCCTCGTGTCTTTCCGACAAACTCTGAAAGATTTCCTGGGGGGGTGGGGGTCTGAGCTTGCCGGAATCATGTAGTATACATGGTTAGCTTTAAGGAAAGCTAGGTTTTACCAGTTGATCTCTACAATCTTGGCATTATATGACCCAAATTTTCTTGTACTTTTAGTCATAGGTTAGACAATAAATTAAGAAATCCAGTATTCGTATCATATCAATTTTTTATGATAAAACGAAATTATCATCGTACAGTCTATCTTCAGTAGTTTTCCCAGAATGCCCGACCGTGAAGTCGAGCATGCGTATTCCAGAAATATAGACTAACGTAGTTGCTAGCGCTCGAGAGCGCTAGCAATAAATCATGGTTAAAATTCTTGAACCCCTTCCCTTCCAAAAAAAAAAAAACCAAAAAACAAAAAAAAAAAAAAACAAAAAAAGAAAGAAAGAAACTCCATGACTTCGATTATTTGTTGAAATTTAGCAGATAAAATCCTCAAATTCCATACATAATAGAAGAAATCGTACCACACAGTTACAAAATTTCAAGTAAATTTTGTGATTATAAGCATTTCATACAGTCAATTCTAGTAATCAATTCTCAAGGTTGCTTACCATCAATGTCCCGTAGATTGTATTCTTGACCAAGCTCAGGAGTCATCAACACCTTTCCAGATTTGCTCATTACGTTTGGATCTGTAAGTGAATTTCTTCCTTACAGATATTGTTAAAGGACAATATATACTAGTGACGCCTCAAAATATTTAATGGAACAGGTAATACCTTTTGCAAGAGCGACTATGCACTTCCCGGCGTATTCAACAGATTCAGCGCCTTCGAACAACTTCTTTCGTTGTTCCTAAAAACGCAAGAAATTTATATTGGCAATGTTGTTATAACATTAACAATGAGATGATGCGTAAGATCCTTACACTTTTGGTTGTTTGAAGCATTTGATCCACGTGTTCTGTCATGACAGGTCCAGGCCAAAGACTGACAACAGCCACATTGTGTTTCTTCAGTTCCACTCCACAGTCCGCTGCCATTCTGTCCAACTACAAGACACGTGCTTTAATTGTAAACTTCTTATGAACTTTCGACTACATTTACATTTGATTACTTTGAGTTTTTGAATGTTTTACCATTTAACATTTTACTGTTGCAAAAGCATTCACAGAAATTGAATAAATATCTTTTAGATGAGTGACATTCCAAGTTCATCTGTAAATAAAATTGGGTTTGATCTTCTCTTTATTAATCTATTTACTGTCATCGATTTTCATTTTTTTCTATCTCAACTTCTCTGTCTACGAAACATAGTTTATTAATTATCTTTAGGTATTTACAAATAATATCAAAAGTTTAAGTTTGTTTATATTAAAATAAAAAGATTAGCTTATATACTGCCTAGTGGTATGTTGATATTGTAGTTATTTAGATTTTATACTGTACTTTTAGCTGAATTCACTCTTGCTGTATACATGTAGGTACTCGGACATAAAACACTTAATAGTGTGTGCCTGTGTATGTGTGTGTTTTAAATTTAATCATATCATATTTATAGTATGATTCAAATTAGTTATGACTTGAATCTTTAAACAAGTTTCAAATTCAAAATACTGTACAGGAATTAATTGGACTTGCCACTCCCCTTTCATATACTTTAGACTACATAGACCTCTACCAAATAGTGCCAACTATACAAAAAGAACTCACTGCCTCCTTTCCTATACCATATGCCACATTGAAGAGGTATGCAAGACCCCCAGCAGAAGATATGTTGACTATCAATCCCTGTTTTCTTGGAACCATCATTTTTGCAGCGAACACTGTGCATATGTAGTGGTTTCTTCATTTATATGAAATAAATCCATGCATGTTCTGTTTTCAGTGAGGCATTTTGTGCGCTTTTAAAACTTTTTGTTTGAACAGAAAAAAACAACACCTCTTTGTTTTGATTAAGAATACTGTATAAGCACCAATTTTTCTTCAATTATTTTCGTCAATAAATAAAAATTTCTATCGTACGTTGTAAGCATTTTTCTCTTTTCTCAATACATTTTAAAAGTTATATCATTAAATGTAACATTTTGGAATTAAAGTTTTCAAATATTAAGAAAATTCTTGTATTTTAGATCTAAATTCCTCATTTTTTACATTCCGAATATTTTAAAATTGATTCGTTCAATTTTTTCCTTTACACGTATACCTTAAACCGACATTGTTAACCGTATCCCAGATTGACAAAGGTTGCTCCCAGAAAGGTTTTCCCAAATTTTCAGATATTGCCTGCAACAAAATATGTTTAAAACGCTTTACTTATATTAAGGTTTCTCAAATTCAAACTCTATATTGTGACAAACTCACATTAACAGCGGCATAAGCATTGTTGACGAGAAGGTCAAGTCGGCCATTTTGTTCAGATTTTACTCTCTCAAAGAATGCGGCGATGTCCTCATCTTTTGAGTGATCGCATTGTACAGGGATGCATTTTCCACCCCTTGATTCAATCTGGAAAGAAGAAAAAAATCTGAAATTTTGAGTGAATTATTTACTTGTTATAGTTTCTTGGTGCTTGTGGTCCAGACTGCATTATATTATCTGTTTTTCTACATGTACTTATCTAAATCGTAATTGTATCATGGCTGTTGTGTTTTTCCTTTGAAGTCAAGTGTACAATAACTGGAGATACACCGATGGGCGGAGCCAGCAAAAACTGTGCCGTGTAAATAAATTATTGAACACCAAGGCGATTTCAACATTTTAAATTATATGTATATTGAAGAATTACAGAATTAAATGGACTTTGTTATATACAAAGACAAAATTTCTGCCAATGAAATAAAGGTCCTTTACTTAAATTACAGTGCACATGTATCCCAAAATACGAAATGTTATTACAGAACTCTGCAATTATTCGATCCACCGCAACGAGAAATCAAGTTCTTGACACGAATTCCACAAAGAAGAGTTATTAACACAGCGTTTTTGTTCATGCCACAGCTCTCGAATATGCCAAATGATCAACGGGTATCTTTTTTTTTTCTTGATTTTCGATTAACACCTGAATTTCCCTTCTTCAACTTCGAATTTTTCATCCTTGATATCCAAAGGTTTTCTTATGAATTTCATAAACAATCCGTTTTATATTAAGTTTGAGAGCTGCAATCCGACGTCCTTTCTCATGAACACACACATAAAATGTGCGAATTAAAAAAATATTGGCGGGAAGGAGAGAATATCCATGCGGTCACCTGAGATTGGTGTAATTAAAAATCATGCTTGAAAAAATATTGACGTTTTGATTGGCCATGATACAAGAAAGTTATTGAATATTTATTATGGTGTATCCTGATTTATTTGGACGAAGGGGCGGAGACTCGTGCTTCGCACTCGTCACCGCCCTTCGTCCAAATAAATCAGGATACACCATAATAAATATACAATAACTAGTACTTGAACAAATTTATTTAATTATGCGAGTTTATAAACTTACTAGTACACTTTTATTAAAACATTATGTTAAATTATGCACAGTTTTAGATTTGTATATGTGCTAAATACATGTATAAAAATTACTATGCAAAAAAAAAAAAAAAAGAAAGAAGCAAATTCGTTAAGGGCGGGCTTAGAGTACCGGTATATGTCGAATTCGGACCGAAATATACCTATCCCAATACTTTTGATTTGTATTCCTACTATGATGGTTTGAAGTATTGTATATATCATCTTCTTACCCCAGGATTGATTTCTGATCTACATGTATAACTCAGGGGGATACTGGTAGTTTATTTGAATTTCATTACCTCTGCTTGACACAATAACGTGTAGCTAGTGAAAGCAACCCCCTAACAAAAAAAGTCTAGTTAACTAATAGATAACTATAGTTTACTATTGTAAAATAAAGTTTTTACTACGAAGTTTTTTATTATATTGAATTAAAGTATTTTTACTATGAATTTTAATTCTTACTTATTTTCTTCAAGTTTAACATTAATTTTTTAAAAACAATAAGTGCCCATGGGAATTCCAATAGATTTAGTTGTAAGCTATAACAGTTACTATAGTATATTTTTAGGGATACTCAGAAACACATACTATGCTAATATTTTCAGAAACCGAAAACATATCCAACCAAGAATTTCTTCCTGATTAAAGAAATGTTTAAGAAGGCATAATCATGATTTTTAAGTAAAATATTTTTTGCTACCAGAAGATATTTTCTTGGTAAGGAATGAATTTAATAGCTACCCACGTTATACTGTATAACCTGGGTTGGGACAGTTTACGTTTTATAAACCGCGAAGCGGTTTATAAAAAAAGCGTAAACTGTTCCAACCCAGGTTATACCAGTATAACTTGTGTAGCTACTATTATTAAATTCATCTCTTATATTTTAATTTTCCATCAAAAAGTGTAGAAAATAAGTCGATTTCTCCTTCAAAAATGCCTTCAAATTGTACATATTTTAAAATATAACGTCAAGCGGATTGATACGTTTTTGACGTAAGTCATTGTGAAGTAGGCAACACAGGTTATATGATATAAACAATTTTTTATCCAATCAAATGACGCGTTACAACCAAAATTAAATTACAAGAGAAAATATTTGAAGGTAAGAAATTTTTAATATGAAGATTATGATGAATATGAGATGTCACTTTGGAGCCTGAAAAGTGGGTTTTTTTTTAAATTATTAGTAAAGTAAGCATAATACATTATGAGGTATAACCACCTTTAATAGTCCAAAGGTTGTATTTTTGTGTACAGATATATAAAGACGGACACCATTCGTTACTACACACCTCTAACTCCGACCAGAATGTTAAAATTATACGGTAGCAAATAGACAGTATCACTGATTGAATAAAAAATAAATCACCCTTACCTCGCTTGCAGTGTCTGTTAGGGATCCTCCCAGTTGGTCCCCCGGGCGTGCTGTCAGAGTTCTCCCTATGGAAAAAAGCAAGGTTTTCAGACTGAGTTTGCCCTTTATCGTTTTTTTTTTTAGAATTGACTTTTCACAGACAGTAAATTGCTCTCGGGTATTTTGTCAAACACGCTATGCGCATTATATAGAAGATCAAGATAACACTAAACATGTACTTGTACATATATCTGTAAAATAGTGACAAGTGAAGTGTTTGTGACACTTGCAATCCAACAGCAAATTTCGTTTTTTTAAAACACTTACACAGGCAAATTTTAAATAATAAATTTGATTCAAAATTCTTTTTATACTAAATATACATAATTTAGGGTCTGCGAAGTAGATGTATGTATATATACAAAAGCCTTTACCAGCTATCTTTTCAACTGACCTATTTTAATATTTGTTTACTTTATAGATTCACAAATGAAAGATTTTGAAAACTTACCTGTAATATATACAGTGGCACCCGCCTCCCCTAGTTGTAAGGCTATCCCTTTCCCTATCCCCCGGGAAGCACCAGTAACGATGCAGATCCTCCCCGAGAGCAACATTTTTATGTTGTTTTATTTGGAAGTGTAAACTTCCTCCCTTCAATATATCTAGAGTGCGTCCGGAGTTTTGTCGAGTTTATCTTTTCCGTAAAATGGAGGCGTGAAGATTAGTCATTTATGGATGGATATTTAAATCAAGTATTGAAAATATCATGACCTCTAAATACTGATGCGTGTTTAATTAATGTTCTTGTCGTTTTGTTTTTTACTGCATGTCAGAGTATCAGTACAGTTGTGAAATTGCAAGAATCGGATGCATTTGCATGTTGTTGACGCTTATCTTGAAATTCATGTTGTCGAAAGGAAATTATCTTTTTTCTATTTTGGATTGAAGCATGTATTTTAATTTTTAAAAACATTTTGTCACAAGTTATTATTGCAAATGTATGAAGCCCTACTTGGATCAAACTCACTATGGGAAAAAAATTAAAAGGCTTTATAATTCCTTTATAATGCCTTTCCAAAGACTTAATAACGAGATGTGAAAAGGCATTATTACGCTTTTCAAAAAGGAGTAATAACACGATGTGAAAAGGCTTTATGTGGCAACAAAAGGTGTTTTTCGCGTTACAACTCCTACGCCTTCCCACATTGCGTTATAACGCCTACGCCTTTCCATTTTGCGTTAGTGCGCCTGTTACGCTATGGTTTGATCCTTAAAGTCTTGTGAACCATAATTCTATCTCAGGTAATATTTTTCACAGCAGTAATTTGTGTAAGAATTGAACGGTAAATGATGATTTACGAATTGTATGTATTGGACCAAAGGTGAGAAATGAAGTACCAGCGGTAGAATTTCTGCAGGTTTCAGTCAGTATATTTTCAATGTACTTTTAGATCCTTTGATCTTGATGAAGAAATTAATACCAGACCATTGTCCAAGTATACATTTACCATATATGTCCATAAATCATGTAACTTTCCTTGTGTTTTCGATGTTTTTTTATCGCAATACTCACAAATGAAAACAAGCCAATTCAGAGAATCTGTGTCCTCCGCTTAGGGAAAACAGCATGTGCAGTTCGGGGGGGGGGGGTTCACCCCCCCTGGATTTGTAGAATTATTAAATGTATACATGTATATTGAAGTAAATAAAAAATTGCCAATATGGATATAAAGATTTGATTGCTTATTCTTTAATTATTTCATTGCGAAAGCTCAAAGGGTTCTCGAGATATCGAGCGGAAACGAAAGTGTTACAGACAGACAGAAATACAGACGGACGGACAGACAAACCCAAATTAATATCCCCTACTTTCAATGAAAGCGGGGGACAACAATACCAAAGACAATAGAGACAACAGAATTAGACAGATAGATAGATATAGATATAGATATATATATATATATATATATATATAATTTTCAATGTATTGTATTCTGTTTGTGAACATTTTGTATTTTCAAATATAATTCATCAAATATTTACTTTTTTTTTTTAAGAGGAACCCTTACGCACCTGATAATGAATTACTAGTAGCTGAGAAATATACGTGGTTTAGGGTACATTTGATTTTTCAAAGAAACTAGTAGGTGCAAAATTCAGAAGAGTGCTCTGGGGGAAAATATAAAAGCTTGTAAGGTTTAAAACAGTATGTTATCGTATTAATAAAGAAATATAGATAACAAAAACATTTTCCATCAAGAGAAAAAAAGACAGAAATGCTCCGTGCAATTTATACAGCAAATGAATAACATAATATAAATTGAAACATCTCTCCTAGTGCAAAAAGCCACGAGACAAATGACTAAAATAATACTTATCAGTCATTCTACGATAAATGGCCCAATTCAGGGTATAAAACACATGAAAAAAATAATTGTTTCAAATAGCAAAATGAACATCACAATTCTCAAAAGGACATGTCAGTGAACTTGAAAAAAAAAAAGAATTGTCCACAAATCTGGTATCGTTAACTTTTTACAACAATCCCAAAGTACCATTGATTTTAAGGTAATGTTACGGAAGTTAATGCTTGATCAAGTCTTATTATTTTCTAAATAAAGCTGAATGTGACCACTTTTTCGTTTCTGATGTTCAGTATAGAACGCTAAAGTATGATTAATGAAGTCTCGCATGAATCCGAAATTTAAGTTAAAATTTCGGGGAAAATATCGTTGAGGAAGTTAATCGTTACAAAAGTTAATTCCCAGCAATAAAAGTTAAAATTCTCGGCAAAAGTTAAAATTAAAGTTTATTTTAGGATATTAAACAAAAGTGTGAAGCATTTCGCTCCTAAAATAATAAATATTTTTTTTATACCTTTAATGCAAAAACTTTCTTGAATTACCGTTACGGAATTTAAATTTTTAAGAGAGACAACTGTTTTTGTCTAATTTATTTTGTTATGTCGAAAAAGTAATAGTTTAAAATAGCTGACTCGCAACTAGAATCGATGATATTAGGTTCCGTGGTCACTTTCACACAATTTTCGGTTCTTTTTGAAATTTGCATTCAGTGCGTGAGATTTAAAACAAAATCGTTACGGAAGTTAATCGATATTTAGCGACATGCTATGATTTCGCATGAAAGAAGATCCATGCATTTCTTTGCGAGAAGTGGTTTGATTTCTTTTTATATAGGATAAAAAATTCATTGTAATCTATTCGGAACGCTTCTACGACTGAAAATTTCATCTTGAAATTTGTAAATAAATGAAGCGACATTAAGATTTGCAGTGGAATACGTTTTTTCTACATTACGTTATGTTCATATGAAAACTTTAACTGCACATATATCGGTAAATATTTACAAAACCATGTATGTATATATGTTAAGTTCTTAGATTTGAAATCGATCTTTAAATTTATAATTAAGATACATGTATTACAAGGGTAAATTTGTAAGCGACATAAAAAATTCTTAATTGTGCATGTTTTTGTAGAATGACTGTTATATCAGTCAATACATGACATAGAAAACAAATATGGAAAAATATCAAAATGGCAACATCCACAATATTAGCTATTCACAATTACCACTTAAAACAGCAGAGTCGATCAAATACTCGCTTTCCACTTCTCTAGTATGGTAGGTGCTGCTAACAACAGACTCTAGGTAGCAGCAGTAAGCTCAGTTTAATGTTTAATATATATATATATATATATAAAATGTTTCGTTTATAATAACCATTACACTCAAGTCTTCACTTTAGCGCCATGTTTTGGAAGAAAATCCATCGTATTAACGATACAGTTATTTCTTCTGAAGTGAGTCAACATAGGGTTCAAAACTGATTTTTCACATGACATTAGATTCTGATTTCCTGAAAATTGACAAATAATAAGTTAATTTATAAATATTAGTTTACTATTTACAAATATACACGTATTTTACCGGTTTGGTTCATTTTAAAGCAAAGAATGAAAAGGTAATTTTTTTATTTAAAATTCTAAAAAAAATATATACTTTTTGAAAGACATAAGAGTATTAATAGGCACTTAAATCTCTTCACCTATTAAAATAAGACCTTTACGTGCTCTTGTTAAAGCAACATTGATCTGGTGAACATCGGTTATGAATCCCAAATTTTCTTTACACCATCCAAGTGTTGGTTCAGGTTCAATTCTGTACTCCGGAAGTGACCTAACTAAACTAAATATGACGTAATCCCACTCACCACCTTTAAATAGGATGAAAAAAAGTTTATATTAAAAGCAGTTTAGCATGATCATAAGATAAAATTCTTAATCAATTCAAAACTCAAAAGTTTTAAAGGAATACACACACTTGCAATCTACTGTTAAATTCAAAAGAGGACATCTGTATCTACCTTGACTTGCTACAACTGTATTGACATTGTAGAATTCAAACTTTTTCTTTTTCAATGCCAGTCGTATTTGATGACACTGTGCATTGTACTGCGACATTATATTAATACTTTCCCAGTTAATTTTCTCCGTTTTAACCAGATAAGAAAATATGGCTGCCTGTAAAGTACAAAGCGAGAAAAACATCTTGAAAAGTGGTACACATGACGACTAAACTTAATGCTACAACGGATGTCATTCGTACTCGTATTTACAGCCAGTAATGTTCTACTTTATGTTCACATGACTACAGACATAATAGAGGTTTTTCTTTAAACCCCTTATTGAAAAAAAGCGAAACTTCTCTTGACGTATCTTACCACACGCTCTATTTCATTGGAGTTGTATCTGGCCATTTCATTTCCTTCTTCTGTGGTATACGTTAAGTACTCTTCTTCGCCTTCTGTGTGACAAAAAACATACGGGTATTGAGGATTTTTCCATAACCTTAATGGAGTCCTTGTCATCCATTTTTCTGATTCTTTTGTCTCCAGTTTGCCATCATAAAAGGTTTTGGATGGAAATTCGCATAAACATGGATTCTAGAAGTACAAAATAATAAGAATATGAATACAATACCTATGTTTTTCAAAATAATGGATAGGGAATGAAATTTATGAGAGGATGGTTACATACTAATTTTGAACGTTGTACCTTTTTATAACATAGTTTTTATAAACATAGTTTGTTTGGTTGCTTGTTTAATTTTTAAATTAGTGCTTTACAGTTTGATGCAAATTTTTGGGCACTGTTGACGATCAACTAAAACTAGAGCCATAGAAAGAAATTTAAATTCACACTATATGCCGAGGAAGTTTCACAAAAACTCTACTTTGACCAAATAGATTTTGAAAAGATCATTGTAACAATTCCACAAATTCACCTATTTCTTAATTAAATATTTTGGGAGTGGGGGTAAGGTTTGCAACCGTGTTTGAAACATTTCTAAATATACACTTTACACAAACATATTCTATGACAATTGATAAATACTGTCGAATGGTTCTCAAAAAGTCGAAATCAACAGTTTGCATTCAACACAGCAAATAAACGGACAAAAATATATTTCGATAAAAATGTTAGATATATATAGCAGAAGTCTACTTCTTAAGAAGAGCTGAAAATCCTTCGTTATTTTATTCGTCAGTTGTAGTAGACGATTACGCCTGTAAAAAAAGAAACTGCTTTGTCTAAGAGTTACCATTCTGTATTGAAGGTTCAGAAATGTAAGGTGGGAACTCTTCATCTCTGCATATCTTTCAAATAATGATTTCTGCAGTCCAAGTTCTGCTGCTTCTTCACATATAACAACAGGTTGTAACTGTTTATGATCTCCGATTAGGACCACTTGTTTGGCCCTTGTTGCCACTATTACGGCCATGCATTCTGGCTCTGTGCACATCCCGGCTTCGTCTATAAGGACTTGAAAGATAGTCCCTTTTGCAGGAGCTAGTAATGATGCACTAGTTGCTACGGACGCTGTACAAAGAATGACATCATATTTGGGGAGTTCCTCTTGTATTGCTTTTCCGATACATTTTTTGTATTTTTTGATTTCTCCGAAATTAATTTTCTTGGGATTAGTTTTAAATTTTTCATCATACTGTTTTATTTCCTCAGCATATGTTTTGCCTTCTTCACGGATAATATGGTGTAAAGTTTCGTTTCTGAGATTTTCATCAGGAAAACTTTCTTTATTGACCCGTCTCTTTGAGAACACCTTGCCAGGAATCGGGAATTCAGCACATTCTAATGCTCTTCCATACATTCGAAGAACTTTAAACTTTCTAGAGAAATCATTTTCTTTCAAATATCCTGAAAAATTGACAAATATGAAATTAAAAAATATTCTTTTTTCCATCTAACCAGTTTTGATTATTTCATTTTTATACAGATGTGAAATTTATTAGCCAGACTGTAAAGTCTCATTTAAAAAAAATCACAAATAGGTAAATAAAAATGCAACATTTAATATCATCATTAATTTTACGCATGAGAAGTTGTGTTTATTTTAAAAAATTATAAAATTTGACAGACCAGCTTGTAATGATAATACATGTAAAGAGTATAACACTTAAACTAAAAGCTTTATCCTCCTTTGACAATAAATATACAATTACAATATATACAATATACAGTTAGTGATTTGTTAATTAATTAATATTTCATTTACTTGTGACAAGATCCACAGATTTGTTTGAGGGGCCACAAAACAGAACGATTCTCCTATTTCCTCCATTTTCCCGCAACTGGTGGTTGATAGAACAAAATATGTTGATAAGGGCAACCCCAGTGTATGTTTTTCCTGTCCCTAGAAAAAAGGGGTATACAATTTTCAGTGAATTGAAAAAAGTCCATTATAATAAATATCATTGAATATCATTGAAAGAATGAATCTGTTAAATTAAAAAAAAAAACGCACATTACTGCAAGATAGACAGAGGTAATTATATTATGACCAAATTATAAAAATGAATTAGTACTTGACAAAATCTAAAATGCAGTATTTATTCTCATTGAGAAAGGGTGAAATGCTCGTGCAAACCTGTCAAACCCTGACTACTATTTAGGCATAGTGCATGCAAAGTACAACACTATTATATAAATAAAAAAATCACGATATACCGGTATATCGATAAACTCGCACATCCCTTATATATATATATATATATATATATATATATATATATATATATATATATATATATATATATATATATATATATATATATATATATATTAGAGAGAGAGAGAGATTTGGTGCTTTTTTCTGAATCTTTATTTATTAAGTTTCCACCATTCTCCCTCTTCACAGTTCAACTTGTATTTCAAATATAACATTTTACTGCAGCTGATTCGTTATAGTTAAAAATGAAAATTGTACGTTAAGAATATTGATTTTTTTCCCCTGGACATGCAATCTTATGAAAACTGATGGTATAATTTTCGATACAATATCATTTTTGTGTATACTCACACATATTAATATATCAGAGCTCAGACTATTGTGCTATAGCGAGCTTCAGAAAAATTGCATATGTGACAAGTCAGTGAGATCAACACATCAAGTATATTATCATAACTAAATTTTAAAAAAGTTAATTATGTAACACTTGCTATGGGGAGACAATATGTGCATTGATGGTAGGCACACAATGTCGTCGGCGACGATGCCCTTGCTCATCATAACTATATATTTGGTTTATCTGCTTAATACCCAGGGGCAGAGAAGTAGATTTCAAAAAAATAATGCACTTTCACTATATAATCAATAGAGCCACCCCCTTTCCCGGAGATACCCTCACCCTGGGGGCCACAAATTTCAAAATCTTGTAAGAGGTACCATTGATCATCATAACCATGCAATTAGTTTATCTGCTTTATATGCAGGTTGAGAGAAGAATTTTTTAAAAGAATTTAAGCATTTTCATTACATAATCAATAGAGCCCCACGCTAACACCAGAAACTTTGACCCGAAGGCCAAGATATTCACAATTTTGGAAGAGGTGCCCTTGCTCATCATAACTAGGAGCAGAGAAGATTTTCAAATAAATAACAGTGGCCGATCCAGGAATTTCGTAAGGGGGGCGCAATAGAAGGCTGGGGGGTCTGGGGCTGCATTGAAGCCCCCAGTGGGTCTAGGGCAAGGCCCCTATGGGGGCTGACAAATTCTTACAAATGAGATGTTTTTTCCTTGATTTTAGGATAATGAACATGTAAGTTCTACATACAAAAATTCAAACGGGGGGGGGGGGGGCAAGCCCGGCGCTCCGGCCCTGGATCCGCCTTTGAATAATGCACTTTGACTATATAATCAATAGAGCCCCATCCCACCCCCTCCCGCAGAACCCCTCACCCTGGGACCAGAAATTTCACAATTTTGCAAGAGGCACCCAGACCCTTGATCATCATAACCATGCACCTAGTTTATCTTCTTTTTATACAGGGGGAAGACGATTTTTAAAGAATTTATGCATTTTCACAGAGTCCTCCCCTTTAACTAGAACCATGAAATTCACAATTTTGGAAGAGGCACCTTTCTTAATCATAACTATGTACTTACATGTAGTACATCGTCTTAGTGCCCAGGAGCAGAGAAGAAGATTTTCAAAGAAACACTAGTAATGCACTTTCCTATAAAATCAATAGAGCCCTCCCACAGAACCCCTCACCCTAGGGCCATTTTGGAAGAGGCGCCCTTGATCATCATAACCATGCACCTAGCTTATCTTTTTATACACAGGGGGAGAGAAGATTTTCAAAGAATAAATGAATATTTTCACTATATAATCATTAGAGCCCCGCCCTAACACCAGAATCCCTGACCCAGGGGCCATGAAATTCAAACTTTTGGAAGAAGCATCCTTTCTCATCATAACTATGCATTTAGTTTGTTTGCATAATACCCAGGAGCAGAGGGGAAGATTTTTTAAAAAAAAAATAATGCATTTTCCCTATATATTCAACAGAGCCTAACCCTAGCACCAGAACCCCAGACCATGGGGCCATGAATTTCACAGTTTTGGTATAGGGCTCAATCCTTATTACAATCATGCCAACAGTTTGACTGCTTGATGTCCAGGAGTAAAGAAGAAGACTTTTAAAGATTGCATTAATTTTAGTGGGTTTTGGCCCCACCCCTCAGGCACCAGGGGGGCAGGGACCATAGAATTCACAACTTTTGTGTCCCTTTACCCATAAATGCTATATGCCAAAATTGTTGGAAATTGGTTGAGCGGTTTTAGAGAAGAAGCTAAAAATGTTCAAATGGTAATGCACATGGTAACGACGGACGACAACAGATAGCAATGAGTTTACTTAGGTGACCTAATGATATTTCCACATTTCTTATGAAAACTATTGATTATAATTTTGGAAGCAAACGTTTCTGATATACCAGGTGGTCCTTGAATTAAGGTGAACGAAGAAGTAACCGCTTTCTGTATAGCCTTTCTTTGGTTATCATTTAATCTGATGCCTAGATGATAATCAGCATTTCTGCAGAGACTTCTTCCAGCACAGACATGTTCTTGATCTATCAAATACATATGAATTCAAAATCAAAGCTTAAAAATCAAGAAAAAGAGTTTATAAATGACTTCTTATGAGTTGCATACGAACTGTATTTCACATAAAATTAAACGAAAATGCATGTATGATATCAACACGCTTATGGGTGAATAAAACAAGACCACCAAATTGAAATTTAAAAAAAAAAAACATTCAACTACCCATATTTATATCATCATATTATACATGCATTCTAGTTAAAAATACTGAAGTTGCAATAGAATAAACAATTGGATAAAAAAGTGTCAGAATTTTTATTAGTTAAACTTTATTTGAAAAATGAAAATACCACTATATCCTAAAACACTTTCTAAAATATATAATCAAAGGAAATTATAAATTTTTATGTTTCAAATTGGTATCAGGGATATCTGAACCTTGATTGGGTTTCCTCTCTTGTATATGTGGAAAAATTGGCTTTTTGGTTGTTACATTATTTTTTAAGTTCTGGTTTGAAAAGTTTTCAGATAAAAAAAATGTGAAACAATAATTTTCCCCCAAAATCATTTTTGTCCATTTAAGTCAGCTCTTTAAGTTTAAGCCAAAATAGAATTTTGACATTCAAGTTTTCTTACAAAAAATACTAGATTTTGAAGTGACCTATGTTACATTATTTTGTTGCACTCCTGACATCTGATATGCATTTTATTCAACATTGTTTCAAAAATTATAACACACAATAACCCATTTTTAGTTTGTAAATCATTTCATCGTCTTGACATTTTTTATCATTTACGGCAGGTTTTCCATATTTTCAAGACTTCAAAACATGATTATTTGCAATGTGTAATATTTATACATTGTATTTAAAGATATGTGTTAATTGATGAAAACTATTCTCTGAATTGATTGTAAAATGTCTGTAATTAGTTGATAGACATAATGTTTTGAACATCAAATAGTCTCAAACATTTTTTTCATTTTATTTTTTAGTAAAGATAGATGTTGATCATTGATAATTAAAAAACAGTTTTGTTGCACTCCTGACTGCAGTAAAATTAAAACCACAGAACACAAAAATTCATAAAGTGTTGGCAACATCAAGTGGTAACGAAATTGTGCAATATTTATAATAAAAACACATGAAAGTATTTAAACTTGGCTTTATATCTTGAATTATTCCCTATTTATTTTAAAAAAAATAGCTTAAGTATATATTTAGAAGATAAAATATATTTTAGATATATTTTCCTTCACAGGACAAACACTATTCGCAACTTAGGTCAACCAAAAACATTCTACTCATCAATTTTTTTCTTTATATTTATTCACATTTGATAAGCAATAATTCTAACATATTTGTTGTACTCCTGACCAAGAGCATGGGAGACTTAAAAAGATAATTGTGAAGCAATCATATCAGAACTTGTTCTGTTGTTCAGTGAAGTTGAGGTGCAATTACTTGAGCTTTATAACAATTTTTCAGTGTGTTTATTTTTCACATTCTCAAAAAAATCAAAGAAAAGATAAAAACACATCTGAATTGATAAAGTTGAAAAAGAGAAGGATTTTAATAATAAAACTGTAAATAATTTACTACTAAATTATTCAAATAGATCATTATTAATTGAAGAATACAACTTAGCATAACATGAGTTGAAGTCTTTTCATCCTATAACTTGATTCTTTAAAAAAAATGTGTTGCACTCCTGAGCTTAGATATATAGATCTGAAACACAAATATATCCTGTAATTGATTAATCTATTTCGCAAAAATGTTCTTTGTGTCTTAATTTTCCAAAATAAAAATAAGAGAAATAATATACTGATAAAAGTTTTTTTATGCTGGGGAACAAAACATCAAATGTTTCACTCCTGACATTATTGGGTATGCACAGATACTTGAATCTCATTAATGCTGCTTGTGATTTATATAACATTTTTAAGTTTTAAATTGTATATCAGTTATTGGTTTACACTTTGAGAATTCTTTTTTGACTTAATTGTCTTTCAAATTTTTAAAATCGATGTTTTTTTGGCAACACTACATTTTTTTCTATTGCACTCCTGACATGGTATAACATTTTTTTCAACATCAGCCATGGCCACAACCTGGTCAAACAAAAGTTGCTACAGTCTACATTTAAAGCTCAGTACTTTGAATATTATCAGGAAAGTTTTTATTTCCACCACAAACCATTAAAATTTATTTCGCAGATCTTCAAAACATTAAATTTTCGAAATGTCACAAAAAGGTGTTGCACTCTTGACATTTTTAGCATCATTTTTGTGCATAAGTTTTTTGTCAATTGAGATATCAATGAGATATATTTGGCAGGTAATTAGACATATCTAAAGACATATGCTGAGACATAAAATTTATTCCCTTTGCCTGTACTTTTAGTTCAGGTTGAAAAATATGTGTTTGGTCATTTTTTTTAATTCACCCTTATAATATTCACCAAGCTTTGGAATGCTGCTTCTTTCTGCAATTGCTTTAGCAAGATCTGGTGCTCTTTTTAGATTTTTCAAATACATATCTGTTCGCCTTAAAAAAAAATAAAATGTGTTACAAAGTGGAAAACATTTGTTAGTTTTTTTTTTTTAGTTTTTTTTTTTTTTTAAATTTGTTTCAAGTAATACCAAATAAAACATTCACAATTTTAAGAGAAATCAAACTAATCTTCATCCCATTAAGAACAAATTTATGAAATGAGATATCTGGTCTCTCTCTCTCTCTTTCTCTCTTAAATGGCTAAATTACCTGTGAACTTCAATTTTTGGTATAATTTCAACGTGGCAGATCTTTTGTTGCCCACGTAAATCTTTAGGAATAGCAGGGGATTTTTTGTGACAAATAAAATTGACTTTTATTTTTCCTTCGGCTGCTTCTTCTTTCCGAACGTCGTCTATCTTTGCATGTGCAACCCAAAATCGATTTTGTGGTGAAACTGACCCATTAAGGAATTTCGATCTTGGTCCTAAGCCTATCTCACACCTTATGCAAAGGTAATCTGATCCTGATATGTAAAATGGCTTGACTTCTGAATCAACTTCGACTTCTTCCAAATCAGAATATCCGAGCAGATCTGTTGAATGTACTGTGAAACTAATGTCCCTTTGTTCACAAAAGGAGTTACTAAGAAAAAAAGAACCCTTTCTTTTTGAAGTAAAAGTAATGGGCAGATCAGTTATGGTAAAAGATTCATCTTCTACTGACAATGTTGCTATCTCCATGGATAAAATTGGAATCCATATATTAACGTACTCTTTACAAGAAGCATAGCTTTCCTTCGTTGCCTTCGATGCGAATTCAGCCAGAACATTTACAGGATCTCTGGCATGTTGTAGGCATAATTTTACATTGTTTGTTAAGTCCAGAAGCTGTGGCATTGGCATCATCATTCCATGCTCTGGTTCACCAGCCATCTGTACAACCACAATCTGACCATAGTTAAAAGACAAACTGAATTTACAAGTTTGGTTTGAATCCACCCCAAGTCTATCTTCGGAACTAACATCTTCGACTGTCTCATGGGTTTCCTCTATCGTACGTATGAGATTCATTCTATCTTCATGATTAATTTCTTTCTTTAAATTTTTTGTCTTTCCTCTGAAATATGACTTTAACAAATTGATCCACTGTTGTTTCTGCTGAAACACCATATTTGGATGAGGATTTAGACGAAGGTATCCATCATTATTTTTATTACGTTCCAATTTGCGCTGTATCGAATAAAGTCTACTTTGCCATTTCATTGTCAATATATCACGCTTATGAATTCTATTTTCTTGAAAACTAGGCCTCTCTTTAGTCCGTAAAAAATTCAGTGGTATTCTTTTGCTCATCTCTGGAAACTTGCGAAGGCTTGGATAACACAAAGAAATATCAATGTTTGAGACATCGTGGACAAATCCATTGAAAAGCTGAGGTTGCATGTAAAGCTCGTGTCCACAAAGAAGAACTTGACATCCGCTATAAAACTTCTTTCTACGAAGCAAAATATCGTTCATTTCATTACATATCTGTTCGATTTCTAGGGTATTGTAAGAACAATCTTTTTTGTCGGATGACAACAGATCATCGAGTAATCTATGAGCAACCAAATCAATGTATAGTCTCAGTGGACTTGTGAAGGTCATATAATGATCTCTGCGTAACGCATAGTGCAAAAGGGGGTCGTGTTTTTGGTTTAAACATCTATATTCCGCTAATGTCTGTACATTTATCCAGTCTTCTAAGGCAAGTAATTGCCATGGATGAATTTCATCCATTCCCAAAATATGTCCAACTTCATTCCATTGATTTTTGTTTATATGTTCTTTCAGTGTCTCCCAGACACATCTTTGAAACGGTAAAACATGTCTGTAACTAAATTCCCTGCCAAAATTGAAAACTGAACAATAAGACCCCGTGCCTGGCACTGCCTCGAGACTTTGAAGACGACACAATATATCACCCATATCAGTATGGCTCTCATTCCACAACTTAACAACATCAATTGAAGGAGCTTGGTGACAACGATAGGGCATAAATTTCTGATATCTTTTGGAAACACGTTCTGAGATTTTCATGTTGGTAAATAAAATTAGCTCTTGAAGCAGATCTCTAACATATTTATTCCTCATAAATGTTCCATTATCCTGAAGTCTTGTTTCTAATTCAAGAAAATGAGTGCCATCACCAAGTCGCTCTTTTCGAATATTTTTAGCAATATTTAACAAAGTTTTTACCTTGAAATCTTGATTGCCCTCTAGCACATCATTGACAGATTCAATATCATAAACTTTCTGACACACAACAATTGATTTCCTTAGTGTAAAACTGTCAGTATCCACATCGGACTGTGAATTTGCTGTAAATGACAATGTTTTTGCGTGTCTGTCTTCATCTAATTTAAATTCAATAATATCACATAGTTGCTCTGGAATCATCAAAGACTGATAATTTTTATAGATATCGAATTGCGCGCCACGTCTCCTTATTTCCTTATCCAAACCATCACCCTTTTTGATAAATCTTGCTGGGTCTACAATATGGATTTCTATTCTATGCAGAAGATCAGATATTTTTTCAACACTGAACGCAATTTCAGTTATATTTTCTTCGATGGAGATAGCAAAGACAGGGACTACACCTTTCGATCTTGTTTTTGATCGTGTTTTTACATCAATTTGTTGTAAATGGGATGCTATACGATTGGCCATGTCGGTAAATTTATCTGGAATTTGATACTGAAGTCTCAGAATATCAATTCCTGACTGTGGGTCATTCCTCGTGTATGTACTGCTTAAGACAACTCCAAATGGGTACATGTCCTCCCAGTGCATAATGGCAACAAGGAAACAATACGATTTCCTATTAGCGTGGTCTATTTTTAAGATTTCTTTGTAACTTAAGTTTTTGTTGTATTTATCATAGGTAAACAAGTCAAACTGAGTTTTACCTTTACAATACTTATGCGAGGCTTGGATTTTTGGTACCGTTTTGCATAGCGGTTTAAGCATGTGGTGTCCAAAATCATCAAATGCACACACTAAAACCGGATGTCTCATATTTTTATACCGATTTCGCTTTACTGTCCCCAGAATTCTACCATAAATGTTCGTATCTCTAGTTTGAGACTCAATATTTCTCCGTTTTCTTTCATATTTTCGAATCTTTGATTCTCCTAGAATTTCTACAACCACCTCATCATCAGCATAAGATTTACCACATTTTGATCTTCCAGATATATGAATTTCTTTGATTTCATCAGCAAAGTTTAAATTTGTACACACCGCTTTATGTGCAGACTCTATATGTAAACTACAAAGTTTATACTTATTCGGATTATCATCCAAATAACGTTGAAGGGTTTTCTCTGGTACTGTTGTATCATAATGAAACATAGGTTTTCTTTTGTGTCGAAAATCGTCTTCACATTTTTCTGATAATTCAAGTCCATTAATGACAAAATCGATATTTATGTTGGAGAATACACTGCTATTTGTTCTTGAATATATTCCTGAAAAAGATCTGTCTTCCAAGAGCTCGAAACCACTGTCAGTGGATTCTGAATACAAATGATCATACTCTGGATCTTGATAAGAAATCAGTTTGTGTGGTTTCTCTAGGTATTCTTCGTCTGATTCAACTGCTGAATCTTCTTTAGAACTATAATATATGAAAGAGGTAGGCTCCTCTTGGACATTGTCACATTTTCTGCGCTGAATCCTCTCTTTTTCGTAAGTTTTTTCGTCATGACTTGGCTCTGAAATAAAAAATAACATATCAAGTTAATATTTAAACATAATAAATAAACACAGATTAGAGATTAGAACCCCTTTGAAATGAATAATCTATTTATCTAAAAGAAACTGTGGAAAGAATTCTACTTAGGAACAACGGAAAATGGATTACAGGAACAAAAAATGGTTTATCTTACTTGAAAACAAAATTATGTCCTCTATAAGTCAGTTCTATAATTTTACCCAATCATTGTAATTATTAATTGTTTCAGATGTCTCAAGCTTCGTTCTATTTTGTGCTTTACTTTATATGACAAATTTCTATCTATCTGTTCAACAATATCAGTATATCTAAGGCAGATTGGCAATGATATATATTAAGCGACATTAAAGTATGTTATGTGTTAGGTTTTGTCAAGTTTTACAAATTATATAACACATAAAAAATAGGGATGGCAATCGATTACAGAATTGCTAATCGGTTAACCGCAAGGCATTCCGACCGATTAACCGGTTAATCGTATCAAAATACACGTTTTCTTGACAATTGTTTTTCAAGTAGCTCTGTCCATATACACAAATAGACCCATATAAGTCGATAGAAGTTAAAACATTCCGTTAGTCTTGATTTTGGATGAGAAAAATAAGGGTACATATTTTTTTATTTAAATTTCAGTAGCAAGAAAAAATTGAGAAAACCCTGAAATCTTTGCTAATTTTCCAGAGCAGATGTCACAAAAGTTCTTTCTGCATTTTCACTATGATAATCAAAACTACATGTGAACTCTAAAGCCCTTAATTTACAATGTTTGTTTAATAATTAAATTGGATTGAAAACTGAAAACGACAAACACACCAATTCACAGTGCTCAATGATTCAATTATTATCATTAAAGAATTACAGGACAGTCGGGGGTAACGACATGGTGTTTTCACGGTAATTAACACTACATAAACTGACCAATTACGTTACGGTCTCTATCTGGAGATTCATAATTACATGTACGTCCAAATTAGATCCGTTAAATCCCAAATGATCATCCTTTGTGCAGAGATTTCTTTTCTTTTTTTTTTAAATGTGTTCAATTTAACAAATATTTTATTTTTTCCGATTAACCGGTTACAGATTTTCTAAACGATTGCCATCGTTCCGACCGAGTAATCGGTTAACCGGTTACAAATTGCCATTCCTAATAAAAAAAGCATATTTCCCATTTTGTTTAAGTTGAAAGAACCCACAAGGATGATTTTTAGAAGTGGAAATTCGTACAACTGATACTTCGCAGTTCCACTTTTCCGCGATTCGACACTGCTTTTCCCAGCTAATCAAACTGCTATTAAGCGATTTTATTTGATGCTTTTCCGCGACTTATTATAAAATGTACCTCTTCCATTAACCAGGAGAAACATCTTACAACACCAACCAAGCAACTCCTTTTGCATCAGTTGTAATTATGGCTTTGCATACTTTTCCTTTGCTGCATCGGTAAGAAACATCGCCATTATTTAAAACATTGACTTTTCTATAGGTGTATCCTCGTATATTAATTTTTTAAAATGATTTGTTTCAGTATGAATAATTTTCATGACTTCTGAAACCTATACCGACTAGTCAGAATAATCTAACTATGTCTCGGGACAAGCCCTCACTACAGTTAGAATACGTCCCATATATATTGTAATTGCAGTGTAGCTAATCGGAGCGGATACGCTCTGAAATGATTTTGAAGAATACAAAAGGAGTTGCACTGCATGAAAATAACTACCAAATTAATCATAAAACAAGATGTGTTTGTGAAACACTGATGCCCCCGTATGGCAGCTTATGGGGAAGGTTAAAGTTTTTCTAATGCAAGTCAAAATCCAGGCCAAAAGATAAAAAATGTTCGAGACAAGAAAGGTCTTGTCTCGAGGAATATACCTGTGAAATTTAAAAGCCCTAGCTGAAACTTTCAAAATTTATGGCGAAGGTTAAAGTTTTTTAAAAGTAAGTAAAACGTCCAGGTCAAGGTCAAAGTTGTTGGTATCCACAGGAAGGTCTTGTCACAAGGATTACATATGCGAAGTATAGAAGCCCTAGCACCAACCATTCAAATGTTATGACCAAGTGTAAAGTTTTACAAAAGTAGGTCAAACTCCTATGTCAAGGTCAAAGGGTCAAAGTGGTTGGTATCCAAAGGAAGGTGATGTCACAAGGATTACATATGTGAAGAATGAAAGCCCTAGCATCAACCATTCAAAAGATATGGCCAAGGTAAAAGTTTTTCAAAATTAGGTCAAACTCCTAAGTCAAGGTCAAAAGGTCAAAGTGGTTGGTATCCAAAGGAAGGCCTTGTCACAAAGAATACACAAGTGAAGTTTGAAACCCAAAGCACCAACTGTTCAGAAGTTATGGCCAAGGTTAAAGTCCCATAAATTTTACAAAAGTGGGTCAAACTCCAAGGTCAAGATCAAAATGTCAAATATGATGATACCCAAAGAAAGGTCTTGTCACAAGCAATACACGGGCGATAACTCCAACTCAGTGTATTTATTATGAACAATCCAGAGAGTTCCGAATGTCTATATGGCGTGCAAAAATAAACACGGGTGATAACTCCAACTCATTGTACTTACTATGAACAATCCAGAGAATTTTGAATGTCTATATGCAAGTTCGAAGCGAGGAAAACAAGATGTGTTTGTGAAACACTGATGCCCCCGTATGGCAACTTATAGCGAAGGTTAAACTTTCTCAAATGCAAATCAAATATGTTGGTACCCAGAGTAAGTTCTTGTCCAGAGAAATATACCTGTGAAATATGAAAGCCCTAGAAGCAACAATTTAAAAGATATGGAAAAGGTAAAAAAAATTTCAAAGGTAAGTCAAACATCAAGGTCAAATGGTCAAAATTAATGGTACCCAAGGAAATCCTTCTCACAAGAAATACACATGTGAAATATAAAAGCCCTAGAACCAACCATTCAAAAGATATGGCCAAGTTTAACGTTTATCAAAAATAGGTCAAACTCCAAGGTCTAGGTCAAAAGGTCAAAGTTGTTGGTATCCAAAGTAAGGTCTTGTCACAAGGATTACATATGTGAAGTATGAAAGCCGTAGGACCAACTGTTCAAAAGTTAAGGCTAAGGTTAAAGTTTTCCAAAAGTAGGTCGAACTCCAAGGTCAATGTCAAAGGGTCAAAGTTGTTGGTATCCAAAGAAAGGTCTTGTCACAAGGATTACACATGTGAAATATGAAAGCCCTAGAACCAACCATTCAAAAGTTATGGCCAAGGTTAAAGTTTATAAAAGGTAGGTCAAACTCCTAGGTCAAGGTCAAAAGGGTCAAAGTTGTTGGTATTCAAAAGAAAGTCTTGTCACAAAAATTACATATGTGAAGTATGAAAGCCCTTGCACCATTTGTTTAAAAGTTACAGCCAAGGTTAAAGTTTGGGAAAATTTTGCAAAACTGGATCAAACTCCAAGGTCAAGGTCAAAAGGTCAAATATGGTGGTACCCAAAGAAAGGTTTTGCCACAAGGAATACACATATGAAATATGAAAACCATAGCTCCAGCTAATCAAAAGTTATGGGCAAGGTTAAAGTTTTTGCGGATAAACAGACAAACAGACTAACAGACAAACAGACAGACGGACGGACAAGGCAAAACTATATACCCCCGAATCTTCGATACGGGGGCATAAAAATCATTTCTATCTTGAACAGTAAAATTGGTGGGGAAAAAATATTCCAAATTATGAAGCTAAGGCATCACTCGAGCAAGTGAAAATATTCTAGTATTCTTTACCTCTTACTCCATTGATATCTACTTTTATTTTCATTCTGTTTGGCATTTCAACACTGGGACTTTCACTCTTCTCTAAAACAGCTGTGAGAATGTCTTTGAAGACACCGTTGTTGATGGCCTTTGTTATGTTCGATTCCGGACAGAACTCAATGATCAAGGCTTATATAAAAAGAAAATCATTAATTTAAAATTCGTATTTTATTTCAAAACGAAATTGCTTCTTATGTTTTATAACTATTTTATATTCAATGAATTTGGAGCAGAACCCTGTAAAACTTAAAAAATTGACAAATTTTCTATTTTAAGAAATGGATTGTATGAAATAAAACAAGCCATTAATAAAAGTCAAGTATTAGTCTTTATTATTCGTATGTTCAGAACCAGCACTTTATCATTGTTTTGTAAAACATCTTATTGATTAATTTAAATCTTTTTTAAATGTTGTGATTCCGGTGTCTTCTACTTCTCTTAATTAATCTTCATCATTAAATTACATTGTATGTATTATTTTGCTTCCAGTAAGGTTGTCTCTTTGTAACAATACCCAATTATTTTCGCATAATATATAGAGGAAATTCAGAATTTTTTTTTTATATATTTTATTGCTTCGCACTCGTGAAAATATCAAAAAATCCTGTCCCACGAGTGAAATAAATTCCATATCCAACTACAAAACATTGAATTTTCTATTTATTACATTTTCTTTGATTTTCCTTTTGCCCCTGTCTTTTCTTAACACGTTGTCATCGGCTGTGACGTCATAGTTGAGCGGTTGAGACGTCATAGCTTAGCAGTTGTGAGATTGAAAACACTGTAACATGGATTTTAGCCACATATTTGGGAAGAAATTGGCAGTTTTAGTCTCTATCAAGACGGATTAGTTACTATCTCTATCTTACGACAGGCCAGAAATTATTTTTTACTTACTCTTATATCCTTTCAGACTGTGAGAGAATATCACTTTGGTATCCCTTCACACTGTGAGAGAATATCATTCTATTCAATTAATAAATTACAGTATTTCATAGCTGAAAATGTAATAAACAGTATTTTAAGCCGAAACAGTGCACGGCTTCCTTTTCCAGAGAAAATATGTCGGTGCCCATTCTAGGAATCGAAGTCATGATCCCGCGAACGTCAGTCCAATACGCAAATAACCAATTACATGTTTGCCAAAGAAACCATCCCTTCTTATAAATTAATAAATTTTGCAAATAAACTCCGAAACGGGTGCATCAGAGTTCTTACTTACTCTTCTAAGAATACACTAGATACAAGATGATGTCCGTAAACTATATTTAGATTTCACTCGCATAGTAAGTATCGTACATTAAATTAAAAGTCTACTTTCATTTTCTATAAACAACCATGAAATAGCAAAAATGTGAGTACGGTGGGGGTTCCGGTTGGCGGATCTAAGTTACTAGCAATTTTAATGAAACTGACAACAAGCAATCGTTTATTTATTTCATAAAATGTAATCATTGAATTATTCAATCAAAACTTTATTTAAATGACATAAAAGAAATAAGTTGTGATAACCGATTAAAAAGGGAAATGTGCAAATAACTCACCGATCTTAATATTGACGGAAGTTTCTAGAACACCATATAGCATCGACCCCGATGTTAAAAAGACGGGGTCAAATAATAAACTTCATTATTTTATAAATTTCATAACTGCATGTTGAAAATTTTATGTAGGGCTTTGATAACAAATTTTTTTTTATACTTTAATATTAATATTTTTTTAAAAAAACTGTGAAAAATTTATCTGCACGTTTTTTTTTCCATTTACACTGTAATAGATTAATCAGTAACCACTAGTCAAGAACCCTTTTTGAATTGTCCGAATGTCACTGGGTCTGAATTAATATGACATTTCCGGAAGTAAACAAAAGATGATGTGTACACAGTCTTGTATTACGCATCCGAGTAGTTTGTATACTAGAGTGGTTCAGTATTATGTTTTTCACGTTAAAAATTTTCAAAACGGTTCTTTAATTTGAGTAAGAAAAACTTCATATGGCTCTCTTTAGTTTGATACAGAGTGTAAGTATTTTAATCAAAACAATTTCTGCACTCTTTCATGTAGCGTAGATTAAATTCACGTGTACTCCCAACGGTTTCCGTTTTGAGGCCTCAACTGATAGTAAACTAATAGACATGGTCACGTGACCCCGTCTAAAAACGAGGCGATTATAACTGCATATGAAATAAAAAAAAAAACTTTTGTATAAATGGTTATTGAAATGATGGTAAATCATTGATATAACACTAAGTTGTGAATATATTAAATATATTTATATATCGAAAGACTATTAGCTAGTTTTCCTAATAAATTTATCGGTAAAATTTGTATATTCCTCACTGAGAGCATCATGGCAACGAACCCGAAGTACAATGTACTTCGCAATAAACTTGCTTACATGAAAAGAGAAAATTGATAAGGTATTGTTTAAATTCAATTAAAGTTGGCAAATTTTGTGCTTTAATCAATATATTTCAGTTTTTTCCTGAATACAGTCTTTAGTATCAAATACTCGGCCTATTCATAGGGCATTAAAAACTAATTTTTCGAGAAAAAAGTAACATTTTTTAGTAAAATGTGCATTTTCGCTGCTTTTATCCTTGACGGAAATGAAAAGAGCACCTGAAGTACAATATCCATAACAAAGTATAACAGGTTTCACAATAAACGTCAGTTAATGAAAAAGTTATTACTCAAGTTTTTACAAAAAAAGGTGGTGGTGGTGGTGGTGGGGGTGGTGGGGGTGGGGTGTTGGAGACGTACATCTACTTCTTCTGGGATTTTGAACAAGGCATTTCTTCCTGCTATAGGCTGTCAGTAGAAACTACAATATATATTATCTGGGACCTATATAGTATATAGGTCCCTAATATTATTGGAATTTTTCTGTTGGTAGTGGTATAAATTCAATTCCCCGTTCAATTTGCGCGGGATTTCATCTAGTATATTTTTAAAAATATAAACGTTGTTTTATATATTTGAAACAAAAAAAGAATAATTTAATATAACATCCTGAATATTGTAATCATTGACAAAGATTTTAAAGAAAAATTCTCTTCTCTAATAGATAATAATTATTTGAATTAACCAAATAACCAACGTTACAAAAACTGGCACTTCGGAGTCATTGAAATGCTTTTTGATACAGCGCTTGATTAAAGAATATTCAAGAAAATTTTTCATTTTGATTTAATGTCTGCAGACAGGTTTGAGATTGAAAATAAAATTATGCAACAGTCAGCATAATTATAATAGGGCTATGATTTGAATGTACTATGAGGAAATAGTAGTCATGGCTTTACACTTATAGTGCGCTCGCCTTCGGTTCGTGCACCATGCGTTGAACCTTGATTACTATTTCGGCAACATGTAGTTCATTTAGAATTTAGTATTTTTTTCAGATTATAAATTATTTAAGTGTACATAAAGGGTAAGTTTCCCCGGGAAGGGTTTTTTTTGAGGGGTTGACCATCAGAAAAAATGGGGCTTGTTTTTTTTTTGGAGGGGGGGGGGGAATTCAACCTAAAATAAAGGACAAGGTATGGTATGGGCCGAATCTGGCCCCTTATTTTATGTAAAAATCAGAACACAGTTAAAATTGTGATAGCTGGTAGTTAAGATTTTAAAAATGATGCTTGTTTTAAAACCAGCACTAATTTTGGTTCAAAGCTTACACGGAGGCCACAAGAGGGTGCAAAAGTAGGACATTTTCCCGAATTTCCTCAATCCTGGCGGAATTTCGTCAAATTTGAGATAATTTTCACTTCGGGAAACAGAGCAACAGCTTGCCTATCAGATTTTTATATATAAGATGCATCTGATACTAGTGTATGAAAAATATAAATTTGGTAGATAGGCAAGCTTGTGCTCTATGTTTTCTGAAACAAAATGTGCTGTAAAATCGATGAAAATTTGCATAAAAATGAGAAAATACGGAAATTGAGATATTTTCTTACCTTCCCGTGACCTCTGTGTATCCCAATACTTGGAACAAATACTCATTTTGTGGCAGGAGTGATAACGGGTTTTATTGATAAACTGATGCATCATTCTAAAAGACAACCCAAACCATGGGCCAAAAAGGGGTCTTAGCCTATCTTGTCCTTTATTTGACGGAATAAAGCGCTTAACTAACCGTGCGTTGCACGCATCGCACCATAGTATAATGCATGCTTTGCACGCATCGCACCATAGTATAACGATCGATTTCTCGTAGGGCTTTGCAAATAACAGGAGTATAAGGCGACGAATTTCATCGATACATGTAAGTTATTTATCTTCTGTTATAAGTGGGAGTTTTTCCTGGAAGATGGTTTTGATAAAACAAATATTAAACAAACTTGTTAAATTCAATACACATAGTTCATTATTACAATATTTAAAAAAAAACAAGGTATTTTTATTTTCTAACAAGTCATTTGGTTATTCCGCTAAAAAAAGGAGAATATGAGAATATTATGAAATTAAATATGATACCTATCGCAATAAATGACATATTTTGTTCACAGATTTGTTAAAAGTGATGAGAAAATTTTCCACAAATGTTAACAAAACACTCAAGGGAAATTGCATACGATATAGAGATAGTAATTTATGACGCATACCATGTGCTTCATTTAGGAATGACTCTGATTCTTGGCCAAATTATTCGAGGATAGCCTGGTTTGGGTCAGTTTACGCTTTATAATCCGCGAAGCGGATTATAAAACAGCGTAAACTGACCCAAACCAGGTTATCCTCGAATAATTTGGCCAAGAATTAGAGTCATTCCTTATAATTTAATTCTAAAATCATTAAACAACTCTGGGTGTAAAATTTCGTTGCTTTTTATTAGTTCAAATTTGCCGCTCAATAATACAACCCTAGTAACGGAAGTGATGGGAAGCGAGGGGAGGTAAAAACTGATACATAGTCCTAGCAGCCATGTTTTTTGTTTACATGTGGTAAGATCCGAGTTACTGTTTGAAGTTAAAGGTACATTTATTAAATCTGGAATTTTCCATGAATCCCGAGGACTGGAAATGAGAGGATTGCATGGATACAGACGATTCAGCTGGTTGTCAGGGGGGTGTGTCCCCATACCAAACCAGGTTATACAGAAATAATTTGTGTTCCTTTTTGGATATTAA